GCAAGCTCCTTCTCCACGACCTCTCCTCGACTCTGAGGGTGGTGTTGATGTGCAGGCGTTATTTGTGGCTTAGGCCAGGGTGATGATGTCACTGGGCCACTGTGACATGGGCAGCACTGATGTGTGGTGATGGGCGATGGTGGTGCCGTGCCCATCCCAAGTGGTGATGTTGCAGTAGTGGCTTCTTTGGAAGGGATGGGATTAACTTCTGCTGGGAGTAAATTTTGTATTTGTGACCAAATGAATGTGGGTGAGCCAGGGCTGTGGGAGGCATGGTTGAGCAGGGGTGGTGCGGCCTGTCGTGCTGCTGAGCCCCAGCTCTCCAGGGAGCAGGCTGGTGGCAACATCTGCTGGCAGGGGACACAGGTGGGACAGCAGATCCCCGGATGGCAGGGAGAGGCCAGAGCTGACACCAAGTCTGCTGGGTGCGGGATGGTTCCCCCGGCAAGGGAACTCCTGTGTGGGTGCGGGCAGGTCACTCCTTGGTGGGTGCTGGAGGAGCGGCTCCTCGCCGTCCACCGTGAGCACAGTCGCGGATGGATATGGATGGCGGGACCAGGGCGAAGGAGGACCCGAGGCACTGGGGCAAATGCAACTGGGTTTATTTGGGGGAAGCCCGAGGGTCCAAGGAGGGAGGGAATCAGGACTACAAGTGCAGTTGAAGCGAGCTGGTGTCAGGGGTGAGCTGGTGGGCCGAAGCGGGATGGCAGGGGGTTTATAAAGGGGAAAGTGTAGGCAGGGTCGAGGTACAAATCAAGCAGTGGGTAGAGGGCTCGGAGGAGAGGACAAGGTTGGGTGATGGTGGGTGCACCTATGAGGATGTGGGGAGAGGGTGGTGTGCTTACAGAGTCCGGTGGGGGAGTGAGGAAGAGGGAATATTCCAGAAGGGAGGGAGTGGACAAGAGGTGATTGATGTTGATACGGTAGAATCCTCCCAGGGCGCCTCTGCCCCATCTTCCCTTTCCCCTCCTCCCACAGGAATGTGCTGTCAACCCTGGGGACGTAGATCTGTGTTCGTTAGAGTGAGAGAAGCTTGAAGGAAGTTTGAAGAAAATTACTGGGAAATACATATGCGTTCTCATAGTGTAAAAAAACTTTATTTTTTGTGTATGTCTATCCGTCTATGTATTTATGTATCAATGTATGGATGTATGTATGTATGGACCTATCTGTCTATCTATCTATCTATCTATCTATCTATCTATCTATCTAAACTATCTATCTATCTTTCTTTCTTTATCTATTTATATTATTTGATTATGTGTCTTTGATGGGTGAGGGTGATGGGGGTGTGGGCAGGCTGACATTTGGTGCTGCTGTGTAATTGTGGCCGGCTGTAGGGTTTTTTTGCCCGCCGTTGTTGCTGCCAGACGTGTCTCATGCGAATGGGCCCAGGCTGGGAGCGGATGTCCATCGTGGATCCGTGGAAGATCCATGGAGGCCTGTATGGACGTTGTGGCCGTGGTGCTGGACTGTTGGCAGCCAAAGTGCCCTCAGACAGCCCCAGCGCTGCCTGTGTGGAAGTGCTGGGGCTGCTTTCATCAGCACTCTGGGCTGGCCCAGTGTCAATCCTGCGCCGTTTTGCTGGTGGGCCGTATGACACCACTGAGGCACTGTCTTTCTTTGGATAGCCACGTTTGAAGGCACACCGAGGGCAAGAGGAAGAGCTGGCGGTGTTGGCGGAACACTTGCCCTGGGAGAGCTGTGATGCTACCTGGCTGGAAGTGCTGGGCTTGCAGGTGTCAGCACTGTGGGCTGGCCCAGTGTCAATCCTGCGGCGTTTTGCGGGTGGGCCGTATGATACCGCTGAGGCACTGTCTTTCTTCGGATAGCCACGTTTGAAGGCACACCGAGGGCAAGAGGAAGAGCTGGTGGTCTTGGCCAGGCACTTGCCCTGGGAGAGCTGTGGTGCTGCCTGGTTGGGAGTGCTGGGTTTGCAGGTGTCAGCACTGTGGGCTGGCCCATCCTGGATCCTGCAGGGTTCTGCAGGAGGGCTGTGCATTGCCCCTGACTTTATTTCTTCCTCAGTGTGGCACTGCTTTAAGGCCTGCTGAGGGCTGATGGAGCAGCTGCTCTTGAGGAGCACCGTGTCCTGGGACAGAGTCAGCAGTTCTGTGCTTGAGGTTTTGGGGCCCACAAGGTCTGATTTGCCAGTGGAACCTGCAAAGAGGGGCAGGCAGAAGGAAGGTTGTCAGGACAGTCCCCAGGCGGCAGGCAGGAGAGGCCGCTGTGGTATCCCGCCCTTTCCAGGAGCCAAGCTGTGTGCCGAGGGCCCTGGTGCCAGGCCCATTGTGGTCCCTGTGTGGATTGCATAGTGCTGAAAGCTTTGTTGCCTACCAGTGTCGGTGGCAGCACAGGTGCTGCACTCCCAGGAGCAGGTGCTGTTCCCCAAAGAGGAGCAGAGTCGGTGGATGCCCTCAGCAGCGCAGGAGCTGCAGAGCCGCAGTTGCCAGGGTCTGGAGGAGCAAGGAGGTGGTGAGGAGAAAGTGTCAGGGCAGGGAGTGCCTGGCAGAGCCCTTGTGCGTAATTCTACATCCCTGTGCTTGTGGGGATACAGATCCTCCTCAGATCGCTGCATTGCTGCTTTGGCAGCTTACCCGTGTGCCTGCGAGTGCTCCCTGCCTCCTGGACAAAGGCACGTTGTGGCATCGCAGCGGCCGTGCCTCTGATCTGAGGGTCCGACGTCTGGGTCACTCTGCCATGATGGGGGTCTGCCAGAGAAGGAAGGGAAAGAGCTGAGCCCACATGAGGCAGGTGGCCGCAGTCACTGCTCCTTTGCCTGTCCCATTTGCAGGGACTGGTTGGAGCTGAGGGCAAGAGGGACAGGCCAGAGGGTGGGCAGGCCTGGCAGGGCAGTCCCTAGGCGGGCACTGTGCTTGTGCCTGGTGCCTTGTGAGCTGGGAGGAGAAAAGCCAACCTCTTAGAGAGTCGGATCCCCATGGTGAGCATTTCCGTCATGAACGGCTCTTGTTTGAGGCAACGCGGGCATCGGAAGTCAATGCCAGCGTGCAGAGCCAGTCTCTGGATGCAGTGCCGGTGGAAGCGGGCGTCTTGGCACGCGGGACACGCCATGGTTATGTAGGAGATGTTGTCTTCCACCGTGTCCAGGCAGATGGTGCAGGTGTTGTCCTGGCTTGGACGTGGCCGCAGTGCCTGCTGTGGGCGGTGCTCCCAGCAGAAGGACCTGTGAGGAGGATGGAGGAGATGGGTGAGGGAAGGGTGAAGGGCAGAGCCCTTGGGCTGTGCTGGCAGTGTGGGTTCAGGAGGTGTGAGGGAGCCCCAGCCCCTGTATGGGTTCTGTCCCTGTGTGGGGCACGTTGCTGGCAACCATGGGTTCTCGCCTTATGCATTCACTGGAATGTAAAGGGCTTGGAGAGAAATGCAGGGGTTCCGAGGGCGAGGGTGGGCAGCCCTTACCTGTAGGCCCCGAAGTACTGGGTGACACATTGTCCGTCTGGGGCACAGGGCAGGTGGAAGGTGCGGTCGCAGCCCGTCTGGCAGCAGGTGATGGTGGCCCCCATCTTGCAGCAGATGAAACAGCTCTGGAAAGAGCACAGCAGCCCCATGAATGTCAGGACTGGAGCTTTTTGGTCTGTTTGCATCTCCAGACAGTGAGTGGGATGTGGGCAGAGCCAGGTCAGAGTCCCCAGAGCCACGTGCGCACGAGGCCCCTGCAAGTGCCAGGCCTGGGGCTTCTTTGCTGGGGAGCAGGAGGAGGTGGCCAAGCCTCTCCTGGTGCAAAGCTGCCTGCTCCTCCTGCCAGGTCATGCCCACCTTCTTGGCTGCTGCCCTGATGATGCGCCTGGTGTCCCCAACGAGAAAGTGTCCAGTGTCCTCGCGTGGGTAAAGCCCAGTGGCGAGGATCTGCAAGGCAGGGAAGGCCGGGAGCTTGTTAGGTCAGGGAGGCAGGGCCCTTGTGGGCTGAAAGCTGGAGGGAGTCTCAAGAGAATTCACCTGGCAGTAGGTGTGGACACAGAGCTTGAACTTCATTCTCTTGTCCCCACAGAGTTCGTTGTCCTGGGTGTGGTGGCACAGCATGCAGGCTGCAGAGACAGAGCAAGTGCCCCGGGCATGAGCAGGTCTGTGGGGCTGGGCAAGTGTCCATGCAGGATCAGCCCCAGGGCCCTGCAGAGTCTTTGCTCTGCTGGCTGAAAGGCAGAGCAGGTCAGGCGTGGCTGCCCCATCACGTGCCCAGGTCCCCACCCAGTGTGGGAGCTCCTGCCTGGGCCGGGCCTGGCCTGGTTCTTGGCTCCTCACTGACTACCCCAGAAGGCCCTGAGCCAGTGCCAGGGAGCTGTGGGGTGCTTCTGCTCTTACCTTTTTCCTTGGGGACAGTTTCTGGCCGTGCCCTCTTGGATCTAGGAGAGTTTGTTGGCAAGCGGCCGGAGCGTCTCTTGCGCTGCCCTGCTGGCATTTCTCCTCCTGACTGTTGTCTTCCAAGCCTGAGTGAAGAGAGAGATGCGTTTTAGCTGTGTCAGAGGCAGCAGAAGCCTCTGGCTTACCCCGGTGCCTGAGCAGCCTCAGGCAAGCTCGTTCTTCGCAATCTCTCTTCGACTCTGAGGGTGGTGTTGATATGCAGCCAGGTTTTGTGCCTTTGGCCTGGGTGATGATGTCACTGGGGCCACTGTGACATGGGCAGCACTGATGTGTGGTGATGGGCGATGGTGGTGCCATGCCCATCCCAAGTGGTGATGTTGCAGTAGTGGCTTCTTTGGAGGGGATGGGATTAACTTCTGCTGGGAGTAAATTTTGTATTTGTGACCAAATGAATGTGGGTGAGCCAGGGCTGTGGGAGGCATGGTTGAGCAGGGGTGGTGCGGCCTGTCGTGCTGCTGAGCCCCAGCTCTCCAGGGAGCAGGCTGGTGGCAACATCTGCTGGCAGGGGACACAGGTGGGACAGCAGATCCCCGGATGGCAGGGAGAGGCCAGAGCTGACACCAAGTCTGCTGGGTGCGGGATGGTTCCCCCGGCAAGGGAACTCCTGTGTGGGTGCGGGCAGGTCACTCCTTGGTGGGTGCCGGAGGAGCGGCTCCTCGCCGTCCACCGTGAGCACAGTCGCGGATGGATATGGATGGCGGGACCAGGGCGAAGGAGGACCCGAGGCACTGGGGCAAATCCAACTGGGTTTATTTGGGGGAAACCCGAGGGTCCAAGGAGGGAGGGAATCAGGACTACAAGTGCAGTTGAAGCGAGCCGGTGTCAGGGGTGAGCTGGTGGGCCGAAGCGGGATGGCAGGGGGTTTATAAAGGGGAAAGTGTAGGCAGGGTCGAGGTACAAATCAAGCAGTGGGTAGAGGGCTCGGAGGAGAGGACAAGGTTGGGTGATGGTGGGTGCACCTATGAGGATGTGGGGAGAGGGTGGTGTGCTTACAGAGTCCGGTGGGGGAGTGAGGAAGAGGGAATATTCCAGAAGGGAGGGAGTGGACAAGAGGTGATTGATGTTGATACGGTAGAATCCTCCCAGGGCGCCTCTGCCCCATCTTCCCTTTCCCCTCCTCCCACAGGAATGTGCTGTCAACCCTGGGGACGTAGATCCGTGTTCGTTAGAGTGAGAGAAGCTTGAAGGAAGTTTGAAGAAAATCACTGGGAAATACATATGCGTTCTCATAGTGTAAAAAAACTTTATTTTTTGTGTATGTCTATCTGTCTATGTATTTATGTATCAATGTATGGATGTATGTATGTGTGTACCTATCTGTCTATCTATCTATCTATCTATCTATCTATCTATCTATCTAAACTACCTATCTATCTTTCTTTCTTTATCTATTTATATTATTTGATTATGTGTCTTTGATGGGTGAGGGTGATGGGGGTGTGGGCAGGCTGACATTTGGTGCTGCTGTGTATTTGTGGCCGGCTGTAGGGTTTTTTTGCCCGCCGTTGTTGCTGCCAGACGTGTCTCATGCGAATGGGCCCAGGCTGGGAGCGGTTGTCCATCGTGGATCCGTGGAAGATCCATGGAGGCCTGTATGGACGTTGTGGCCGTGGTGCTGGACTGTTGGCAGCCAAAGTGCCCTCAGACAGCCCCAGCGCTGCCTGTGTGGAAGTGCTGGGGCTGCTTTCATCAGCACTCTGGGCTGGCCCAGTGTCAATCCTGCGGCGTTTTGCTGGTGGGCCGTATGACACCACTGAGGCACTGTCTTTCTTCGGATAGCCACGTTTGAAGGCACACCGAGGGCAAGAGGAAGAGCTGGCGGTGTTGGTGGAACACTTGCCCTGGGAGAGCTGTGGTGCTGCCTGGTTGGGAGTGCTGGGTTTGCAGGTGTCAGCACTGTGGGCTGGCCCATCCTGGATCCTGCAGGGTTCTGCAGGAGGGCTGTGCATTGCCCCTGACTTTATTTCTTCCTCAGTGTGGCACTGCTTGAAGGCCTGCTGAGGGCTGATGGAGCAGCTGCTCTTGAGGAGCACCGTGTCCTGGGACAGAGTCAGCAGTTCTGTGCTTGAGGTTTTGGGGCCCACAAGGTCTGATTTGCCAGTGGAACCTGCAAAGAGGGGCAGGCAGAAGGAAGGTTGTCAGGACAGTCCCCAGGCTGCAGGCAGGAGAGGCCGCTGTGGTATCCCGCCCTTTCCAGGAGCCAAGCTGTGTGCCGAGGGCCCTGGTGCCAGGCCCATTGTGGTCCCTGTGTGGATTGCATAGTGCTGAAAGCTTTGTTGCCTACCAGTGTCGGTGGCAGCACAGGTGCTGCACTCCCAGGAGCAGGTGCTGTTCCCCAAAGAGGAGCAGAGTCGGTGGATGCCCTCAGCAGCGCAGGAGCTGCAGAGCCGCAGTTGCCAGGGTCTGGAGGAGCAAGGAGGTGGTGAGGACAAAGTGTCAGGGCAGGGAGTGCCTGGCAGAGCCCTTGTGCGTAATTCTACATCCCTGTGCTTGTGGGGATACAGATCCTCCTCAGATCGCTGCATTGCTGCTTTGGCAGCTTACCCGTGTGCCTGCGAGTGCTCCCTGCCTCCTGGACAAAGGCACGTTGTGGCATCGCAGCGGCCGTGCCTCTGATCTGAGGGTCCGACGTCTGGGTCACTCTGCCATGATGGGGGTCTGCCAGAGAAGGAAGGGAAAGAGCTGAGCCCACATGAGGCAGGTGGCCGCAGTCACTGCTCCTTTGCCTGTCCCATTTGCAGGGACTGGTTGGAGCTGAGGGCAAGAGGGACAGGCCAGAGGGTGGGCAGGCCTGGCAGGGCAGTCCCTAGGCGGGCACTGTGCTTGTGCCTGGTGCCTTGTGAGCTGGGAGGAGAAAAGCCAACCTCTTAGAGAGTCGGATCCCCATGGTGAGCATTTCCGTCATGAACGGCTCTTGTTTGAGGCAACGCGGGCATCGGAAGTCAATGCCAGCGTGCAGAGCCAGTCTCTGGATGCAGTGCCGGTGGAAGCGGGCGTCTTGGCACGCGGGACACGCCATGGTTATGTAGGAGATGTTGTCTTCCACCGTGTCCAGGCAGATGGTGCAGGTGTTGTCCTGGCTTGGACGTGGCCGCAGTGCCTGCTGTGGGCGGTGCTCCCAGCAGAAGGACCTGTGAGGAGGATGGAGGAGATGGGTGAGGGAAGGGTGAAGGGCAGAGCCCTTGGGCTGTGCTGGCAGTGTGGGTTCAGGAGGTGTGAGGGAGCCCCAGCCCCTGTGTGGGTTCTGTCCCTGTGTGGGGCACGTTGCTGGCAACCATGGGTTCTCGCCTTATGCATTCACTGGAATGTAAAGGGCTTGGAGAGAAATGCAGGGGTTCCGAGGGTGAGGGTGGGCAGCCCTTACCTGTAGGCCCCGAAGTACTGGGTGACACATTGTCCGTCTGGGGCACAGGGCAGGTGGAAGGTGCGGTCGCAGGCCGTCTGGCAGCAGGTGATGGTGGCCCCCATCTTGCAGCAGATGAAACAGCTCTGGAAAGAGCACAGCAGCCCCATGAATGTCAGGACTGGAGCTTTTTGGTCTGTTTGCATCTCCAGACAGTGAGTGGGATGTGGGCAGAGCCAGCTCAGAGTCCCCAGAGCCACGTGCACACGAGGCCCCTGCAAGTGCCAGGCCTGGGGCTTCTTTGCTGGGGAGCAGGAGGAGGTGGCCAAGCCTCTCCTGGTGCAAAGCTGCCTGCTCCTCCTGCCAGGTCATGCCCACCTTCTTGGCTGCTGCCCTGATGATGCGCCTGGTGTCCCCAACGAGAAAGTGTCCAGTGTCCTCGCGTGGGTAAAGCCCAGTGGCGAGGATCTGCAAGGCAGGGAAGGCCGGGAGCTTGTTAGGTCAGGGAGGCAGGGCCCTTGTGGGCTGAAAGCTGGAGGGAGTCTCAAGAGAATTCACCTGGCAGTAGGTGTGGACACAGAGCTTGAACTTCATTCTCTTGTCCCCACAGAGTTCGTTGTCCTGGGTGTGGTGGCACAGCATGCAGGCTGCAGAGACAGAGCAAGTGCCCCGGGCATGAGCAGGTCTGTGGGGCTGGGCAAGTGTCCATGCAGGATCAGCCCCAGGGCCCTGCAGAGTCTTTGCTCTGCTGGCTGAAGGGCAGAGCAGGTCAGGCGTGGCTGCCCCATCACGTGCCCAGGTCCCCACCCAGTGTGGGAGCTCCTGCCTGGGCCGGGCCTGGCCTGGTTCTTGGCTCCTCACTGACTACCCCAGAAGGCCCTGAGCCAGTGCCAGGGAGCTGTGGGGTGCTTCTGCTCTTACCTTTTTCCTTGGGGACAGTTTCTGGCCGTGCCCTCTTGGATCTAGGAGAGTTTGTTGGCAAGCGGCCGGAGCGTCTCTTGCGCTGCCCTGCTGGCATTTCTCCTCCTGACTGTTGTCTTCCAAGCCTGAGTGAAGAGAGAGATGCGTTTTAGCTGTGTCAGAGGCAGCAGAAGCCTCTGGCTTACCCCGGTGCCTGAGCAGCCTCAGGCAAGCTCGTTCTTCGCAATCTCTCTTCGACTCTGAGGGTGGTGTTGATATGCAGCCAGGTTTTGTGCCTTTGGCCTGGGTGATGATGTCACTGGGGCCACTGTGACATGGGCAGCACTGATGTGTGGTGATGGGCGATGGTGGTGCCATGCCCATCCCAAGTGGTGATGTTGCAGTAGTGGCTTCTTTGGAGGGGATGGGATTAACTTCTGCTGGGAGTAAATTTTGTATTTGTGACCAAATGAATGTGGGTGAGCCAGGGCTGTGGGAGGCATGGTTGAGCAGGGGTGGTGCGGCCTGTCGTGCTGCTGAGCCCCAGCTCTCCAGGGAGCAGGCTGGTGGCAACATCTGCTGGCAGGGGACTCAGGTGGGACAGCAGATCCCCGGATGGCAGGGAGAGGCCAGAGCTGACACCAAGTCTGCTGGGTGCGGGATGGTTCCCCCGGCAAGGGAACTCCTGTGTGGGTGCGGGCAGGTCACTCCTTGGTGGGTGCCGGAGGAGCGGCTCCTCGCCGTCCACCGTGAGCACAGTCGCGGATGGATATGGATGGCGCGACCAGGGCGAAGGAGGACCCGAGGCACTGGGGCAAATGCAACTGGGTTTATTTGGGGGAAGCCCGAGGGTCCAAGGAGGGAGGGAATCAGGACTACAAGTGCAGTTGAAGCGAGCTGGTGTCAGGGGTGAGCTGGTGGGCCGAAGCGGGATGGCAGGGGGTTTATAAAGGGGAAAGTGTAGGCAGGGTCGAGGTACAAATCAAGCAGTGGGTAGAGGGCTCGGAGGAGAGGACAAGGTTGGGTGATGGTGGGTGCACCTATGAGGATGTGGGGAGAGGGTGGTGTGCTTACAGAGTCCGGTGGGGGAGTGAGGAAGAGGGAATATTCCAGAAGGGAGGGAGTGGACAAGAGGTGATTGATGTTGATACGGTAGAATCCTCCCAGGGCGCCTCTGCCCCATCTTCCCTTTCCCCTCCTCCCACAGGAATGTGCTGTCAACCCTGGGGACGTAGATCCGTGTTCGTTAGAGTGAGAGAAGCTTGAAGGAAGTTTGAAGAAAATCACTGGGAAATACATATGCGTTCTCATAGTGTAAAAAAACTTTATTTTTTGTGTATGTCTATCTGTCTATGTATTTATGTATCAATGTATGGATGTATGTATGTGTGTACCTATCTGTCTATCTATCTATCTATCTATCTATCTATCTATCTATCTAAACTACCTATCTATCTTTCTTTCTTTATCTATTTATATTATTTGATTATGTGTCTTTGATGGGTGAGGGTGATGGGGGTGTGGGCAGGCTGACATTTGGTGCTGCTGTGTATTTGTGGCCGGCTGTAGGGTTTTTTTGTCCGCCGTTGTTGCTGCCAGACGTGTCTCATGCGAATGGGCCCAGGCTGGGAGCGGTTGTCCATCGTGGATCCGTGGAAGATCCATGGAGGCCTGTATGGACGTTGTGGCCGTGGTGCTGGACTGTTGGCAGCCAAAGTGCCCTCAGACAGCCCCAGCGCTGCCTGTGTGGAAGTGCTGGGGCTGCTTTCATCAGCACTCTGGGCTGGCCCAGTGTCAATCCTGCGGCGTTTTGCTGGTGGGCCGTATGACACCACTGAGGCACTGTCTTTCTTTGGATAGCCACGTTTGAAGGCACACCGAGGGCAAGAGGAAGAGCTGGCGGTGTTGGCGGAACACTTGCCCTGGGAGAGCTGTGATGCTACCTGGCTGGAAGTGCTGGGCTTGCAGGTGTCAGCACTGTGGGCTGGCCCAGTGTCAATCCTGCGGCGTTTTGCGGGTGGGCCGTATGATACCGCTGAGGCACTGTCTTTCTTCGGATAGCCACGTTTGAAGGCACACCGAGGGCAAGAGGAAGAGCTGGTGGTCTTGGCCAGGCACTTGCCCTGGGAGAGCTGTGGTGCTGCCTGGTTGGGAGTGCTGGGTGTGCAGGTGTCAGCACTGTGGGCTGGCCCATCCTGGATCCTGCAGGGTTCTGCAGGAGGGCTGTGCATTGCCCCTGACTTTATTTCTTCCTCAGTGTGGCACTGCTTGAAGGCCTGCTGAGGGCTGATGGAGCAGCTGCTCTTGAGGAGCACCGTGTCCTGGGACAGAGTCAGCAGTTCTGTGCTTGAGGTTTTGGGGCCCACAAGGTCTGATTTGCCAGTGGAACCTGCAAAGAGGGGCAGGCAGAAGGAAGGTTGTCAGGACAGTCCCCAGGCTGCAGGCAGGAGAGGCCGCTGTGGTATCCCGCCCTTTCCAGGAGCCAAGCTGTGTGCCGAGGGCCCTGGTGCCAGGCCCATTGTGGTCCCTGTGTGGATTGCATAGTGCTGAAAGCTTTGTTGCCTACCAGTGTCGGTGGCAGCACAGGTGCTGCACTCCCAGGAGCAGGTGCTGTTCCCCAAAGAGGAGCAGAGTCGGTGGATGCCCTCAGCAGCGCAGGAGCTGCAGAGGCGCAGTTGCCAAGGTCTGGAGGAGCAAGGAGGTGGTGAGGACAAAGTGTCAGGGCAGGGAGTGCCTGGCAGAGCCCTTGTGCGTAATTCTACATCCCTGTGCTTGTGGGGATACAGATCCTCCTCAGATCGCTGCATTGCTGCTTTGGCAGCTTACCCGTGTGCCTGCGAGTGCTCCCTGCCTCCTGGACAAAGGCACCTTGTGGCATCGCAGCGGCCGTGCCTCTGATCTGAGGGTCCGACGTCTGGGTCACTCTGCCATGATGGGGGTCTGCCAGAGAAGGAAGGGAAAGAGCTGAGCCCACATGAGGCAGGTGGCCGCAGTCACTGCTCCTTTGCCTGTCCCATTTGCAGGGACTGGTTGGAGCTGAGGGCAAGAGGGACAGGCCAGAGGGTGGGCAGGCCTGGCAGGGCAGTCCCTAGGCGGGCACTGTGCTTGTGCCTGGTGCCTTGTGAGCTGGGAGGAGAAAAGCCAACCTCTTAGAGAGTCGGATCCCCATGGTGAGCATTTCCGTCATGAACGGCTCTTGTTTGAGGCAACGCGGGCATCGGAAGTCAATGCCAGCGTGCAGAGCCAGTCTCTGGATGCAGTGCCGGTGGAAGCGGGCGTCTTGGCACGCGGGACACGCCATGGTTATGTAGGAGATGTTGTCTTCCACCGTGTCCAGGCAGATGGTGCAGGTGTTGTCCTGGCTTGGACGTGGCCGCAGTGCCTGCTGTGGGCGGTGCTCCCAGCAGAAGGACCTGTGAGGAGGATGGAGGAGATGGGTGAGGGAAGGGTGAAGGGCAGAGCCCTTGGGCTGTGCTGGCAGTGTGGGTTCAGGAGGTGTGAGGGAGCCCCAGCCCCTGTGTGGGTTCTGTCCCTGTGTGGGGCACGTTGCTGGCAACCATGGGTTCTCGCCTTATGCATTCACTGGAATGTAAAGGGCTTGGAGAGAAATGCAGGGGTTCCGAGGGTGAGGGTGGGCAGCCCTTACCTGTAGGCCCCGAAGTACTGGGTGACACATTGTCCGTCTGGGGCACAGGGCAGGTGGAAGGTGCGGTCGCAGGCCGTCTGGCAGCAGGTGATGGTGGCCCCCATCTTGCAGCAGATGAAACAGCTCTGGAAAGAGCACAGCAGCCCCATGAATGTCAGGACTGGAGCTTTTTGGTCTGTTTGCATCTCCAGACAGTGAGTGGGATGTGGGCAGAGCCAGCTCAGAGTCCCCAGAGCCACGTGCACACGAGGCCCCTGCAAGTGCCAGGCCTGGGGCTTCTTTGCTGGGGAGCAGGAGGAGGTGGCCAAGCCTCTCCTGGTGCAAAGCTGCCTGCTCCTCCTGCCAGGTCATGCCCACCTTCTTGGCTGCTGCCCTGATGATGCGCCTGGTGTCCCCAACGAGAAAGTGTCCAGTGTCCTCGCGTGGGTAAAGCCCAGTGGCGAGGATCTGCAAGGCAGGGAAGGCCGGGAGCTTGTTAGGTCAGGGAGGCAGGGCCCTTGTGGGCTGAAAGCTGGAGGGAGTCTCAAGAGAATTCACCTGGCAGTAGGTGTGGACACAGAGCTTGAACTTCATTCTCTTGTCCCCACAGAGTTCGTTGTCCTGGGTGTGGTGGCACAGCATGCAGGCTGCAGAGACAGAGCAAGTGCCCCGGGCATGAGCAGGTCTGTGGGGCTGGGCAAGTGTCCATGCAGGATCAGCCCCAGGGCCCTGCAGAGTCTTTGCTCTGCTGGCTGAAGGGCAGAGCAGGTCAGGCGTGGCTGCCCCATCACGTGCCCAGGTCCCCACCCAGTGTGGGAGCTCCTGCCTGGGCCGGGCCTGGCCTGGTTCTTGGCTCCTCACTGACTACCCCAGAAGGCCCTGAGCCAGTGCCAGGGAGCTGTGGGGTGCTTCTGCTCTTACCTTTTTCCTTGGGGACAGTTTCTGGCCGTGCCCTCTTGGATCTAGGAGAGTTTGTTGGCAAGCGGCCGGAGCGTCTCTTGCGCTGCCCTGCTGGCATTTCTCCTCCTGACTGTTGTCTTCCAAGCCTGAGTGAAGAGAGAGATGCGTTTTAGCTGTGTCAGAGGCAGCAGAAGCCTCTGGCTTACCCCGGTGCCTGAGCAGCCTCAGGCAAGCTCGTTCTTCGCAATCTCTCTTCGACTCTGAGGGTGGTGTTGATATGCAGCCAGGTTTTGTGCCTTTGGCCTGGGTGATGATGTCACTGGGGCCACTGTGACATGGGCAGCACTGATGTGTGGTGATGGGCGATGGTGGTGCCATGCCCATCCCAAGTGGTGATGTTGCAGTAGTGGCTTCTTTGGAGGGGATGGGATTAACTTCTGCTGGGAGTAAATTTTGTATTTGTGACCAAATGAATGTGGGTGAGCCAGGGCTGTGGGAGGCATGGTTGAGCAGGGGTGGTGCGGCCTGTCGTGCTGCTGAGCCCCAGCTCTCCAGGGAGCAGGCTGGTGGCAACATCTGCTGGCAGGGGACTCAGGTGGGACAGCAGATCCCCGGATGGCAGGGAGAGGCCAGAGCTGACACCAAGTCTGCTGGGTGCGGGATGGTTCCCCCGGCAAGGGAACTCCTGTGTGGGTGCGGGCAGGTCACTCCTTGGTGGGTGCCGGAGGAGCGGCTCCTCGCCGTCCACCGTGAGCACAGTCGCGGATGGATATGGATGGCGGGACCAGGGCGAAGGAGGACCCGAGGCACTGGGGCAAATGCAACTGGGTTTATTTGGGGGAAGCCCGAGGGTCCAAGGAGGGAGGGAATCAGGACTACAAGTGCAGTTGAAGCGAGCTGGTGTCAGGGGTGAGCTGGTGGGCCGAAGCGGGATGGCAGGGGGTTTATAAAGGGGAAAGTGTAGGCAGGGTCGAGGTACAAATCAAGCAGTGGGTAGAGGGCTCGGAGGAGAGGACAAGGTTGGGTGATGGTGGGTGCACCTATGAGGATGTGGGGAGAGGGTGGTGTGCTTACAGAGTCCGGTGGGGGAGTGAGGAAGAGGGAATATTCCAGAAGGGAGGGAGTGGACAAGAGGTGATTGATGTTGATACGGTAGAATCCTCCCAGGGCGCCTCTGCCCCATCTTCCCTTTCCCCTCCTCCCACAGGAATGTGCTGTCAACCCTGGGGACGTAGATCCGTGTTCGTTAGAGTGAGAGAAGCTTGAAGGAAGTTTGAAGAAAATCACTGGGAAATACATATGCGTTCTCATAGTGTAAAAAAACTTTATTTTTTGTGTATGTCTATCTGTCTATGTATTTATGTATCAATGTATGGATGTATGTATGTGTGTACCTATCTGTCTATCTATCTATCTATCTATCTATCTATCTATCTATCTATCTAAACTACCTATCTATCTTTCTTTCTTTATCTATTTATATTATTTGATTATGTGTCTTTGATGGGTGAGGGTGATGGGGGTGTGGGCAGGCTGACATTTGGTGCTGCTGTGTATTTGTGGCCGGCTGTAGGGTTTTTTTGCCCGCCGTTGTTGCTGCCAGACGTGTCTCATGCGAATGGGCCCAGGCTGGGAGCGGTTGTCCATCGTGGATCCGTGGAAGATCCATGGAGGCCTGTATGGACGTTGTGGCCGTGGTGCTGGACTGTTGGCAGCCAAAGTGCCCTCAGACAGCCCCAGCGCTGCCTGTGTGGAAGTGCTGGGGCTGCTTTCATCAGCACTCTGGGCTGGCCCAGTGTCAATCCTGCGGCGTTTTGCTGGTGGGCCGTATGACACCACTGAGGCACTGTCTTTCTTTGGATAGCCACGTTTGAAGGCACACCGAGGGCAAGAGGAAGAGCTGGCGGTGTTGGCGGAACACTTGCCCTGGGAGAGCTGTGATGCTACCTGGCTGGAAGTGCTGGGCTTGCAGGTGTCAGCACTGTGGGCTGGCCCAGTGTCAATCCTGCGGCGTTTTGCGGGTGGGCCGTATGATACCGCTGAGGCACTGTCTTTCTTCGGATAGCCACGTTTGAAGGCACACCGAGGGCAAGAGGAAGAGCTGGTGGTCTTGGCCAGGCACTTGCCCTGGGAGAGCTGTGGTGCTGCCTGGTTGGGAGTGCTGGGTTTGCAGGTGTCAGCACTGTGGGCTGGCCCATCCTGGATCCTGCAGGGTTCTGCAGGAGGGCTGTGCATTGCCCCTGACTTTATTTCTTCCTCAGTGTGGCACTGCTTGAAGGCCTGCTGAGGGCTGATGGAGCAGCTGCTCTTGAGGAGCACCGTGTCCTGGGACAGAGTCAGCAGTTCTGTGCTTGAGGTTTTGGGGCCCACAAGGTCTGATTTGCCAGTGGAACCTGCAAAGAGGGGCAGGCAGAAGGAAGGTTGTCAGGACAGTCCCCAGGCTGCAGGCAGGAGAGGCCGCTGTGGTATCCCGCCCTTTCCAGGAGCCAAGCTGTGTGCCGAGGGCCCTGGTGCCAGGCCCATTGTGGTCCCTGTGTGGATTGCATAGTGCTGAAAGCTTTGTTGCCTACCAGTGTCGGTGGCAGCACAGGTGCTGCACTCCCAGGAGCAGGTGCTGTTCCCCAAAGAGGAGCAGAGTCGGTGGATGCCCTCAGCAGCGCAGGAGCTGCAGAGCCGCAGTTGCCAGGGTCTGGAGGAGCAAGGAGGTGGTGAGGACAAAGTGTCAGGGCAGGGAGTGCCTGGCAGAGCCCTTGTGCGTAATTCTACATCCCTGTGCTTGTGGGGATACAGATCCTCCTCAGATCGCTGCATTGCTGCTTTGGCAGCTTACCCGTGTGCCTGCGAGTGCTCCCTGCCTCCTGGACAAAGGCACCTTGTGGCATCGCAGCGGCCGTGCCTCTGATCTGAGGGTCCGACGTCTGGGTCACTCTGCCATGATGGGGGTCTGCCAGAGAAGGAAGGGAAAGAGCTGAGCCCACATGAGGCAGGTGGCCGCAGTCACTGCTCCTTTGCCTGTCCCATTTGCAGGGACTGGTTGGAGCTGAGGGCAAGAGGGACAGGCCAGAGGGTGGGCAGGCCTGGCAGGGCAGTCCCTAGGCGGGCACTGTGCTTGTGCCTGGTGCCTTGTGAGCTGGGAGGAGAAAAGCCAACCTCTTAGAGAGTCGGATCCCCATGGTGAGCATTTCCGTCATGAACGGCTCTTGTTTGAGGCAACGCGGGCATCGGAAGTCAATGCCAGCGTGCAGAGCCAGTCTCTGGATGCAGTGCCGGTGGAAGCGGGCGTCTTGGCACGCGGGACACGCCATGGTTATGTAGGAGATGTTGTCTTCCACCGTGTCCAGGCAGATGGTGCAGGTGTTGTCCTGGCTTGGACGTGGCCGCAGTGCCTGCTGTGGGCGGTGCTCCCAGCAGAAGGACCTGTGAGGAGGATGGAGGAGATGGGTGAGGGAAGGGTGAAGGGCAGAGCCCTTGGGCTGTGCTGGCAGTGTGGGTTCAGGAGGTGTGAGGGAGCCCCAGCCCCTGTGTGGGTTCTGTCCCTGTGTGGGGCACGTTGCTGGCAACCATGGGTTCTCGCCTTATGCATTCACTGGAATGTAAAGGGCTTGGAGAGAAATGCAGGGGTTCCGAGGGTGAGGGTGGGCAGCCCTTACCTGTAGGCCCCGAAGTACTGGGTGACACATTGTCCGTCTGGGGCACAGGGCAGGTGGAAGGTGCGGTCGCAGGCCGTCTGGCAGCAGGTGATGGTGGCCCCCATCTTGCAGCAGATGAAACAGCTCTGGAAAGAGCACAGCAGCCCCATGAATGTCAGGACTGGAGCTTTTTGGTCTGTTTGCATCTCCAGACAGTGAGTGGGATGTGGGCAGAGCCAGCTCAGAGTCCCCAGAGCCACGTGCACACGAGGCCCCTGCAAGTGCCAGGCCTGGGGCTTCTTTGCTGGGGAGCAGGAGGAGGTGGCCAAGCCTCTCCTGGTGCAAAGCTGCCTGCTCCTCCTGCCAGGTCATGCCCACCTTCTTGGCTGCTGCCCTGATGATGCGCCTGGTGTCCCCAACGAGAAAGTGTCCAGTGTCCTCGCGTGGGTAAAGCCCAGTGGCGAGGATCTGCAAGGCAGGGAAGGCCGGGAGCTTGTTAGGTCAGGGAGGCAGGGCCCTTGTGGGCTGAAAGCTGGAGGGAGTCTCAAGAGAATTCACCTGGCAGTAGGTGTGGACACAGAGCTTGAACTTCATTCTCTTGTCCCCACAGAGTTCGTTGTCCTGGGTGTGGTGGCACAGCATGCAGGCTGCAGAGACAGAGCAAGTGCCCCGGGCATGAGCAGGTCTGTGGGGCTGGGCAAGTGTCCATGCAGGATCAGCCCCAGGGCCCTGCAGAGTCTTTGCTCTGCTGGCTGAAGGGCAGAGCAGGTCAGGCGTGGCTGCCCCATCACGTGCCCAGGTCCCCACCCAGTGTGGGAGCTCCTGCCTGGGCCGGGCCTGGCCTGGTTCTTGGCTCCTCACTGACTACCCCAGAAGGCCCTGAGCCAGTGCCAGGGAGCTGTGGGGTGCTTCTGCTCTTACCTTTTTCCTTGGGGACAGTTTCTGGCCGTGCCCTCTTGGATCTAGGAGAGTTTGTTGGCAAGCGGCCGGAGCGTCTCTTGCGCTGCCCTGCTGGCATTTCTCCTCCTGACTGTTGTCTTCCAAGCCTGAGTGAAGAGAGAGATGCGTTTTAGCTGTGTCAGAGGCAGCAGAAGCCTCTGGCTTACCCCGGTGCCTGAGCAGCCTCAGGCAAGCTCGTTCTTCGCAATCTCTCTTCGACTCTGAGGGTGGTGTTGATATGCAGCCAGGTTTTGTGCCTTTGGCCTGGGTGATGATGTCACTGGGGCCACTGTGACATGGGCAGCACTGATGTGTGGTGATGGGCGATGGTGGTGCCATGCCCATCCCAAGTGGTGATGTTGCAGTAGTGGCTTCTTTGGAGGGGATGGGATTAACTTCTGCTGGGAGTAAATTTTGTATTTGTGACCAAATGAATGTGGGTGAGCCAGGGCTGTGGGAGGCATGGTTGAGCAGGGGTGGTGCGGCCTGTCGTGCTGCTGAGCCCCAGCTCTCCAGGGAGCAGGCTGGTGGCAACATCTGCTGGCAGGGGACTCAGGTGGGACAGCAGATCCCCGGATGGCAGGGAGAGGCCAGAGCTGACACCAAGTCTGCTGGGTGCGGGATGGTTCCCCCGGCAAGGGAACTCCTGTGTGGGTGCGGGCAGGTCACTCCTTGGTGGGTGCCGGAGGAGCGGCTCCTCGCCGTCCACCGCGAGCACAGTCGCGGATGGATATGGATGGCGCGACCAGGGCGAAGGAGGACCCGAGGCACTGGGGCAAATCCAACTGGGTTTATTTGGGGGAAGCCCGAGGGTCCAAGGAGGGAGGGAATCAGGACTACAAGTGCAGTTGAAGCGAGCTGGTGTCAGGGGTGAGCTGGTGGGCCGAAGCGGGATGGCAGGGGGTTTATAAAGGGGAAAGTGTAGGCAGGGTCGAGGTACAAATCAAGCAGTGGGTAGAGGGCTCGGAGGAGAGGACAAGGTTGGGTGATGGTGGGTGCACCTATGAGGATGTGGGGAGAGGGTGGTGTGCTTACAGAGTCCGGTGGGGGAGTGAGGAAGAGGGAATATTCCAGAAGGGAGGGAGTGGACAAGAGGTGATTGATGTTGATACGGTAGAATCCTCCCAGGGCGCCTCTGCCCCATCTTCCCTTTCCCCTCCTCCCACAGGAATGTGCTGTCAACCCTGGGGACGTAGATCCGTGTTCGTTAGAGTGAGAGAAGCTTGAAGGAAGTTTGAAGAAAATCACTGGGAAATACATATGCGTTCTCATAGTGTAAAAAAACTTTATTTTTTGTGTATGTCTATCTGTCTATGTATTTATGTATCAATGTATGGATGTATGTATGTGTGTACCTATCTGTCTATCTATCTATCTATCTATCTATCTATCTATCTATCTATCTAAACTACCTATCTATCTTTCTTTCTTTATCTATTTATATTATTTGATTATGTGTCTTTGATGGGTGAGGGTGATGGGGGTGTGGGCAGGCTGACATTTGGTGCTGCTGTGTATTTGTGGCCGGCTGTAGGGTTTTTTTGCCCGCCGTTGTTGCTGCCAGACGTGTCTCATGCGAATGGGCCCAGGCTGGGAGCGGTTGTCCATCGTGGATCCGTGGAAGATCCATGGAGGCCTGTATGGACGTTGTGGCCGTGGTGCTGGACTGTTGGCAGCCAAAGTGCCCTCAGACAGCCCCAGCGCTGCCTGTGTGGAAGTGCTGGGGCTGCTTTCATCAGCACTCTGGGCTGGCCCAGTGTCAATCCTGCGGCGTTTTGCTGGTGGGCCGTATGACACCACTGAGGCACTGTCTTTCTTTGGATAGCCACGTTTGAAGGCACACCGAGGGCAAGAGGAAGAGCTGGTGGTCTTGGCCAGGCACTTGCCCTGGGAGAGCTGTGGTGCTGCCTGGTTGGGAGTGCTGGGTTTGCAGGTGTCAGCACTGTGGGCTGGCCCATCCTGGATCCTGCAGGGTTCTGCAGGAGGGCTGTGCATTGCCCCTGACTTTATTTCTTCCTCAGTGTGGCACTGCTTGAAGGCCTGCTGAGGGCTGATGGAGCAGCTGCTCTTGAGGAGCACCGTGTCCTGGGACAGAGTCAGCAGTTCTGTGCTTGAGGTTTTGGGGCCCACAAGGTCTGATTTGCCAGTGGAACCTGCAAAGAGGGGCAGGCAGAAGGAAGGTTGTCAGGACAGTCCCCAGGCTGCAGGCAGGAGAGGCCGCTGTGGTATCCCGCCCTTTCCAGGAGCCAAGCTGTGTGCCGAGGGCCCTGGTGCCAGGCCCATTGTGGTCCCTGTGTGGATTGCATAGTGCTGAAAGCTTTGTTGCCTACCAGTGTCGGTGGCAGCACAGGTGCTGCACTCCCAGGAGCAGGTGCTGTTCCCCAAAGAGGAGCAGAGTCGGTGGATGCCCTCAGCAGCGCAGGAGCTGCAGAGGCGCAGTTGCCAAGGTCTGGAGGAGCAAGGAGGTAGTGAGGACAAAGTGTCAGGGCAGGGAGTGCCTGGCAGAGCCCTTGTGCGTAATTCTACATCCCTGTGCTTGTGGGGATACAGATCCTCCTCAGATCGCTGCATTGCTGCTTTGGCAGCTTACCCGTGTGCCTGCGAGTGCTCCCTGCCTCCTGGACAAAGGCACCTTGTGGCATCGCAGCGGCCGTGCCTCTGATCTGAGGGTCCGACGTCTGGGTCACTCTGCCATGATGGGGGTCTGCCAGAGAAGGAAGGGAAAGAGCTGAGCCCACATGAGGCAGGTGGCCGCAGTCACTGCTCCTTTGCCTGTCCCATTTGCAGGGACTGGTTGGAGCTGAGGGCAAGAGGGACAGGCCAGAGGGTGGGCAGGCCTGGCAGGGCAGTCCCTAGGCGGGCACTGTGCTTGTGCCTGGTGCCTTGTGAGCTGGGAGGAGAAAAGCCAACCTCTTAGAGAGTCGGATCCCCATGGTGAGCATTTCCGTCATGAACGGCTCTTGTTTGAGGCAACGCGGGCATCGGAAGTCAATGCCAGCGTGCAGAGCCAGTCTCTGGATGCAGTGCCGGTGGAAGCGGGCGTCTTGGCACGCGGGACACGCCATGGTTATGTAGGAGATGTTGTCTTCCACCGTGTCCAGGCAGATGGTGCAGGTGTTGTCCTGGCTTGGACGTGGCCGCAGTGCCTGCTGTGGGCGGTGCTCCCAGCAGAAGGACCTGTGAGGAGGATGGAGGAGATGGGTGAGGGAAGGGTGAAGGGCAGAGCCCTTGGGCTGTGCTGGCAGTGTGGGTTCAGGAGGTGTGAGGGAGCCCCAGCCCCTGTGTGGGTTCTGTCCCTGTGTGGGGCACGTTGCTGGCAACCATGGGTTCTCGCCTTATGCATTCACTGGAATGTAAAGGGCTTGGAGAGAAATGCAGGGGTTCCGAGGGTGAGGGTGGGCAGCCCTTACCTGTAGGCCCCGAAGTACTGGGTGACACATTGTCCGTCTGGGGCACAGGGCAGGTGGAAGGTGCGGTCGCAGGCCGTCTGGCAGCAGGTGATGGTGGCCCCCATCTTGCAGCAGATGAAACAGCTCTGGAAAGAGCACAGCAGCCCCATGAATGTCAGGACTGGAGCTTTTTGGTCTGTTTGCATCTCCAGACAGTGAGTGGGATGTGGGCAGAGCCAGCTCAGAGTCCCCAGAGCCACGTGCACACGAGGCCCCTGCAAGTGCCAGGCCTGGGGCTTCTTTGCTGGGGAGCAGGAGGAGGTGGCCAAGCCTCTCCTGGTGCAAAGCTGCCTGCTCCTCCTGCCAGGTCATGCCCACCTTCTTGGCTGCTGCCCTGATGATGCGCCTGGTGTCCCCAACGAGAAAGTGTCCAGTGTCCTCGCGTGGGTAAAGCCCAGTGGCGAGGATCTGCAAGGCAGGGAAGGCCGGGAGCTTGTTAGGTCAGGGAGGCAGGGCCCTTGTGGGCTGAAAGCTGGAGGGAGTCTCAAGAGAATTCACCTGGCAGTAGGTGTGGACACAGAGCTTGAACTTCATTCTCTTGTCCCCACAGAGTTCGTTGTCCTGGGTGTGGTGGCACAGCATGCAGGCTGCAGAGACAGAGCAAGTGCCCCGGGCATGAGCAGGTCTGTGGGGCTGGGCAAGTGTCCATGCAGGATCAGCCCCAGGGCCCTGCAGAGTCTTTGCTCTGCTGGCTGAAGGGCAGAGCAGGTCAGGCGTGGCTGCCCCATCACGTGCCCAGGTCCCCACCCAGTGTGGGAGCTCCTGCCTGGGCCGGGCCTGGCCTGGTTCTTGGCTCCTCACTGACTACCCCAGAAGGCCCTGAGCCAGTGCCAGGGAGCTGTGGGGTGCTTCTGCTCTTACCTTTTTCCTTGGGGACAGTTTCTGGCCGTGCCCTCTTGGATCTAGGAGAGTTTGTTGGCAAGCGGCCGGAGCGTCTCTTGCGCTGCCCTGCTGGCATTTCTCCTCCTGACTGTTGTCTTCCAAGCCTGAGTGAAGAGAGAGATGCGTTTTAGCTGTGTCAGAGGCAGCAGAAGCCTCTGGCTTACCCCGGTGCCTGAGCAGCCTCAGGCAAGCTCGTTCTTCGCAATCTCTCTTCGACTCTGAGGGTGGTGTTGATATGCAGCCAGGTTTTGTGCCTTTGGCCTGGGTGATGATGTCACTGGGGCCACTGTGACATGGGCAGCACTGATGTGTGGTGATGGGCGATGGTGGTGCCATGCCCATCCCAAGTGGTGATGTTGCAGTAGTGGCTTCTTTGGAGGGGATGGGATTAACTTCTGCTGGGAGTAAATTTTGTATTTGTGACCAAATGAATGTGGGTGAGCCAGGGCTGTGGGAGGCATGGTTGAGCAGGGGTGGTGCGGCCTGTCGTGCTGCTGAGCCCCAGCTCTCCAGGGAGCAGGCTGGTGGCAACATCTGCTGGCAGGGGACTCAGGTGGGACAGCAGATCCCCGGATGGCAGGGAGAGGCCAGAGCTGACACCAAGTCTGCTGGGTGCGGGATGGTTCCCCCGGCAAGGGAACTCCTGTGTGGGTGCGGGCAGGTCACTCCTTGGTGGGTGCCGGAGGAGCGGCTCCTCGCCGTCCACCGCGAGCACAGTCGCGGATGGATATGGATGGCGCGACCAGGGCGAAGGAGGACCCGAGGCACTGGGGCAAATCCAACTGGGTTTATTTGGGGGAAGCCCGAGGGTCCAAGGAGGGAGGGAATCAGGACTACAAGTGCAGTTGAAGCGAGCTGGTGTCAGGGGTGAGCTGGTGGGCCGAAGCGGGATGGCAGGGGGTTTATAAAGGGGAAAGTGTAGGCAGGGTCGAGGTACAAATCAAGCAGTGGGTAGAGGGCTCGGAGGAGAGGACAAGGTTGGGTGATGGTGGGTGCACCTATGAGGATGTGGGGAGAGGGTGGTGTGCTTACAGAGTCCGGTGGGGGAGTGAGGAAGAGGGAATATTCCAGAAGGGAGGGAGTGGACAAGAGGTGATTGATGTTGATACGGTAGAATCCTCCCAGGGCGCCTCTGCCCCATCTTCCCTTTCCCCTCCTCCCACAGGAATGTGCTGTCAACCCTGGGGACGTAGATCCGTGTTCGTTAGAGTGAGAGAAGCTTGAAGGAAGTTTGAAGAAAATCACTGGGAAATACATATGCGTTCTCATAGTGTAAAAAAACTTTATTTTTTGTGTATGTCTATCTGTCTATGTATTTATGTATCAATGTATGGATGTATGTATGTGTGTACCTATCTGTCTATCTATCTATCTATCTATCTATCTATCTATCTATCTATCTAAACTACCTATCTATCTTTCTTTCTTTATCTATTTATATTATTTGATTATGTGTCTTTGATGGGTGAGGGTGATGGGGGTGTGGGCAGGCTGACATTTGGTGCTGCTGTGTATTTGTGGCCGGCTGTAGGGTTTTTTTGCCCGCCGTTGTTGCTGCCAGACGTGTCTCATGCGAATGGGCCCAGGCTGGGAGCGGTTGTCCATCGTGGATCCGTGGAAGATCCATGGAGGCCTGTATGGACGTTGTGGCCGTGGTGCTGGACTGTTGGCAGCCAAAGTGCCCTCAGACAGCCCCAGCGCTGCCTGTGTGGAAGTGCTGGGGCTGCTTTCATCAGCACTCTGGGCTGGCCCAGTGTCAATCCTGCGGCGTTTTGCTGGTGGGCCGTATGACACCACTGAGGCACTGTCTTTCTTTGGATAGCCACGTTTGAAGGCACACCGAGGGCAAGAGGAAGAGCTGGTGGTCTTGGCCAGGCACTTGCCCTGGGAGAGCTGTGGTGCTGCCTGGTTGGGAGTGCTGGGTTTGCAGGTGTCAGCACTGTGGGCTGGCCCATCCTGGATCCTGCAGGGTTCTGCAGGAGGGCTGTGCATTGCCCCTGACTTTATTTCTTCCTCAGTGTGGCACTGCTTGAAGGCCTGCTGAGGGCTGATGGAGCAGCTGCTCTTGAGGAGCACCGTGTCCTGGGACAGAGTCAGCAGTTCTGTGCTTGAGGTTTTGGGGCCCACAAGGTCTGATTTGCCAGTGGAACCTGCAAAGAGGGGCAGGCAGAAGGAAGGTTGTCAGGACAGTCCCCAGGCTGCAGGCAGGAGAGGCCGCTGTGGTATCCCGCCCTTTCCAGGAGCCAAGCTGTGTGCCGAGGGCCCTGGTGCCAGGCCCATTGTGGTCCCTGTGTGGATTGCATAGTGCTGAAAGCTTTGTTGCCTACCAGTGTCGGTGGCAGCACAGGTGCTGCACTCCCAGGAGCAGGTGCTGTTCCCCAAAGAGGAGCAGAGTCGGTGGATGCCCTCAGCAGCGCAGGAGCTGCAGAGGCGCAGTTGCCAAGGTCTGGAGGAGCAAGGAGGTAGTGAGGACAAAGTGTCAGGGCAGGGAGTGCCTGGCAGAGCCCTTGTGCGTAATTCTACATCCCTGTGCTTGTGGGGATACAGATCCTCCTCAGATCGCTGCATTGCTGCTTTGGCAGCTTACCCGTGTGCCTGCGAGTGCTCCCTGCCTCCTGGACAAAGGCACCTTGTGGCATCGCAGCGGCCGTGCCTCTGATCTGAGGGTCCGACGTCTGGGTCACTCTGCCATGATGGGGGTCTGCCAGAGAAGGAAGGGAAAGAGCTGAGCCCACATGAGGCAGGTGGCCGCAGTCACTGCTCCTTTGCCTGTCCCATTTGCAGGGACTGGTTGGAGCTGAGGGCAAGAGGGACAGGCCAGAGGGTGGGCAGGCCTGGCAGGGCAGTCCCTAGGCGGGCACTGTGCTTGTGCCTGGTGCCTTGTGAGCTGGGAGGAGAAAAGCCAACCTCTTAGAGAGTCGGATCCCCATGGTGAGCATTTCCGTCATGAACGGCTCTTGTTTGAGGCAACGCGGGCATCGGAAGTCAATGCCAGCGTGCAGAGCCAGTCTCTGGATGCAGTGCCGGTGGAAGCGGGCGTCTTGGCACGCGGGACACGCCATGGTTATGTAGGAGATGTTGTCTTCCACCGTGTCCAGGCAGATGGTGCAGGTGTTGTCCTGGCTTGGACGTGGCCGCAGTGCCTGCTGTGGGCGGTGCTCCCAGCAGAAGGACCTGTGAGGAGGATGGAGGAGATGGGTGAGGGAAGGGTGAAGGGCAGAGCCCTTGGGCTGTGCTGGCAGTGTGGGTTCAGGAGGTGTGAGGGAGCCCCAGCCCCTGTGTGGGTTCTGTCCCTGTGTGGGGCACGTTGCTGGCAACCATGGGTTCTCGCCTTATGCATTCACTGGAATGTAAAGGGCTTGGAGAGAAATGCAGGGGTTCCGAGGGTGAGGGTGGGCAGCCCTTACCTGTAGGCCCCGAAGTACTGGGTGACACATTGTCCGTCTGGGGCACAGGGCAGGTGGAAGGTGCGGTCGCAGGCCGTCTGGCAGCAGGTGATGGTGGCCCCCATCTTGCAGCAGATGAAACAGCTCTGGAAAGAGCACAGCAGCCCCATGAATGTCAGGACTGGAGCTTTTTGGTCTGTTTGCATCTCCAGACAGTGAGTGGGATGTGGGCAGAGCCAGCTCAGAGTCCCCAGAGCCACGTGCACACGAGGCCCCTGCAAGTGCCAGGCCTGGGGCTTCTTTGCTGGGGAGCAGGAGGAGGTGGCCAAGCCTCTCCTGGTGCAAAGCTGCCTGCTCCTCCTGCCAGGTCATGCCCACCTTCTTGGCTGCTGCCCTGATGATGCGCCTGGTGTCCCCAACGAGAAAGTGTCCAGTGTCCTCGCGTGGGTAAAGCCCAGTGGCGAGGATCTGCAAGGCAGGGAAGGCCGGGAGCTTGTTAGGTCAGGGAGGCAGGGCCCTTGTGGGCTGAAAGCTGGAGGGAGTCTCAAGAGAATTCACCTGGCAGTAGGTGTGGACACAGAGCTTGAACTTCATTCTCTTGTCCCCACAGAGTTCGTTGTCCTGGGTGTGGTGGCACAGCATGCAGGCTGCAGAGACAGAGCAAGTGCCCCGGGCATGAGCAGGTCTGTGGGGCTGGGCAAGTGTCCATGCAGGATCAGCCCCAGGGCCCTGCAGAGTCTTTGCTCTGCTGGCTGAAGGGCAGAGCAGGTCAGGCGTGGCTGCCCCATCACGTGCCCAGGTCCCCACCCAGTGTGGGAGCTCCTGCCTGGGCCGGGCCTGGCCTGGTTCTTGGCTCCTCACTGACTACCCCAGAAGGCCCTGAGCCAGTGCCAGGGAGCTGTGGGGTGCTTCTGCTCTTACCTTTTTCCTTGGGGACAGTTTCTGGCCGTGCCCTCTTGGATCTAGGAGAGTTTGTTGGCAAGCGGCCGGAGCGTCTCTTGCGCTGCCCTGCTGGCATTTCTCCTCCTGACTGTTGTCTTCCAAGCCTGAGTGAAGAGAGAGATGCGTTTTAGCTGTGTCAGAGGCAGCAGAAGCCTCTGGCTTACCCCGGTGCCTGAGCAGCCTCAGGCAAGCTCGTTCTTCGCAATCTCTCTTCGACTCTGAGGGTGGTGTTGATATGCAGCCAGGTTTTTTGCCTTTGGCCTGGTGATGATGTCACTGGGGCCACTGTGACATGGGCAGCACTGATGTGTGGTGATGGGCGATGGTGGTGCCATGCCCATCCCAAGTGGTGATGTTGCAGTAGTGGCTTCTTTGGAGGGGATGGGATTAACTTCTGCTGGGAGTAAATTTTGTATTTGTGACCAAATGAATGTGGGTGAGCCAGGGCTGTGGGAGGCATGGTTGAGCAGGGGTGGTGCGGCCTGTCGTGCTGCTGAGCCCCAGCTCTCCAGGGAGCAGGCTGGTGGCAACATCTGCTGGCAGGGGACACAGGTGGGACAGCAGATCCCCGGATGGCTGGGAGAGGCCAGAGCTGACACCAAGTCTGCTGGGTGCGGGATGGTTCCCCCGGCAAGGGAACTCCTGCGTGGGTGCGGGCAGGTCACTCCTTGGTGGGTGCCGGAGGAGCGGCTCCTCGCCGTCCACCGTGAGCACAGTCGCGGATGGATATGGATGGCGGGACCAGGGCGAAGGAGGACCCGAGGCACTGGGGCAAATGCAACTGGGTTTATTTGGGGGAAGCCCGAGGGTCCAAGGAGGGAGGGAATCAGGACTACAAGTGCAGTTGAAGCGAGCCGGTGTCAGGGGTGAGCTGGTGGCCCGAAGCGGGATGGCAGGGGGTTTATAAAGGGGAAAGTGTAGGCAGGGTCGAGGTACAAATCAAGCAGTGGGTAGAGGGCTCGGAGGAGAGGACAAGGTTGGGTGATGGTGGGTGCACCTATGAGGATGTGGGGAGAGGGTGGTGTGGTTACAGAGTCCGGTGGGGGAGTGAGGAAGAGGGAATATTCCAGAAGGGAGGGAGTGGACAAGAGGTGATTGATGTGGATACGGTAGAATCCTCCCAGGGCGCCTCTGCCCCATCTTCCCTTTCCCCTCCTCCCACAGGAATGTGCTGTCAACCCTGGGGACGTAGATCCGTGTTCGTTAGAGTGAGAGAAGCTTGAAGGAAGTTTGAAGAAAATTACTGGGAAATACATATGCGTTCTCATAGTGTAAAAAAACTTTATTTTTTGTGTATGTCTATCTGTCTATGTATTTATGTATCAATGTATGGATGTATGTATGTGTGTACCTATCTGTCTATCTATCTATCTATCTATCTATCTATCTATCTATCTAAACTACCTATCTATCTTTCTTTCTTTATCTATTTATATTATTTGATTATGTGTCTTTGATGGGTGAGGGTGATGGGGGTGTGGGCAGGCTGACATTTGGTGCTGCTGTGTAATTGTGGCCGGCTGTAGGGTTTTTTTGCCCGCCGTTGTTGCTGCCAGACGTGTCTCATGCGAATGGGCCCAGGCTGGGAGCGGTTGTCCATCGTGGATCCGTGGAAGATCCATGGAGGCCTGTATGGACGTTGTGGCCGTGGTGCTGGACTGTTGGCAGCCAAAGTGCCCTCAGACAGCCCCAGCGCTGCCTGTGTGGAAGTGCTGGGGCTGCTTTCATCAGCACTCTGGGCTGGCCCAGTGTCAATCCTGCGGCGTTTTGCTGGTGGGCCGTATGACACCACTGAGGCACTGTCTTTCTTCGGATAGCCACGTTTGAAGGCACACCGAGGGCAAGAGGAAGAGCTGGCGGTGTTGGTGGAACACTTGCCCTGGGAGAGCTGTGATGCTACCTGGCTGGAAGTGCTGGGCTTGCAGGTGTCAGCACTGTGGGCTGGCCCAGTGTCAATCCTGCGGCGTTTTGCGGGTGGGCCGTATGATACCGCTGAGGCACTGTCTTTCTTCGGATAGCCACGTTTGAAGGCACACCGAGGGCAAGAGGAAGAGCTGGTGGTCTTGGCCAGGCACTTGCCCTGGGAGAGCTGTGGTGCTGCCTGGTTGGGAGTGCTGGGTTTGCAGGTGTCAGCACTGTGGGCTGGCCCATCCTGGATCCTGCAGGGTTCTGCAGGAGGGCTGTGCATTGCCCCTGACTTTATTTCTTCCTCAGTGTGGCACTGCTTGAAGGCCTGCTGAGGGCTGATGGAGCAGCTGCTCTTGAGGAGCACCGTGTCCTGGGACAGAGTCAGCAGTTCTGTGCTTGAGGTTTTGGGGCCCACAAGGTCTGATTTGCCAGTGGAACCTGCAAAGAGGGGCAGGCAGAAGGAAGGTTGTCAGGACAGTCCCCAGGCTGCAGGCAGGAGAGGCCGCTGTGGTATCCCGCCCTTTCCAGGAGCCAAGCTGTGTGCCGAGGGCCCTGGTGCCAGGCCCATTGTGGTCCCTGTGTGGATTGCATAGTGCTGAAAGCTTTGTTGCCTACCAGTGTCGGTGGCAGCACAGGTGCTGCACTCCCAGGAGCAGGTGCTGTTCCCCAAAGAGGAGCAGAGTCGGTGGATGCCCTCAGCAGCGCAGGAGCTGCAGAGGCGCAGTTGCCAGGGTCTGGAGGAGCAAGGAGGTGGTGAGGACAAAGTGTCAGGGCAGGGAGTGCCTGGCAGAGCCCTTGTGCGTAATTCTACATCCCTGTGCTTGTGGGGATACAGATCCTCCTCAGATCGCTGCATTGCTGCTTTGGCAGCTTACCCGTGTGCCTGCGAGTGCTCCCTGCCTCCTGGACAAAGGCACGTTGTGGCATCGCAGCGGCCGTGCCTCTGATCTGAGGGTCCGACGTCTGGGTCACTCTGCCATGATGGGGGTCTGCCAGAGAAGGAAGGGAAAGAGCTGAGCCCACATGAGGCAGGTGGCCGCAGTCACTGCTCCTTTGCCTGTCCCATTTGCAGGGACTGGTTGGAGCTGAGGGCAAGAGGGACAGGCCAGAGGGTGGGCAGGCCTGGCAGGGCAGTCCCTAGGCGGGCACTGTGCTTGTGCCTGGTGCCTTGTGAGCTGGGAGGAGAAAAGCCAACCTCTTAGAGAGTCGGATCCCCATGGTGAGCATTTCCGTCATGAACGGCTCTTGTTTGAGGCAACGCGGGCATCGGAAGTCAATGCCAGCGTGCAGAGCCAGTCTCTGGATGCAGTGCCGGTGGAAGCGGGCGTCTTGGCACGCGGGACACGCCATGGTTATGTAGGAGATGTTGTCTTCCACCGTGTCCAGGCAGATGGTGCAGGTGTTGTCCTGGCTTGGACGTGGCCGCAGTGCCTGCTGTGGGCGGTGCTCCCAGCAGAAGGACCTGTGAGGAGGATGGAGGAGATGGGTGAGGGAAGGGTGAAGGGCAGAGCCCTTGGGCTGTGCTGGCAGTGTGGGTTCAGGAGGTGTGAGGGAGCCCCAGCCCCTGTGTGGGTTCTGTCCCTGTGTGGGGCACGTTGCTGGCAACCATGGGTTCTCGCCTTATGCATTCACTGGAATGTAAAGGGCTTGGAGAGAAATGCAGGGGTTCCGAGGGTGAGGGTGGGCAGCCCTTACCTGTAGGCCCCGAAGTACTGGGTGACACATTGTCCGTCTGGGGCACAGGGCAGGTGGAAGGTGCGGTCGCAGCCCGTCTGGCAGCAGGTGATGGTGGCCCCCATCTTGCAGCAGATGAAACAGGTCTGGAAAGAGCACAGCAGCCCCATGAATGTCAGGACTGGAGCTTTTTGGTCTGTTTGCATCTCCAGACAGTGAGTGGGATGTGGGCAGAGCCAGCTCAGAGTCCCCAGAGCCACGTGCGCACGAGGCCCCTGCAAGTGCCAGGCCTGGGGCTTCTTTGCTGGGAGCAGGAGGAGGTGGCCAAGCCTCTCCTGGTGCAAAGCTGCCTGCTCCTCCTGCCAGGTCATGCCCACCTTCTTGGCTGCTGCCCTGATGATGCGCCTGGTGTCCCCAACGAGAAAGTGTCCAGTGTCCTCGCGTGGGTAAAGCCCAGTGGCGAGGATCTGCAAGGCAGGGAAGGCCGGGAGCTTGTTAGGTCAGGGAGGCAGGGCCCTTGTGGGCTGAAAGCTGGAGGGAGTCTCAAGAGAATTCACCTGGCAGTAGGTGTGGACACAGAGCTTGAACTTCATTCTCTTGTCCCCACAGAGTTCGTTGTCCTGGGTGTGGTGGCACAGCATGCAGGCTGCAGAGACAGAGCAAGTGCCCCGGGCATGAGCAGGTCTGTGGGGCTGGGCAAGTGTCCATGCAGGATCAGCCCCAGGGCCCTGCAGAGTCTTTGCTCTGCTGGCTGAAAGGCAGAGCAGGTCAGGCGTGGCTGCCCCATCACGTGCCCAGGTCCCCACCCAGTGTGGGAGCTCTTGCCTGGGCCGGGCCTGGTTCTTGGCTCCTCACTGACTACCCCAGAAGGCCCTGAGCCAGTGCCAGGGAGCTGTGGGGTGCTTCTGCTCTTACCTTTTTCCTTGGGGACAGTTTCTGGCCGTGCCCTCTTGGATCTAGGAGAGTTTGTTGGCAAGCGGCCGGAGCGTCTCTTGCGCTGCCCTGCTGGCATTTCTCCTCCTGACTGTTGTCTTCCAAGCCTGAGTGAAGAGAGAGATGCGTTTTAGCTGTGTCAGAGGCAGCAGAAGCCTCTGGCTTACCCCGGTGCCTGAGCAGCCTCAGGCAAGCTCGTTCTTCGCAATCTCTCTTCGACTCTGAGGGTGGTGTTGATATGCAGCCAGGTTTTTTGCCTTTGGCCTGGTGATGATGTCACTGGGGCCACTGTGACATGGGCAGCACTGATGTGTGGTGATGGGCGATGGTGGTGCCATGCCCATCCCAAGTGGTGATGTTGCAGTAGTGGCTTCTTTGGAGGGGATGGGATTAACTTCTGCTGGGAGTAAATTTTGTATTTGTGACCAAATGAATGTGGGTGAGCCAGGGCTGTGGGAGGCATGGTTGAGCAGGGGTGGTGCGGCCTGTCGTGCTGCTGAGCCCCAGCTCTCCAGGGAGCAGGCTGGTGGCAACATCTGCTGGCAGGGGACACAGGTGGGACAGCAGATCCCCGGATGGCTGGGAGAGGCCAGAGCTGACACCAAGTCTGCTGGGTGCGGGATGGTTCCCCCGGCAAGGGAACTCCTGCGTGGGTGCGGGCAGGTCACTCCTTGGTGGGTGCCGGAGGAGCGGCTCCTCGCCGTCCACCGTGAGCACAGTCGCGGATGGATATGGATGGCGGGACCAGGGCGAAGGAGGACCCGAGGCACTGGGGCAAATGCAACTGGGTTTATTTGGGGGAAGCCCGAGGGTCCAAGGAGGGAGGGAATCAGGACTACAAGTGCAGTTGAAGCGAGCCGGTGTCAGGGGTGAGCTGGTGGGCCGAAGCGGGATGGCAGGGGGTTTATAAAGGGGAAAGTGTAGGCAGGGTCGAGGTACAAATCAAGCAGTGGTTAGAGGGCTCGGAGGAGAGGACAAGGTTGGGTGATGGTGGGTGCACCTATGAGGATGTGGGGAGAGGGTGGTGTGGTTACAGAGTCCGGTGGAGGAGTGAGGAAGAGGGAATATTCCAGAAGGGAGGGAGTGGACAAGAGGTGATTGATGTGGATACGGTAGAATCCTCCCAGGGCGCCTCTGCCCCATCTTCCCTTTCCCCTCCTCCCACAGGAATGTGCTGTCAACCCTGGGGACGTAGATCCGTGTTCGTTAGAGTGAGAGAAGCTTGAAGGAAGTTTGAAGAAAATTACTGGGAAATACATATGCGTTCTCATAGTGTAAAAAAACTTTATTTTTTGTGTATGTCTATCTGTCTATGTATTTATGTATCAATGTATGGATGTATGTATGTGTGTACCTATCTGTCTATCTATCTATCTATCTATCTATCTATCTATCTATCTATCTATCTAAACTACCTATCTATCTTTCTTTCTTTATCTATTTATATTATTTGATTATGTGTCTTTGATGGGTGAGGGTGATGGGGGTGTGGGCAGGCTGACATTTGGTGCTGCTGTGTATTTGTGGCCGGCTGTAGGGTTTTTTTGCCCGCCGTTGTTGCTGCCAGACGTGTCTCATGCGAATGGGCCCAGGCTGGGAGCGGTTGTCCATCGTGGATCCGTGGAAGATCCATGGAGGCCTGTATGGACGTTGTGGCCGTGGTGCTGGACTGTTGGCAGCCAAAGTGCCCTCAGACAGCCCCAGCGCTGCCTGTGTGGAAGTGCTGGGGCTGCTTTCATCAGCACTCTGGGCTGGCCCAGTGTCAATCCTGCGGCGTTTTGCTGGTGGGCCGTATGACACCACTGAGGCACTGTCTTTCTTCGGATAGCCACGTTTGAAGGCACACCGAGGGCAAGAGGAAGAGCTGGCGGTGTTGGTGGAACACTTGCCCTGGGAGAGCTGTGATGCTACCTGGCTGGAAGTGCTGGGCTTGCAGTTGTCAGCACTCTGGGCTGGCCCAGTGTCAATCCTGCGGCGTTTTGCGGGTGGGCCGTATGATACCGCTGAGGCACTGTCTTTCTTCGGATAGCCACGTTTGAAGGCACACCGAGGGCAAGAGGAAGAGCTGGTGGTCTTGGCCAGGCACTTGCCCTGGGAGAGCTGTGGTGCTGCCTGGTTGGGAGTGCTGGGTTTGCAGGTGTCAGCACTGTGGGCTGGCCCATCCTGGATCCTGCAGGGTTCTGCAGGAGGGCTGTGCATTGCCCCTGACTTTATTTCTTCCTCAGTGTGGCACTGCTTGAAGGCCTGCTGAGGGCTGATGGAGCAGCTGCTCTTGAGGAGCACCGTGTCCTGGGACAGAGTCAGCAGTTCTGTGCTTGAGGTTTTGGGGCCCACAAGGTCTGATTTGCCAGTGGAACCTGCAAAGAGGGGCAGGCAGAAGGAAGGTTGTCAGGACAGTCCCCAGGCTGCAGGCAGGAGAGGCCGCTGTGGTATCCCGCCCTTTCCAGGAGCCAAGCTGTGTGCCGAGGGCCCTGGTGCCAGGCCCATTGTGGTCCCTGTGTGGATTGCATAGTGCTGAAAGCTTTGTTGCCTACCAGTGTCGGTGGCAGCACAGGTGCTGCACTCCCAGGAGCAGGTGCTGTTCCCCAAAGAGGAGCAGAGTCGGTGGATGCCCTCAGCAGCGCAGGAGCTGCAGAGGCGCAGTTGCCAGGGTCTGGAGGAGCAAGGAGGTGGTGAGGACAAAGTGTCAGGGCAGGGAGTGCCTGGCAGAGCCCTTGTGCGTAATTCTACATCCCTGTGCTTGTGGGGATACAGATCCTCCTCAGATCGCTGCATTGCTGCTTTGGCAGCTTACCCGTGTGCCTGCGAGTGCTCCCTGCCTCCTGGACAAAGGCACCTTGTGGCATCGCAGCGGCCGTGCCTCTGATCTGAGGGTCCGACGTCTGGGTCACTCTGCCATGATGGGGGTCTGCCAGAGAAGGGAGGGAAAGAGCTGAGCCCACATGAGGCAGGTGGCCGCAGTCACTGCTCCTTTGCCTGTCCCATTTGCAGGGACTGGTTGGAGCTGAGGGCAAGAGGGACAGGCCAGAGGGTGGGCAGGCCTGGCAGGGCAGTCCCTAGGCGGGCACTGTGCTTGTGCCTGGTGCCTTGTGAGCTGGGAGGAGAAAAGCCAACCTCTTAGAGAGTCGGATCCCCATGGTGAGCATTTCCGTCATGAACGGCTCTTGTTTGAGGCAACGCGGGCATCGGAAGTCAATGCCAGCGTGCAGAGCCAGTCTCTGGATGCAGTGCCGGTGGAAGCGGGCGTCTTGGCACGCGGGACACGCCATGGTTATGTAGGAGATGTTGTCTTCCACCGTGTCCAGGCAGATGGTGCAGGTGTTGTCCTGGCTTGGACGTGGCCGCAGTGCCTGCTGTGGGCGGTGCTCCCAGCAGAAGGACCTGTGAGGAGGATGGAGGAGATGGGTGAGGGAAGGGTGAAGGGCAGAGCCCTTGGGCTGTGCTGGCAGTGTGGGTTCAGGAGGTGTGAGGGAGCCCCAGCCCCTGTGTGGGTTCTGTCCCTGTGTGGGGCACGTTGCTGGCAACCATGGGTTCTCGCCTTATGCATTCACTGGAATGTAAAGGGCTTGGAGAGAAATGCAGGGGTTCCGAGGGTGAGGGTGGGCAGCCCTTACCTGTAGGCCCCGAAGTACTGGGTGACACATTGTCCGTCTGGGGCACAGGGCAGGTGGAAGGTGCGGTCGCAGCCCGTCTGGCAGCAGGTGATGGTGGCCCCCATCTTGCAGCAGATGAAACAGGTCTGGAAAGAGCACAGCAGCCCCATGAATGTCAGGACTGGAGCTTTTTGGTCTGTTTGCATCTCCAGACAGTGAGTGGGATGTGGGCAGAGCCAGCTCAGAGTCCCCAGAGCCACGTGCGCACGAGGCCCCTGCAAGTGCCAGGCCTGGGGCTTCTTTGCTGGGAGCAGGAGGAGGTGGCCAAGCCTCTCCTGGTGCAAAGCTGCCTGCTCCTCCTGCCAGGTCATGCCCACCTTCTTGGCTGCTGCCCTGATGATGCGCCTGGTGTCCCCAACGAGAAAGTGTCCAGTGTCCTCGCGTGGGTAAAGCCCAGTGGCGAGGATCTGCAAGGCAGGGAAGGCCGGGAGCTTGTTAGGTCAGGGAGGCAGGGCCCTTGTGGGCTGAAAGCTGGAGGGAGTCTCAAGAGAATTCACCTGGCAGTAGGTGTGGACACAGAGCTTGAACTTCATTCTCTTGTCCCCACAGAGTTCGTTGTCCTGGGTGTGGTGGCACAGCATGCAGGCTGCAGAGACAGAGCAAGTGCCCCGGGCATGAGCAGGTCTGTGGGGCTGGGCAAGTGTCCATGCAGGATCAGCCCCAGGGCCCTGCAGAGTCTTTGCTCTGCTGGCTGAAAGGCAGAGCAGGTCAGGCGTGGCTGCCCCATCACGTGCCCAGGTCCCCACCCAGTGTGGGAGCTCTTGCCTGGGCCGGGCCTGGTTCTTGGCTCCTCACTGACTACCCCAGAAGGCCCTGAGCCAGTGCCAGGGAGCTGTGGGGTGCTTCTGCTCTTACCTTTTTCCTTGGGGACAGTTTCTGGCCGTGCCCTCTTGGATCTAGGAGAGTTTGTTGGCAAGCGGCCGGAGCGTCTCTTGCGCTGCCCTGCTGGCATTTCTCCTCCTGACTGTTGTCTTCCAAGCCTGAGTGAAGAGAGAGATGCGTTTTAGCTGTGTCAGAGGCAGCAGAAGCCTCTGGCTTACCCCGGTGCCTGAGCAGCCTCAGGCAAGCTCGTTCTTCGCAATCTCTCTTCGACTCTGAGGGTGGTGTTGATATGCAGCCAGGTTTTGTGCCTTTGGCCTGGTGATGATGTCACTGGGGCCACTGTGACATGGGCAGCACTGATGTGTGGTGATGGGCGATGGTGGTGCCATGCCCATCCCAAGTGGTGATGTTGCAGTAGTGGCTTCTTTGGAGGGGATGGGATTAACTTCTGCTGGGAGTAAATTTTGTATTTGTGACCAAATGAATGTGGGTGAGCCAGGGCTGTGGGAGGCATGGTTGAGCAGGGGTGGTGCGGCCTGTCGTGCTGCTGAGCCCCAGCTCTCCAGGGAGCAGGCTGGTGGCAACATCTGCTGGCAGGGGACACAGGTGGGACAGCAGATCCCCGGATGGCAGGGAGAGGCCAGAGCTGACACCAAGTCTGCTGGGTGCGGGATGGTTCCCCCGGCAAGGGAACTCCTGTGTGGGTGCGGGCAGGTCACTCCTTGGTGGGTGCCGGAGGAGCGGCTCCTCGCCGTCCACCGTGAGCACAGTCGCGGATGGATATGGATGGCGCGACCAGGGCGAAGGAGGACCCGAGGCACTGGGGCAAATGCAACTGGGTTTATTTGGGGGAAACCCGAGGGTCCAAGGAGGGAGGGAATCAGGACTACAAGTGCAGTTGAAGCGAGCCGGTGTCAGGGGTGAGCTGGTGGCCCGAAGCGGGATGGCAGGGGGTTTATAAAGGGGAAAGTGTAGGCAGGGTCGAGGTACAAATCAAGCAGTGGGGAGAGGGCTCGGAGGAGAGGACAAGGTTGGGTGATGGTGGGTGCACCTATGAGGATGTGGGGAGAGGGTGGTGTGGTTACAGAGTCCGGTGGAGGAGTGAGGAAGAGGGAATATTCCAGAAGGGAGGGAGTGGACAAGAGGTGATTGATGTTGATACGGTAGAATCCTCCCAGGGCGCCTCTGCCCCATCTTCCCTTTCCCCTCCTCCCACAGGAATGTGCTGTCAACCCTGGGGACGTAGATCCGTGTTCGTTAGAGTGAGAGAAGCTTGAAGGAAGTTTGAAGAAAATTACTGGGAAATACATATGCGTTCTCATAGTGTAAAAAAACTTTATTTTTTGTGTATGTCTATCTGTCTATGTATTTATGTATCAATGTATGGATGTATGTATGTGTGTACCTATCTGTCTATCTATCTATCTATCTATCTATCTATCTATCTATCTAAACTACCTATCTATCTTTCTTTCTTTATCTATTTATATTATTTGATTATGTGTCTTTGATGGGTGAGGGTGATGGGGGTGTGGGCAGGCTGACATTTGGTGCTGCTGTGTATTTGTGGCCGGCTGTAGGGTTTTTTTGCCCGCCGTTGTTGCTGCCAGACGTGTCTCATGCGAATGGGCCCAGGCTGGGAGCGGTTGTCCATCGTGGATCCGTGGAAGATCCATGGAGGCCTGTATGGACGTTGTGGCCGTGGTGCTGGACTGTTGGCAGCCAAAGTGCCCTCAGACAGCCCCAGCGCTGCCTGTGTGGAAGTGCTGGGGCTGCTTTCATCAGCACTCTGGGCTGGCCCAGTGTCAATCCTGCGCCGTTTTGCTGGTGGGCCGTATGACACCACTGAGGCACTGTCTTTCTTCGGATAGCCACGTTTGAAGGCACACCGAGGGCAAGAGGAAGAGCTGGCGGTGTTGGTGGAACACTTGCCCTGGGAGAGCTGTGATGCTACCTGGCTGGAAGTGCTGGGCTTGCAGGTGTCAGCACTGTGGGCTGGCCCAGTGTCAATCCTGCGGCGTTTTGCGGGTGGGCCGTATGATACCGCTGAGGCACTGTCTTTCTTCGGATAGCCACGTTTGAAGGCACACCGAGGGCAAGAGGAAGAGCTGGTGGTCTTGGCCAGGCACTTGCCCTGGGAGAGCTGTGGTGCTGCCTGGTTGGGAGTGCTGGGTTTGCAGGTGTCAGCACTGTGGGCTGGCCCATCCTGGATCCTGCAGGGTTCTGCAGGAGGGCTGTGCATTGCCCCTGACTTTATTTCTTCCTCAGTGTGGCACTGCTTGAAGGCCTGCTGAGGGCTGATGGAGCAGCTGCTCTTGAGGAGCACCGTGTCCTGGGACAGAGTCAGCAGTTCTGTGCTTGAGGTTTTGGGGCCCACAAGGTCTGATTTGCCAGTGGAACCTGCAAAGAGGGGCAGGCAGAAGGAAGGTTGTCAGGACAGTCCCCAGGCTGCAGGCAGGAGAGGCCGCTGTGGTATCCCGCCCTTTCCAGGAGCCAAGCTGTGTGCCGAGGGCCCTGGTGCCAGGCCCATTGTGGTCCCTGTGTGGATTGCATAGTGCTGAAAGCTTTGTTGCCTACCAGTGTCGGTGGCAGCACAGGTGCTGCACTCCCAGGAGCAGGTGCTGTTCCCCAAAGAGGAGCAGAGTCGGTGGATGCCCTCAGCAGCGCAGGAGCTGCAGAGGCGCAGTTGCCAGGGTCTGGAGGAGCAAGGAGGTGGTGAGGACAAAGTGTCAGGGCAGGGAGTGCCTGGCAGAGCCCTTGTGCGTAATTCTACATCCCTGTGCTTGTGGGGATACAGATCCTCCTCAGATCGCTGCATTGCTGCTTTGGCAGCTTACCCGTGTGCCTGCGAGTGCTCCCTGCCTCCTGGACAAAGGCACGTTGTGGCATCGCAGCGGCCGTGCCTCTGATCTGAGGGTCCGACGTCTGGGTCACTCTGCCATGATGGGGGTCTGCCAGAGAAGGAAGGGAAAGAGCTGAGCCCACATGAGGCAGGTGGCCGCAGTCACTGCTCCTTTGCCTGTCCCATTTGCAGGGACTGGTTGGAGCTGAGGGCAAGAGGGACAGGCCAGAGGGTGGGCAGGCCTGGCAGGGCAGTCCCTAGGCGGGCACTGTGCTTGTGCCTGGTGCCTTGTGAGCTGGGAGGAGAAAAGCCAACCTCTTAGAGAGTCGGATCCCCATGGTGAGCATTTCCGTCATGAACGGCTCTTGTTTGAGGCAACGCGGGCATCGGAAGTCAATGCCAGCGTGCAGAGCCAGTCTCTGGATGCAGTGCCGGTGGAAGCGGGCGTCTTGGCACGCGGGACATGCCATGGTTATGTAGGAGATGTTGTCTTCCACCGTGTCCAGGCAGATGGTGCAGGTGTTGTCCTGGCTTGGACGTGGCCGCAGTGCCTGCTGTGGGCGGTGCTCCCAGCAGAAGGACCTGTGAGGAGGATGGAGGAGATGGGTGAGGGAAGGGTGAAGGGCAGAGCCCTTGGGCTGTGCTGGCAGTGTGGGTTCAGGAGGTGTGAGGGAGCCCCAGCCCCTGTGTGGGTTCTGTCCCTGTGTGGGGCACGTTGCTGGCAACCATGGGTTCTCGCCTTATGCATTCACTGGAATGTAAAGGGCTTGGAGAGAAATGCAGGGGTTCCGAGGGTGAGGGTGGGCAGCCCTTACCTGTAGGCCCCGAAGTACTGGGTGACACATTGTCCGTCTGGGGCACAGGGCAGGTGGAAGGTGCGGTCGCAGGCCGTCTGGCAGCAGGTGATGGTGGCCCCCATCTTGCAGCAGATGAAACAGCTCTGGAAAGAGCACAGCAGCCCCATGAATGTCAGGACTGGAGCTTTTTGGTCTGTTTGCATCTCCAGACAGTGAGTGGGATGTGGGCAGAGCCAGCTCAGAGTCCCCAGAGCCACGTGCACACGAGGCCCCTGCAAGTGCCAGGCCTGGGGCTTCTTTGCTGGGAGCAGGAGGAGGTGGCCAAGCCTCTCCTGGTGCAAAGCTGCCTGCTCCTCCTGCCAGGTCATGCCCACCTTCTTGGCTGCTGCCCTGATGATGCGCCTGGTGTCCCCAACGAGAAAGTGTCCAGTGTCCTCGCGTGGGTAAAGTCCAGTGGCGAGGATCTGCAAGGCAGGGAAGGCCGGGAGCTTGTTAGGTCAGGGAGGCAGGGCCCTTGTGGGCTGAAAGCTGGAGGGAGTCTCAAGAGAATTCACCTGGCAGTAGGTGTGGACACAGAGCTTGAACTTCATTCTCTTGTCCCCACAGAGTTCGTTGTCCTGGGTGTGGTGGCACAGCATGCAGGCTGCAGAGACAGAGCAAGTGCCCCGGGCATGAGCAGGTCTGTGGGGCTGGGCAAGTGTCCATGCAGGATCAGCCCCAGGGCCCTGCAGAGTCTTTGCTCTGCTGGCTGAAAGGCAGAGCAGGTCAGGCGTGGCTGCCCCATCACATGCCCAGGTCCCCACCCAGTGTGGGAGCTCTTGCCTGGGCCGGGCCTGGCCTGGTTCTTGGCTCCTCACTGACTACCCCAGAAGGCCCTGAGCCAGTGCCAGGGAGCTGTGGGGTGCTTCTGCTCTTACCTTTTTCCTTGGGGACAGTTTCTGGCCGTGCCCTCTTGGATCTAGGAGAGTTTGTTGGCAAGCGGCCGGAGCGTCTCTTGCGCTGCCCTGCTGGCATTTCTCCTCCTGACTGTTGTCTTCCAAGCCTGAGTGAAGAGAGAGATGCGTTTTAGCTGTGTCAGAGGCAGCAGAAGCCTCTGGCTTACCCCGGTGCCTGAGCAGCCTCAGGCAAGCTCGTTCTTCGCAATCTCTCTTCGACTCTGAGGGTGGTGTTGATATGCAGCCAGGTTTTGTGCCTTTGGCCTGGGTGATGATGTCACTGGGGCCACTGTGACATGGGCAGCACTGATGTGTGGTGATGGGCGATGGTGGTGCCATGCCCATCCCAAGTGGTGATGTTGCAGTAGTGGCTTCTTTGGAGGGGATGGGATTAACTTCTGCTGGGAGTAAATTTTGTATTTGTGACCAAATGAATGTGGGTGAGCCAGGGCTGTGGGAGGCATGGTTGAGCAGGGGTGGTGCGGCCTGTCGTGCTGCTGAGCCCCAGCTCTCCAGGGAGCAGGCTGGTGGCAACATCTGCTGGCAGGGGACACAGGTGGGACAGCTGATCCCCGGATGGCTGGGAGAGGCCAGAGCTGACACCAAGTCTGCTGGGTGCGGGATGGTTCCCCCGGCAAGGGAACTCCTGCGTGGGTGCGGGCAGGTCACTCCTTGGTGGGTGCCGGAGGAGCGGCTCCTCGCCGTCCACCGTGAGCACAGTCGCGGATGGATATGGATGGCGCGACCAGGGCGAAGGAGGACCCGAGGCACTGGGGCAAATGCAACTGGGTTTATTTGGGGGAAGCCCGAGGGTCCAAGGAGGGAGGGAATCAGGACTACAAGTGCAGTTGAAGCGAGCCGGTGTCAGGGGTGAGCTGGTGGCCCGAAGCGGGATGGCAGGGGGTTTATAAAGGGGAAAGTGTAGGCAGGGTCGAGGTACAAATCAAGCAGTGGGTAGAGGGCTCGGAGGAGAGGACAAGGTTGGGTGATGGTGGGTGCACCTATGAGGATGTGGGGAGAGGGTGGTGTGGTTACAGAGTCCGGTGGGGGAGTGAGGAAGAGGGAATATTCCAGAAGGGAGGGAGTGGACAAGAGGTGATTGATGTTGATACGGTAGAATCCTCCCAGGGCGCCTCTGCCCCATCTTCCCTTTCCCCTCCTCCCACAGGAATGTGCTGTCAACCCTGGGGACGTAGATCCGTGTTCGTTAGAGTGAGAGAAGCTTGAAGGAAGTTTGAAGAAAATTACTGGGAAATACATATGCGTTCTCATAGTGTAAAAAAACTTTATTTTTTGTGTATGTCTATCTGTCTATGTATTTATGTATCAATGTATGGATGTATGTATGTGTGTACCTATCTGTCTATCTATCTATCTATCTATCTATCTATCTATCTAAACTACCTATCTATCTTTCTTTCTTTATCTATTTATATTATTTGATTATGTGTCTTTGATGGGTGAGGGTGATGGGGGTGTGGGCAGGCTGACATTTGGTGCTGCTGTGTATTTGTGGCCGGCTGTAGGGTTTTTTTGCCCGCCGTTGTTGCTGCCAGACGTGTCTCATGCGAATGGGCCCAGGCTGGGAGCGGTTGTCCATCGTGGATCCGTGGAAGATCCATGGAGGCCTGTATGGACGTTGTGGCCGTGGTGCTGGACTGTTGGCAGCCAAAGTGCCCTCAGACAGCCCCAGCGCTGCCTGTGTGGAAGTGCTGGGGCTGCTTTCATCAGCACTCTGGGCTGGCCCAGTGTCAATCCTGCGGCGTTTTGCTGGTGGGCCGTATGACACCACTGAGGCACTGTCTTTCTTCGGATAGCCACGTTTGAAGGCACACCGAGGGCAAGAGGAAGAGCTGGCGGTGTTGGTGGAACACTTGCCCTGGGAGAGCTGTGATGCTACCTGGCTGGAAGTGCTGGGCTTGCAGGTGTCAGCACTGTGGGCTGGCCCAGTGTCAATCCTGCGGCGTTTTGCGGGTGGGCCGTATGATACCGCTGAGGCACTGTCTTTCTTCGGATAGCCACGTTTGAAGGCACACCGAGGGCAAGAGGAAGAGCTGGTGGTCTTGGCCAGGCACTTGCCCTGGGAGAGCTGTGGTGCTGCCTGGTTGGGAGTGCTGGGTTTGCAGGTGTCAGCACTGTGGGCTGGCCCATCCTGGATCCTGCAGGGTTCTGCAGGAGGGCTGTGCATTGCCCCTGACTGTATTTCTTCCTCAGTGTGGCACTGCTTTAAGGCCTGCTGAGGGCTGATGGAGCAGCTGCTCTTGAGGAGCACCGTGTCCTGGGACAGAGTCAGCAGTTCTGTGCTTGAGGTTTTGGGGCCCACAAGGTCTGATTTGCCAGTGGAACCTGCAAAGAGGGGCAGGCAGAAGGAAGGTTGTCAGGACAGTCCCCAGGCGGCAGGCAGGAGAGGCCGCTGTGGTATCCCGCCCTTTCCAGGAGCCAAGCTGTGTGCCGAGGGCCCTGGTGCCAGGCCCATTGTGGTCCCTGTGTGGATTGCATAGTGCTGAAAGCTTTGTTGCCTACCAGTGTCGGTGGCAGCACAGGTGCTGCACTCCCAGGAGCAGGTGCTGTTCCCCAAAGAGGAGCAGAGTCGGTGGATGCCCTCAGCAGCGCAGGAGCTGCAGAGCCGCAGTTGCCAGGGTCTGGAGGAGCAAGGAGGTGGTGAGGACAAAGTGTCAGGGCAGGGAGTGCCTGGCAGAGCCCTTGTGCGTAATTCTACATCCCTGTGCTTGTGGGGATACAGATCCTCCTCAGATCGCTGCATTGCTGCTTTGGCAGCTTACCCGTGTGCCTGCGAGTGCTCCCTGCCTCCTGGACAAAGGCACGTTGTGGCATCGCAGCGGCCGTGCCTCTGATCTGAGGGTCCGACGTCTGGGTCACTCTGCCATGATGGGGGTCTGCCAGAGAAGGAAGGGAAAGAGCTGAGCCCACATGAGGCAGGTGGCCGCAGTCACTGCTCCTTTGCCTGTCCCATTTGCAGGGACTGGTTGGAGCTGAGGGCAAGAGGGACAGGCCAGAGGGTGGGCAGGCCTGGCAGGGCAGTCCCTAGGCGGGCACTGTGCTTGTGCCTGGTGCCTTGTGAGCTGGGAGGAGAAAAGCCAACCTCTTAGAGAGTCGGATCCCCATGGTGAGCATTTCCGTCATGAACGGCTCTTGTTTGAGGCAACGCGGGCATCGGAAGTCAATGCCAGCGTGCAGAGCCAGTCTCTGGATGCAGTGCCGGTGGAAGCGGGCGTCTTGGCACGCGGGACACGCCATGGTTATGTAGGAGATGTTGTCTTCCACCGTGTCCAGGCAGATGGTGCAGGTGTTGTCCTGGCTTGGACGTGGCCGCAGTGCCTGCTGTGGGCGGTGCTCCCAGCAGAAGGACCTGTGAGGAGGATGGAGGAGATGGGTGAGGGAAGGGTGAAGGGCAGAGCCCTTGGGCTGTGCTGGCAGTGTGGGTTCAGGAGGTGTGAGGGAGCCCCAGCCCCTGTGTGGGTTCTGTCCCTGTGTGGGGCACGTTGCTGGCAACCATGGGTTCTCGCCTTATGCATTCACTGGAATGTAAAGGGCTTGGAGAGAAATGCAGGGGTTCCGAGGGTGAGGGTGGGCAGCCCTTACCTGTAGGCCCCGAAGTACTGGGTGACACATTGTCCGTCTGGGGCACAGGGCAGGTGGAAGGTGCGGTCGCAGCCCGTCTGGCAGCAGGTGATGGTGGCCCCCATCTTGCAGCAGATGAAACAGGTCTGGAAAGAGCACAGCAGCCCCATGAATGTCAGGACTGGAGCTTTTTGGTCTGTTTGCATCTCCAGACAGTGAGTGGGATGTGGGCAGAGCCAGCTCAGAGTCCCCAGAGCCACGTGCGCACGAGGCCCCTGCAAGTGCCAGGCCTGGGGCTTCTTTGCTGGGGAGCAGGAGGAGGTGGCCAAGCCTCTCCTGGTGCAAAGCTGCCTGCTCCTCCTGCCAGGTCATGCCCACCTTCTTGGCTGCTGCCCTGATGATGCGCCTGGTGTCCCCAACGAGAAAGTGTCCAGTGTTCTCGCGTGGGTAAAGCCCAGTGGCGAGGATCTGCAAGGCAGGGAAGGCCGGGAGCTTGTTAGGTCAGGGAGGCAGGGCCCTTGTGGGCTGAAAGCTGGAGGGAGTCTCAAGAGAATTCACCTGGCAGTAGGTGTGGACACAGAGCTTGAACTTCATTCTCTTGTCCCCACAGAGTTCGTTGTCCTGGGTGTGGTGGCACAGCATGCAGGCTGCAGAGACAGAGCAAGTGCCCCGGGCATGAGCAGGTCTGTGGGGCTGGGCAAGTGTCCATGCAGGATCAGCCCCAGGGCCCTGCAGAGTCTTTGCTCTGCTGGCTGAAAGGCAGAGCAGGTCAGGCGTGGCTGCCCCATCACGTGCCCAGGTCCCCACCCAGTGTGGGAGCTCCTGCCTGGGCCGGGCCTGGCCTGGTTCTTGGCTCCTCACTGACTACCCCAGAAGGCCCTGAGCCAGTGCCAGGGAGCTGTGGGGTGCTTCTGCTCTTACCTTTTTCCTTGGGGACAGTTTCTGGCCGTGCCCTCTTGGATCTAGGAGAGTTTGTTGGCAAGCGGCCGGAGCGTCTCTTGCGCTGCCCTGCTGGCATTTCTCCTCCTGACTGCTGTCTTCCAAGCCTGAGTGAAGAGAGAGATGCGTTTTAGCTGTGTCAGAGGCAGCAGAAGCCTCTGGCTTACCCCGGTGCCTGAGCAGCCTCAGGCAAGCTCGTTCTTCGCAATCTCTCTTCGACTCTGAGGGTGGTGTTGATATGCAGCCAGGTTTTGTGCCTTTGGCCTGGGTGATGATGTCACTGGGGCCACTGTGACATGGGCAGCACTGATGTGTGGTGATGGGCGATGGTGGTGCCATGCCCATCCCAAGTGGTGATGTTGCAGTAGTGGCTTCTTTGGAGGGGATGGGATTAACTTCTGCTGGGAGTAAATTTTGTATTTGTGACCAAATGAATGTGGGTGAGCCAGGGCTGTGGGAGGCATGGTTGAGCAGGGGTGGTGCGGCCTGTCGTGCTGCTGAGCCCCAGCTCTCCAGGGAGCAGGCTGGTGGCAACATCTGCTGGCAGGGGACACAGGTGGGACAGCAGATCCCCGGATGGCAGGGAGAGGCCAGAGCTGACACCAAGTCTGCTGGGTGCGGGATGGTTCCCCCGGCAAGGGAACTCCTGTGTGGGTGCGGGCAGGTCACTCCTTGGTGGGTGCCGGAGGAGCGGCTCCTCGCCGTCCACCGTGAGCACAGTCGCGGATGGATATGGATGGCGGGACCAGGGCGAAGGAGGACCCGAGGCACTGGGGCAAATGCAACTGGGTTTATTTGGGGGAAACCCGAGGGTCCAAGGAGGGAGGGAATCAGGACTACAAGTGCAGTTGAAGCGAGCCGGTGTCAGGGGTGAGCTGGTGGGCCGAAGCGGGATGGCAGGGGGTTTATAAAGGGGAAAGTGTAGGCAGGGTCGAGGTACAAATCAAGCAGTGGGTAGAGGGCTTGGAGGAGAGGACAAGGTTGGGTGATGGTGGGTGCACCTATGAGGATGTGGGGAGAGGGTGGTGTGCTTACAGAGTCCGGTGGGGGAGTGAGGAAGAGGGAATATTCCAGAAGGGAGGGAGTGGACAAGAGGTGATTGATGTTGATACGGTAGAATCCTCCCAGGGCGCCTCTGCCCCATCTTCCCTTTCCCCTCCTCCCACAGGAATGTGCTGTCAACCCTGGGGATGTAGATCCGTGTTCGTTAGAGTGAGAGAAGCTTGAAGGAAGTTTGAAGAAAATTACTGGGAAATACATATGCGTTCTCATAGTGTAAAAAAACTTTATTTTTTGTGTATGTCTATCTGTCTATGTATTTATGTATCAATGTATGGATGTATGTGTGTACCTATCTGTCTATCTATCTATCTATCTATCTATCTATCTAAACTACCTATCTATCTTTCTTTCTTTATCTATTTATATTATTTGATTATGTGTCTTTGATGGGTGAGGGTGATGGGGGTGTGGGCAGGCTGACATTTGGTGCTGCTGTGTAATTGTGGCCGGCTGTAGGGTTTTTTTGCCCGCCGTTGTTGCTGCCAGACGTGTCTCATGCGAATGGGCCCAGGCTGGGAGCGGTTGTCCATCGTGGATCCGTGGAAGATCCATGGAGGCCTGTATGGACGTTGTGGCCGTGGTGCTGGACTGTTGGCAGCCAAAGTGCCCTCAGACAGCCCCAGCGCTGCCTGTGTGGAAGTGCTGGGGCTGCTTTCATCAGCACTCTGGGCTGGCCCAGTGTCAATCCTGCGGCGTTTTGCTGGTGGGCCGTATGACACCACTGAGGCACTGTCTTTCTTTGGATAGCCACGTTTGAAGGCACACCGAGGGCAAGAGGAAGAGCTGGCGGTGTTGGCGGAACACTTGCCCTGGGAGAGCTGTGATGCTACCTGGCTGGAAGTGCTGGGCTTGCAGGTGTCAGCACTGTGGGCTGGCCCAGTGTCAATCCTGCGGCGTTTTGCGGGTGGGCCGTATGATACCGCTGAGGCACTGTCTTTCTTCGGATAGCCACGTTTGAAGGCACACCGAGGGCAAGAGGAAGAGCTGGTGGTCTTGGCCAGGCACTTGCCCTGGTAGAGCTGTGGTGCTGCCTGGTTGGGAGTGCTGGGTTTGCAGGTGTCAGCACTGTGGGCTGGCCCATCCTGGATCCTGCAGGGTTCTGCAGGAGGGCTGTGCATTGCCCCTGACTTTATTTCTTCCTCAGTGTGGCACTGCTTGAAGGCCTGCTGAGGGCTGATGGAGCAGCTGCTCTTGAGGAGCACCGTGTCCTGGGACAGAGTCAGCAGTTCTGTGCTTGAGGTTTTGGGGCCCACAAGGTCTGATTTGCCAGTGGAACCTGCAAAGAGGGGCAGGCAGAAGGAAGGTTGTCAGGACAGTCCCCAGGCTGCAGGCAGGAGAGGCCGCTGTGGTATCCCGCCCTTTCCAGGAGCCAAGCTGTGTGCCGAGGGCCCTGGTGCCAGGCCCATTGTGGTCCCTGTGTGGATTGCATAGTGCTGAAAGCTTTGTTGCCTACCAGTGTCGGTGGCAGCACAGGTGCTGCACTCCCAGGAGCAGGTGCTGTTCCCCAAAGAGGAGCAGAGTCGGTGGATGCCCTCAGCAGCGCAGGAGCTGCAGAGCCGCAGTTGCCAGGGTCTGGAGGAGGAAGGAGGTGGTGAGGACAAAGTGTCAGGGCAGGGAGTGCCTGGCAGAGCCCTTGTGCGTAATTCTACATCCCTGTGCTTGTGGGGATACAGATCCTCCTCAGATCGCTGCATTGCTGCTTTGGCAGCTTACCCGTGTGCCTGTGAGTGCTCCCTGCCTCCTGGACAAAGGCACCTTGTGGCATCGCAGCGGCCGTGCCTCTGATCTGAGGGTCCGACCTCTGGGTCACTCTGCCATGATGGGGGTCTGCCAGAGAAGGAAGGGAAAGAGCTGAGCCCACATGAGGCAGGTGGCCGCAGTCACTGCTCCTTTGCCTGTCCCATTTGCAGGGACTGGTTGGAGCTGAGGGCAAGAGGGACAGGCCAGAGGGTGGGCAGGCCTGGCAGGGCAGTCCCTAGGCGGGCACTGTGCTTGTGCCTGGTGCCTTGTGAGCTGGGAGGAGAAAAGCCAACCTCTTAGAGAGTCGTATCCCCATGGTGAGCATTTCCGTCATGAACGGCTCTTGTTTGAGGCAACGCGGGCATCGGAAGTCAATGCCAGCGTGCAGAGCCAGTCTCTGGATGCAGTGCCGGTGGAAGCGGGCGTCTTGGCACGCGGGACACGCCATGGTTATGTAGGAGATGTTGTCTTCCACCGTGTCCAGGCAGATGGTGCAGGTGTTGTCCTGGCTTGGACGTGGCCGCAGTGCCTGCTGTGGGCGGTGCTCCCAGCAGAAGGACCTGTGAGGAGGATGGAGGAGATGGGTGAGGGAAGGGTGAAGGGCAGAGCCCTTGGGCTGTGCTGGCAGTGTGGGTTCAGGAGGTGTGAGGGAGCCCCAGCCCCTGTGTGGGTTCTGTCCCTGTGTGGGGCACGTTGCTGGCAACCATGGGTTCTCGCCTTATGCATTCACTGGAATGTAAAGGGCTTGGAGAGAAATGCAGGGGTTCCGAGGGTGAGGGTGGGCAGCCCTTACCTGTAGGCCCCGAAGTACTGGGTGACACATTGTCCGTCTGGGGCACAGGGCAGGTGGAAGGTGCGGTCGCAGCCCGTCTGGCAGCAGGTGATGGTGGCCCCCATCTTGCAGCAGATGAAACAGGTCTGGAAAGAGCACAGCAGCCCCATGAATGTCAGGACTGGAGCTTTTTGGTCTGTTTGCATCTCCAGACAGTGAGTGGGATGTGGGCAGAGCCAGCTCAGAGTCCCCAGAGCCACGTGCACACGAGGCCCCTGCAAGTGCCAGGCCTGGGGCTTCTTTGCTGGGGAGCAGGAGGAGGTGGCCAAGCCTCTCCTGGTGCAAAGCTGCCTGCTCCTCCTGCCAGGTCATGCCCACCTTCTTGGCTGCTGCCCTGATGATGCGCCTGGTGTCCCCAACGAGAAAGTGTCCAGTGTCCTCGCGTGGGTAAAGCCCAGTGGCGAGGATCTGCAAGGCAGGGAAGGCCGAGAGCTTGTTAGGTCAGGGAGGCAGGGCCCTTGTGGGCTGAAAGCTGGAGGGAGTCTCAAGAGAATTCACCTGGCAGTAGGTGTGGACACAGAGCTTGAACTTCATTCTCTTGTCCCCACAGAGTTCGTTGTCCTGGGTGTGGTGGCACAGCATGCAGGCTGCAGAGACAGAGCAAGTGCCCCGGGCATGAGCAGGTCTGTGGGGCTGGGCAAGTGTCCATGCAGGATCAGCCCCAGGGCCCTGCAGAGTCTTTGCTCTGCTGGCTGAAAGGCAGAGCAGGTCAGGCGTGGCTGCCCCATCACGTGCCCAGGTCCCCACCCAGTGTGGGAGCTCTTGCCTGGGCCGGGCCTGGTTCTTGGCTCCTCACTGACTACCCCAGAAGGCCCTGAGCCAGTGCCAGGGAGCTGTGGGGTGCTTCTGCTCTTACCTTTTTCCTTGGGGACAGTTTCTGGCCGTGCCCTCTTGGATCTAGGAGAGTTTGTTGGCAAGCGGCCGGAGCGTCTCTTGCGCTGCCCTGCTGGCATTTCTCCTCCTGACTGTTGTCTTCCAAGCCTGAGTGAAGAGAGAGATGCGTTTTAGCTGTGTCAGAGGCAGCAGAAGCCTCTGGCTTACCCCGGTGCCTGAGCAGCCTCAGGCAAGCTCGTTCTTCGCAATCTCTCTTCGACTCTGAGGGTGGTGTTGATATGCAGCCAGGTTTTGTGCCTTTGGCCTGGTGATGATGTCACTGGGGCCACTGTGACATGGGCAGCACTGATGTGTGGTGATGGGCGATGGTGGTGCCATGCCCATCCCAAGTGGTGATGTTGCAGTAGTGGCTTCTTTGGAGGGGATGGGATTAACTTCTGCTGGGAGTAAATTTTGTATTTGTGACCAAATGAATGTGGGTGAGCCAGGGCTGTGGGAGGCATGGTTGAGCAGGGGTGGTGCGGCCTGTCGTGCTGCTGAGCCCCAGCTCTCCAGGGAGCAGGCTGGTGGCAACATCTGCTGGCAGGGGACACAGGTGGGACAGCAGATCCCCGGATGGCAGGGAGAGGCCAGAGCTGACACCAAGTCTGCTGGGTGCGGGATGGTTCCCCCGGCAAGGGAACTCCTGCGTGGGTGCGGGCAGGTCACTCCTTGGTGGGTGCCGGAGGAGCGGCTCCTCGCCGTCCACCGCGAGCACAGTCGCGGATGGATATGGATGGCGCGACCAGGGCGAAGGAGGACCCGAGGCACTGGGGCAAATGCAACTGGGTTTATTTGGGGGAAGCCCGAGGGTCCAAGGAGGGAGGGAATCAGGACTACAAGTGCAGTTGAAGCGAGCCGGTGTCAGGGGTGAGCTGGTGGCCCGAAGCGGGATGGCAGGGGGTTTATAAAGGGGAAAGTGTAGGCAGGGTCGAGGTACAAATCAAGCAGTGGGTAGAGGGCTCGGAGGAGAGGACAAGGTTGGGTGATGGTGGGTGCACCTATGAGGATGTGGGGAGAGGGTGGTGTGGTTACAGAGTCCGGTGGGGGAGTGAGGAAGAGGGAATATTCCAGAAGGGAGGGAGTGGACAAGAGGTGATTGATGTGGATACGGTAGAATCCTCCCAGGGCGCCTCTGCCCCATCTTCCCTTTCCCCTCCTCCCACAGGAATGTGCTGTCAACCCTGGGGACGTAGATCCGTGTTCGTTAGAGTGAGAGAAGCTTGAAGGAAGTTTGAAGAAAATTACTGGGAAATACATATGCGTTCTCATAGTGTAAAAAAACTTTATTTTTTGTGTATGTCTATCTGTCTATGTATTTATGTATCAATGTATGGATGTATGTATGTGTGTACCTATCTGTCTATCTATCTATCTATCTATCTATCTATCTATCTATCTAAACTACCTATCTATCTTTCTTTCTTTATCTATTTATATTATTTGATTATGTGTCTTTGATGGGTGAGGGTGATGGGGGTGTGGGCAGGCTGACATTTGGTGCTGCTGTGTATTTGTGGCCGGCTGTAGGGTTTTTTTGCCCGCCGTTGTTGCTGCCAGACGTGTCTCATGCGAATGGGCCCAGGCTGGGAGCGGTTGTCCATCGTGGATCCGTGGAAGATCCATGGAGGCCTGTATGGACGTTGTGGCCGTGGTGCTGGACTGTTGGCAGCCAAAGTGCCCTCAGACAGCCCCAGCGCTGCCTGTGTGGAAGTGCTGGGGCTGCTTTCATCAGCACTCTGGGCTGGCCCAGTGTCAATCCTGCGGCGTTTTGCTGGTGGGCCGTATGACACCACTGAGGCACTGTCTTTCTTCGGATAGCCACGTTTGAAGGCACACCGAGGGCAAGAGGAAGAGCTGGCGGTGTTGGCGGAACACTTGCCCTGGGAGAGCTGTGATGCTACCTGGCTGGAAGTGCTGGGCTTGCAGTTGTCAGCACTCTGGGCTGGCCCAGTGTCAATCCTGCGGCGTTTTGCGGGTGGGCCGTATGATACCGCTGAGGCACTGTCTTTCTTTGGATAGCCACGTTTGAAGGCACACCGAGGGCAAGAGGAAGAGCTGGTGGTCTTGGCCAGGCACTTGCCCTGGGAGAGCTGTGGTGCTGCCTGGTTGGGAGTGCTGGGTTTGCAGGTGTCAGCACTGTGGGCTGGCCCATCCTGGATCCTGCAGGGTTCTGCAGGAGGGCTGTGCATTGCCCCTGACTTTATTTCTTCCTCAGTGTGGCACTGCTTGAAGGCCTGCTGAGGGCTGATGGAGCAGCTGCTCTTGAGGAGCACCGTGTCCTGGGACAGAGTCAGCAGTTCTGTGCTTGAGGTTTTGGGGCCCACAAGGTCTGATTTGCCAGTGGAACCTGCAAAGAGGGGCAGGCAGAAGGAAGGTTGTCAGGACAGTCCGCAGGCTGCAGGCAGGAGAGGCCGCTGTGGTATCCCGCCCTTTCCAGGAGCCAAGCTGTGTGCCGAGGGCCCTGGTGCCAGGCCCATTGTGGTCCCTGTGTGGATTGCATAGTGCTGAAAGCTTTGTTGCCTACCAGTGTCGGTGGCAGCACAGGTGCTGCACTCCCAGGAGCAGGTGCTGTTCCCCAAAGAGGAGCAGAGTCGGTGGATGCCCTCAGCAGCGCAGGAGCTGCAGAGGCGCAGTTGCCAGGGTCTGGAGGAGCAAGGAGGTGGTGAGGACAAAGTGTCAGGGCAGGGAGTGCCTGGCAGAGCCCTTGTGCGTAATTCTACATCCCTGTGCTTGTGGGGATACAGATCCTCCTCAGATCGCTGCATTGCTGCTTTGGCAGCTTACCCGTGTGCCTGCGAGTGCTCCCTGCCTCCTGGACAAAGGCACCTTGTGGCATCGCAGCGGCCGTGCCTCTGATCTGAGGGTCCGACGTCTGGGTCACTCTGCCATGATGGGGGTCTGCCAGAGAAGGGAGGGAAAGAGCTGAGCCCACATGAGGCAGGTGGCCGCAGTCACTGCTCCTTTGCCTGTCCCATTTGCAGGGACTGGTTGGAGCTGAGGGCAAGAGGGACAGGCCAGAGGGTGGGCAGGCCTGGCAGGGCAGTCCCTAGGCGGGCACTGTGCTTGTGCCTGGTGCCTTGTGAGCTGGGAGGAGAAAAGCCAACCTCTTAGAGAGTCGGATCCCCATGGTGAGCATTTCCGTCATGAACGGCTCTTGTTTGAGGCAACGCGGGCATCGGAAGTCAATGCCAGCGTGCAGAGCCAGTCTCTGGATGCAGTGCCGGTGGAAGCGGGCATCTTGGCACGCGGGACACGCCATGGTTATGTAGGAGATGTTGTCTTCCACCGTGTCCAGGCAGATGGTGCAGGTGTTGTCCTGGCTTGGACGTGGCCGCAGTGCCTGCTGTGGGCGGTGCTCCCAGCAGAAGGACCTGTGAGGAGGATGGAGGAGATGGGTGAGGGAAGGGTGAAGGGCAGAGCCCTTGGGCTGTGCTGGCAGTGTGGGTTCAGGAGGTGTGAGGGAGCCCCAGCCCCTGTGTGGGTTCTGTCCCTGTGTGGGGCACGTTGCTGGCAACCATGGGTTCTCGCCTTATGCATTCACTGGAATGTAAAGGGCTTGGAGAGAAATGCAGGGGTTCCGAGGGTGAGGGTGGGCAGCCCTTACCTGTAGGCCCCGAAGTACTGGGTGACACATTGTCCGTCTGGGGCACAGGGCAGGTGGAAGGTGCGGTCGCAGCCCGTCTGGCAGCAGGTGATGGTGGCCCCCATCTTGCAGCAGATGAAACAGGTCTGGAAAGAGCACAGCAGCCCCATGAATGTCAGGACTGGAGCTTTTTGGTCTGTTTGCATCTCCAGACAGTGAGTGGGATGTGGGCAGAGCCAGCTCAGAGTCCCCAGAGCCACGTGCGCACGAGGCCCCTGCAAGTGCCAGGCCTGGGGCTTCTTTGCTGGGAGCAGGAGGAGGTGGCCAAGCCTCTCCTGGTGCAAAGCTGCCTGCTCCTCCTGCCAGGTCATGCCCACCTTCTTGGCTGCTGCCCTGATGATGCGCCTGGTGTCCCCAACGAGAAAGTGTCCAGTGTCCTCGCGTGGGTAAAGCCCAGTGGCGAGGATCTGCAAGGCAGGGAAGGCCGGGAGCTTGTTAGGTCAGGGAGGCAGGGCCCTTGTGGGCTGAAAGCTGGAGGGAGTCTCAAGAGAATTCACCTGGCAGTAGGTGTGGACACAGAGCTTGAACTTCATTCTCTTGTCCCCACAGAGTTCGTTGTCCTGGGTGTGGTGGCACAGCATGCAGGCTGCAGAGACAGAGCAAGTGCCCCGGGCATGAGCAGGTCTGTGGGGCTGGGCAAGTGTCCATGCAGGATCAGCCCCAGGGCCCTGCAGAGTCTTTGCTCTGCTGGCTGAAAGGCAGAGCAGGTCAGGCGTGGCTGCCCCATCACGTGCCCAGGTCCCCACCCAGTGTGGGAGCTCTTGCCTGGGCCTGGCCTGGTTCTTGGCTCCTCACTGACTACCCCAGAAGGCCCTGAGCCAGTGCCAGGGAGCTGTGGGGTGCTTCTGCTCTTACCTTTTTCCTTGGGGACAGTTTCTGGCCGTGCCCTCTTGGATCTAGGAGAGTTTGTTGGCAAGCGGCCGGAGCGTCTCTTGCGCTGCCCTGCTGGCATTTCTCCTCCTGACTGTTGTCTTCCAAGCCTGAGTGAAGAGAGAGATGCGTTTTAGCTGTGTCAGAGGCAGCAGAAGCCTCTGGCTTACCCCGGTGCCTGAGCAGCCTCAGGCAAGCTCGTTCTTCGCAATCTCTCTTCGACTCTGAGGGTGGTGTTGATATGCAGCCAGGTTTTGTGCCTTTGGCCTGGTGATGATGTCACTGGGGCCACTGTGACATGGGCAGCACTGATGTGTGGTGATGGGCGATGGTGGTGCCATGCCCATCCCAAGTGGTGATGTTGCAGTAGTGGCTTCTTTGGAGGGGATGGGATTAACTTCTGCTGGGAGTAAATTTTGTATTTGTGACCAAATGAATGTGGGTGAGCCAGGGCTGTGGGAGGCATGGTTGAGCAGGGGTGGTGCGGCCTGTCGTGCTGCTGAGCCCCAGCTCTCCAGGGAGCAGGCTGGTGGCAACATCTGCTGGCAGGGGACACAGGTGGGACAGCAGATCCCCGGATGGCAGGGAGAGGCCAGAGCTGACACCAAGTCTGCTGGGTGCGGGATGGTTCCCCCGGCAAGGGAACTCCTGTGTGGGTGCGGGCAGGTCACTCCTTGGTGGGTGCCGGAGGAGCGGCTCCTCGCCGTCCACCGTGAGCACAGTCGCGGATGGATATGGATGGCGCGACCAGGGCGAAGGAGGACCCGAGGCACTGGGGCAAATGCAACTGGGTTTATTTGGGGGAAGCCCGAGGGTCCAAGGAGGGAGGGAATCAGGACTACAAGTGCAGTTGAAGCGAGCCGGTGTCAGGGGTGAGCTGGTGGCCCGAAGCGGGATGGCAGGGGGTTTATAAAGGGGAAAGTGTAGGCAGGGTCGAGGTACAAATCAAGCAGTGGGTAGAGGGCTCGGAGGAGAGGACAAGGTTGGGTGATGGTGGGTGCACCTATGAGGATGTGGGGAGAGGGTGGTGTGCTTACAGAGTCCGGTGGAGGAGTGAGGAAGAGGGAATATTCCAGAAGGGAGGGAGTGGACAAGAGGTGATTGATGTTGATACGGTAGAATCCTCCCAGGGCGCCTCTGCCCCATCTTCCCTTTCCCCTCCTCCCACAGGAATGTGCTGTCAACCCTGGGGACGTAGATCCGTGTTCGTTAGAGTGAGAGAAGCTTGAAGGAAGTTTGAAGAAAATTACTGGGAAATACATATGCGTTCTCATAGTGTAAAAAAACTTTATTTTTTGTGTATGTCTATCTGTCTATGTATTTATGTATCAATGTATGGATGTATGTATGTGTGTACCTATCTGTCTATCTATCTATCTATCTATCTATCTATCTATCTATCTAAACTACCTATCTATCTTTCTTTCTTTATCTATTTATATTATTTGATTATGTGTCTTTGATGGGTGAGGGTGATGGGGGTGTGGGCAGGCTGACATTTGGTGCTGCTGTGTATTTGTGGCCGGCTGTAGGGTTTTTTTGCCCGCCGTTGTTGCTGCCAGACGTGTCTCATGCGAATGGGCCCAGGCTGGGAGCGGTTGTCCATCGTGGATCCGTGGAAGATCCATGGAGGCCTGTATGGACGTTGTGGCCGTGGTGCTGGACTGTTGGCAGCCAAAGTGCCCTCAGACAGCCCCAGCGCTGCCTGTGTGGAAGTGCTGGGGCTGCTTTCATCAGCACTCTGGGCTGGCCCAGTGTCAATCCTGCGCCGTTTTGCTGGTGGGCCGTATGACACCACTGAGGCACTGTCTTTCTTCGGATAGCCACGTTTGAAGGCACACCGAGGGCAAGAGGAAGAGCTGGCGGTGTTGGTGGAACACTTGCCCTGGGAGAGCTGTGATGCTACCTGGCTGGAAGTGCTGGGCTTGCAGGTGTCAGCACTGTGGGCTGGCCCAGTGTCAATCCTGCGGCGTTTTGCGGGTGGGCCGTATGATACCGCTGAGGCACTGTCTTTCTTCGGATAGCCACGTTTGAAGGCACACCGAGGGCAAGAGGAAGAGCTGGTGGTCTTGGCCAGGCACTTGCCCTGGGAGAGCTGTGGTGCTGCCTGGTTGGGAGTGCTGGGTTTGCAGGTGTCAGCACTGTGGGCTGGCCCATCCTGGATCCTGCAGGGTTCTGCAGGAGGGCTGTGCATTGCCCCTGACTTTATTTCTTCCTCAGTGTGGCACTGCTTGAAGGCCTGCTGAGGGCTGATGGAGCAGCTGCTCTTGAGGAGCACCGTGTCCTGGGACAGAGTCAGCAGTTCTGTGCTTGAGGTTTTGGGGCCCACAAGGTCTGATTTGCCAGTGGAACCTGCAAAGAGGGGCAGGCAGAAGGAAGGTTGTCAGGACAGTCCCCAGGCTGCAGGCAGGAGAGGCCGCTGTGGTATCCCGCCCTTTCCAGGAGCCAAGCTGTGTGCCGAGGGCCCTGGTGCCAGGCCCATTGTGGTCCCTGTGTGGATTGCATAGTGCTGAAAGCTTTGTTGCCTACCAGTGTCGGTGGCAGCACAGGTGCTGCACTCCCAGGAGCAGGTGCTGTTCCCCAAAGAGGAGCAGAGTCGGTGGATGCCCTCAGCAGCGCAGGAGCTGCAGAGCCGCAGTTGCCAGGGTCTGGAGGAGCAAGGAGGTGGTGAGGACAAAGTGTCAGGGCAGGGAGTGCCTGGCAGAGCCCTTGTGCGTAATTCTACATCCCTGTGCTTGTGGGGATACAGATCCTCCTCAGATCGCTGCATTGCTGCTTTGGCAGCTTACCCGTGTGCCTGCGAGTGCTCCCTGCCTCCTGGACAAAGGCACGTTGTGGCATCGCAGCGGCCGTGCCTCTGATCTGAGGGTCCGACGTCTGGGTCACTCTGCCATGATGGGGGTCTGCCAGAGAAGGAAGGGAAAGAGCTGAGCCCACATGAGGCAGGTGGCCGCAGTCACTGCTCCTTTGCCTGTCCCATTTGCAGGGACTGGTTGGAGCTGAGGGCAAGAGGGACAGGCCAGAGGGTGGGCAGGCCTGGCAGGGCAGTCCCTAGGCGGGCACTGTGCTTGTGCCTGGTGCCTTGTGAGCTGGGAGGAGAAAAGCCAACCTCTTAGAGAGTCGGATCCCCATGGTGAGCATTTCCGTCATGAACGGCTCTTGTTTGAGGCAACGCGGGCATCGGAAGTCAATGCCAGCGTGCAGAGCCAGTCTCTGGATGCAGTGCCGGTGGAAGCGGGCGTCTTGGCACGCGGGACATGCCATGGTTATGTAGGAGATGTTGTCTTCCACCGTGTCCAGGCAGATGGTGCAGGTGTTGTCCTGGCTTGGACGTGGCCGCAGTGCCTGCTGTGGGCGGTGCTCCCAGCAGAAGGACCTGTGAGGAGGATGGAGGAGATGGGTGAGGGAAGGGTGAAGGGCAGAGCCCTTGGGCTGTGCTGGCAGTGTGGGTTCAGGAGGTGTGAGGGAGCCCCAGCCCCTGTGTGGGTTCTGTCCCTGTGTGGGGCACGTTGCTGGCAACCATGGGTTCTCGCCTTATGCATTCACTGGAATGTAAAGGGCTTGGAGAGAAATGCAGGGGTTCCGAGGGTGAGGGTGGGCAGCCCTTACCTGTAGGCCCCGAAGTACTGGGTGACACATTGTCCGTCTGGGGCACAGGGCAGGTGGAAGGTGCGGTCGCAGGCCGTCTGGCAGCAGGTGATGGTGGCCCCCATCTTGCAGCAGATGAAACAGCTCTGGAAAGAGCACAGCAGCCCCATGAATGTCAGGACTGGAGCTTTTTGGTCTGTTTGCATCTCCAGACAGTGAGTGGGATGTGGGCAGAGCCAGGTCAGAGTCCCCAGAGCCACGTGCGCACGAGGCCCCTGCAAGAGCCAGGCCTGGGGCTTCTTTGCTGGGGAGCAGGAGGAGGTGGCCAAGCCTCTCCTGGTGCAAAGCTGCCTGCTCCTCCTGCCAGGTCATGCCCACCTTCTTGGCTGCTGCCCTGATGATGCGCCTGGTGTCCCCAACGAGAAAGTGTCCAGTGTCCTCGCGTGGGTAAAGTCCAGTGGCGAGGATCTGCAAGGCAGGGAAGGCCGGGAGCTTGTTAGGTCAGGGAGGCAGGGCCCTTGTGGGCTGAAAGCTGGAGGGAGTCTCAAGAGAATTCACCTGGCAGTAGGTGTGGACACAGAGCTTGAACTTCATTCTCTTGTCCCCACAGAGTTCGTTGTCCTGGGTGTGGTGGCACAGCATGCAGGCTGCAGAGACAGAGCAAGTGCCCCGGGCATGAGCAGGTCTGTGGGGCTGGGCAAGTGTCCATGCAGGATCAGCCCCAGGGCCCTGCAGAGTCTTTGCTCTGCTGGCTGAAAGGCAGAGCAGGTCAGGCGTGGCTGCCCCATCACATGCCCAGGTCCCCACCCAGTGTGGGAGCTCTTGCCTGGGCCGGGCCTGGTTCTTGGCTCCTCACTGACTACCCCAGAAGGCCCTGAGCCAGTGCCAGGGAGCTGTGGGGTGCTTCTGCTCTTACCTTTTTCCTTGGGGACAGTTTCTGGCCGTGCCCTCTTGGATCTAGGAGAGTTTGTTGGCAAGCGGCCGGAGCGTCTCTTGCGCTGCCCTGCTGGCATTTCTCCTCCTGACTGTTGTCTTCCAAGCCTGAGTGAAGAGAGAGATGCGTTTTAGCTGTGTCAGAGGCAGCAGAAGCCTCTGGCTTACCCCGGTGCCTGAGCAGCCTCAGGCAAGCTCGTTCTTCGCAATCTCTCTTCGACTCTGAGGGTGGTGTTGATATGCAGCCAGGTTTTGTGCCTTTGGCCTGGGTGATGATGTCACTGGGGCCACTGTGACATGGGCAGCACTGATGTGTGGTGATGGGCGATGGTGGTGCCATGCCCATCCCAAGTGGTGATGTTGCAGTAGTGGCTTCTTTGGAGGGGATGGGATTAACTTCTGCTGGGAGTAAATTTTGTATTTGTGACCAAATGAATGTGGGTGAGCCAGGGCTGTGGGAGGCATGGTTGAGCAGGGGTGGTGCGGCCTGTCGTGCTGCTGAGCCCCAGCTCTCCAGGGAGCAGGCTGGTGGCAACATCTGCTGGCAGGGGACACAGGTGGGACAGCTGATCCCCGGATGGCTGGGAGAGGCCAGAGCTGACACCAAGTCTGCTGGGTGCGGGATGGTTCCCCCGGCAAGGGAACTCCTGCGTGGGTGCGGGCAGGTCACTCCTTGGTGGGTGCCGGAGGAGCGGCTCCTCGCCGTCCACCGTGAGCACAGTCGCGGATGGATATGGATGGCGCGACCAGGGCGAAGGAGGACCCGAGGCACTGGGGCAAATGCAACTGGGTTTATTTGGGGGAAGCCCGAGGGTCCAAGGAGGGAGGGAATCAGGACTACAAGTGCAGTTGAAGCGAGCCGGTGTCAGGGGTGAGCTGGTGGCCCGAAGCGGGATGGCAGGGGGTTTATAAAGGGGAAAGTGTAGGCAGGGTCGAGGTACAAATCAAGCAGTGGGTAGAGGGCTCGGAGGAGAGGACAAGGTTGGGTGATGGTGGGTGCACCTATGAGGATGTGGGGAGAGGGTGGTGTGGTTACAGAGTCCGGTGGGGGAGTGAGGAAGAGGGAATATTCCAGAAGGGAGGGAGTGGACAAGAGGTGATTGATGTTGATACGGTAGAATCCTCCCAGGGCGCCTCTGCCCCATCTTCCCTTTCCCCTCCTCCCACAGGAATGTGCTGTCAACCCTGGGGACGTAGATCCGTGTTCGTTAGAGTGAGAGAAGCTTGAAGGAAGTTTGAAGAAAATTACTGGGAAATACATATGCGTTCTCATAGTGTAAAAAAACTTTATTTTTTGTGTATGTCTATCTGTCTATGTATTTATGTATCAATGTATGGATGTATGTATGTGTGTACCTATCTGTCTATCTATCTATCTATCTATCTATCTATCTATCTATCTATCTAAACTACCTATCTATCTTTCTTTCTTTATCTATTTATATTATTTGATTATGTGTCTTTGATGGGTGAGGGTGATGGGGGTGTGGGCAGGCTGACATTTGGTGCTGCTGTGTAATTGTGGCCGGCTGTAGGGTTTTTTTGCCCGCCGTTGTTGCTGCCAGACGTGTCTCATGCGAATGGGCCCAGGCTGGGAGCGGTTGTCCATCGTGGATCCGTGGAAGATCCATGGAGGCCTGTATGGACGTTGTGGCCGTGGTGCTGGACTGTTGGCAGCCAAAGTGCCCTCAGACAGCCCCAGCGCTGCCTGTGTGGAAGTGCTGGGGCTGCTTTCATCAGCACTCTGGGCTGGCCCAGTGTCAATCCTGCGGCGTTTTGCTGGTGGGCCGTATGACACCACTGAGGCACTGTCTTTCTTCGGATAGCCACGTTTGAAGGCACACCGAGGGCAAGAGGAAGAGCTGGCGGTGTTGGTGGAACACTTGCCCTGGGAGAGCTGTGATGCTACCTGGCTGGAAGTGCTGGGCTTGCAGGTGTCAGCACTCTGGGCTGGCCCAGTGTCAATCCTGCGGCGTTTTGCGGGTGGGCCGTATGATACCGCTGAGGCACTGTCTTTCTTCGGATAGCCACGTTTGAAGGCACACCGAGGGCAAGAGGAAGAGCTGGTGGTCTTGGCCAGGCACTTGCCCTGGGAGAGCTGTGGTGCTGCCTGGTTGGGAGTGCTGGGTTTGCAGGTGTCAGCACTGTGGGCTGGCCCATCCTGGATCCTGCAGGGTTCTGCAGGAGGGCTGTGCATTGCCCCTGACTTTATTTCTTCCTCAGTGTGGCACTGCTTGAAGGCCTGCTGAGGGCTGATGGAGCAGCTGCTCTTGAGGAGCACCGTGTCCTGGGACAGAGTCAGCAGTTCTGTGCTTGAGGTTTTGGGGCCCACAAGGTCTGATTTGCCAGTGGAACCTGCAAAGAGGGGCAGGCAGAAGGAAGGTTGTCAGGACAGTCCGCAGGCTGCAGGCAGGAGAGGCCGCTGTGGTATCCCGCCCTTTCCAGGAGCCAAGCTGTGTGCCGAGGGCCCTGGTGCCAGGCCCATTGTGGTCCCTGTGTGGATTGCATAGTGCTGAAAGCTTTGTTGCCTACCAGTGTCGGTGGCAGCACAGGTGCTGCACTCCCAGGAGCAGGTGCTGTTCCCCAAAGAGGAGCAGAGTCGGTGGATGCCCTCAGCAGCGCAGGAGCTGCAGAGGCGCAGTTGCCAGGGTCTGGAGGAGCAAGGAGGTGGTGAGGACAAAGTGTCAGGGCAGGGAGTGCCTGGCAGAGCCCTTGTGCGTAATTCTACATCCCTGTGCTTGTGGGGATACAGATCCTCCTCAGATCGCTGCATTGCTGCTTTGGCAGCTTACCCGTGTGCCTGCGAGTGCTCCCTGCCTCCTGGACAAAGGCACGTTGTGGCATCGCAGCGGCCGTGCCTCTGATCTGAGGGTCCGACGTCTGGGTCACTCTGCCATGATGGGGGTCTGCCAGAGAAGGAAGGGAAAGAGCTGAGCCCACATGAGGCAGGTGGCCGCAGTCACTGCTCCTTTGCCTGTCCCATTTGCAGGGACTGGTTGGAGCTGAGGGCAAGAGGGACAGGCCAGAGGGTGGGCAGGCCTGGCAGGGCAGTCCCTAGGCGGGCACTGTGCTTGTGCCTGGTGCCTTGTGAGCTGGGAGGAGAAAAGCCAACCTCTTAGAGAGTCGGATCCCCATGGTGAGCATTTCCGTCATGAACGGCTCTTGTTTGAGGCAACGCGGGCATCGGAAGTCAATGCCAGCGTGCAGAGCCAGTCTCTGGATGCAGTGCCGGTGGAAGCGGGCGTCTTGGCACGCGGGACACGCCATGGTTATGTAGGAGATGTTGTCTTCCACCGTGTCCAGGCAGATGGTGCAGGTGTTGTCCTGGCTTGGACGTGGCCGCAGTGCCTGCTGTGGGCGGTGCTCCCAGCAGAAGGACCTGTGAGGAGGATGGAGGAGATGGGTGAGGGAAGGGTGAAGGGCAGAGCCCTTGGGCTGTGCTGGCAGTGTGGGTTCAGGAGGTGTGAGGGAGCCCCAGCCCCTGTGTGGGTTCTGTCCCTGTGTGGGGCACGTTGCTGGCAACCATGGGTTCTCGCCTTATGCATTCACTGGAATGTAAAGGGCTTGGAGAGAAATGCAGGGGTTCCGAGGGTGAGGGTGGGCAGCCCTTACCTGTAGGCCCCGAAGTACTGGGTGACACATTGTCCGTCTGGGGCACAGGGCAGGTGGAAGGTGCGGTCGCAGGCCGTCTGGCAGCAGGTGATGGTGGCCCCCATCTTGCAGCAGATGAAACAGGTCTGGAAAGAGCACAGCAGCCCCATGAATGTCAGGACTGGAGCTTTTTGGTCTGTTTGCATCTCCAGACAGTGAGTGGGATGTGGGCAGAGCCAGCTCAGAGTCCCCAGAGCCACGTGCGCACGAGGCCCCTGCAAGTGCCAGGCCTGGGGCTTCTTTGCTGGGGAGCAGGAGGAGGTGGCCAAGCCTCTCCTGGTGCAAAGCTGCCTGCTCCTCCTGCCAGGTCATGCCCACCTTCTTGGCTGCTGCCCTGATGATGCGCCTGGTGTCCCCAACGAGAAAGTGTCCAGTGTCCTCGCGTGGGTAAAGCCCAGTGGCGAGGATCTGCAAGGCAGGGAAGGCCGGGAGCTTGTTAGGTCAGGGAGGCAGGGCCCTTGTGGGCTGAAAGCTGGAGGGAGTCTCAAGAGAATTCACCTGGCAGTAGGTGTGGACACAGAGCTTGAACTTCATTCTCTTGTCCCCACAGAGTTCGTTGTCCTGGGTGTGGTGGCACAGCATGCAGGCTGCAGAGACAGAGCAAGTGCCCCGGGCATGAGCAGGTCTGTGGGGCTGGGCAAGTGTCCATGCAGGATCAGCCCCAGGGCCCTGCAGAGTCTTTGCTCTGCTGGCTGAAAGGCAGAGCAGGTCAGGCGTGGCTGCCCCATCACGTGCCCAGGTCCCCACCCAGTGTGGGAGCTCCTGCCTGGGCCGGGCCTGGCCTGGTTCTTGGCTCCTCACTGACTACCCCAGAAGGCCCTGAGCCAGTGCCAGGGAGCTGTGGGGTGCTTCTGCTCTTACCTTTTTCCTTGGGGACAGTTTCTGGCCGTGCCCTCTTGGATCTAGGAGAGTTTGTTGGCAAGCGGCCGGAGCGTCTCTTGCGCTGCCCTGCTGGCATTTCTCCTCCTGACTGCTGTCTTCCAAGCCTGAGTGAAGAGAGAGATGCGTTTTAGCTGTGTCAGAGGCAGCAGAAGCCTCTGGCTTACCCCGGTGCCTGAGCAGCCTCAGGCAAGCTCGTTCTTCGCAATCTCTCTTCGACTCTGAGGGTGGTGTTGATATGCAGCCAGGTTTTGTGCCTTTGGCCTGGGTGATGATGTCACTGGGGCCACTGTGACATGGGCAGCACTGATGTGTGGTGATGGGCGATGGTGGTGCCATGCCCATCCCAAGTGGTGATGTTGCAGTAGTGGCTTCTTTGGAGGGGATGGGATTAACTTCTGCTGGGAGTAAATTTTGTATTTGTGACCAAATGAATGTGGGTGAGCCAGGGCTGTGGGAGGCATGGTTGAGCAGGGGTGGTGCGGCCTGTCGTGCTGCTGAGCCCCAGCTCTCCAGGGAGCAGGCTGGTGGCAACATCTGCTGGCAGGGGACACAGGTGGGACAGCAGATCCCCGGATGGCAGGGAGAGGCCAGAGCTGACACCAAGTCTGCTGGGTGCGGGATGGTTCCCCCGGCAAGGGAACTCCTGTGTGGGTGCGGGCAGGTCACTCCTTGGTGGGTGCCGGAGGAGCGGCTCCTCGCCGTCCACCGTGAGCACAGTCGCGGATGGATATGGATGGCGCGACCAGGGCGAAGGAGGACCCGAGGCACTGGGGCAAATGCAACTGGGTTTATTTGGGGGAAACCCGAGGGTCCAAGGAGGGAGGGAATCAGGACTACAAGTGCAGTTGAAGCGAGCCGGTGTCAGGGGTGAGCTGGTGGGCCGAAGCGGGATGGCAGGGGGTTTATAAAGGGGAAAGTGTAGGCAGGGTCGAGGTACAAATCAAGCAGTGGGTAGAGGGCTTGGAGGAGAGGACAAGGTTGGGTGATGGTGGGTGCACCTATGAGGATGTGGGGAGAGGGTGGTGTGCTTACAGAGTCCGGTGGGGGAGTGAGGAAGAGGGAATATTCCAGAAGGGAGGGAGTGGACAAGAGGTGATTGATGTTGATACGGTAGAATCCTCCCAGGGCGCCTCTGCCCCATCTTCCCTTTCCCCTCCTCCCACAGGAATGTGCTGTCAACCCTGGGGATGTAGATCCGTGTTCGTTAGAGTGAGAGAAGCTTGAAGGAAGTTTGAAGAAAATTACTGGGAAATACATATGCGTTCTCATAGTGTAAAAAAACTTTATTTTTTGTGTATGTCTATCTGTCTATGTATTTATGTATCAATGTATGGATGTATGTGTGTACCTATCTGTCTATCTATCTATCTATCTATCTATCTATCTATCTATCTAAACTACCTATCTATCTTTCTTTCTTTATCTATTTATATTATTTGATTATGTGTCTTTGATGGGTGAGGGTGATGGGGGTGTGGGCAGGCTGACATTTGGTGCTGCTGTGTATTTGTGGCCGGCTGTAGGGTTTTTTTGCCCGCCGTTGTTGCTGCCAGACGTGTCTCATGCGAATGGGCCCAGGCTGGGAGCGGTTGTCCATCGTGGATCCGTGGAAGATCCATGGAGGCCTGTATGGACGTTGTGGCCGTGGTGCTGGACTGTTGGCAGCCAAAGTGCCCTCAGACAGCCCCAGCGCTGCCTGTGTGGAAGTGCTGGGGCTGCTTTCATCAGCACTCTGGGCTGGCCCAGTGTCAATCCTGCGGCGTTTTGCTGGTGGGCCGTATGACACCACTGAGGCACTGTCTTTCTTTGGATAGCCACGTTTGAAGGCACACCGAGGGCAAGAGGAAGAGCTGGCGGTGTTGGCGGAACACTTGCCCTGGGAGAGCTGTGATGCTACCTGGCTGGAAGTGCTGGGCTTGCAGGTGTCAGCACTGTGGGCTGGCCCAGTGTCAATCCTGCGGCGTTTTGCGGGTGGGCCGTATGATACCGCTGAGGCACTGTCTTTCTTCGGATAGCCACGTTTGAAGGCACACCGAGGGCAAGAGGAAGAGCTGGTGGTCTTGGCCAGGCACTTGCCCTGGGAGAGCTGTGGTGCTGCCTGGTTGGGAGTGCTGGGTTTGCAGGTGTCAGCACTGTGGGCTGGCCCATCCTGGATCCTGCAGGGTTCTGCAGGAGGGCTGTGCATTGCCCCTGACTTTATTTCTTCCTCAGTGTGGCACTGCTTGAAGGCCTGCTGAGGGCTGATGGAGCAGCTGCTCTTGAGGAGCACCGTGTCCTGGGACAGAGTCAGCAGTTCTGTGCTTGAGGTTTTGGGGCCCACAAGGTCTGATTTGCCAGTGGAACCTGCAAAGAGGGGCAGGCAGAAGGAAGGTTGTCAGGACAGTCCCCAGGCTGCAGGCAGGAGAGGCCGCTGTGGTATCCCGCCCTTTCCAGGAGCCAAGCTGTGTGCCGAGGGCCCTGGTGCCAGGCCCATTGTGGTCCCTGTGTGGATTGCATAGTGCTGAAAGCTTTGTTGCCTACCAGTGTCGGTGGCAGCACAGGTGCTGCACTCCCAGGAGCAGGTGCTGTTCCCCAAAGAGGAGCAGAGTCGGTGGATGCCCTCAGCAGCGCAGGAGCTGCAGAGCCGCAGTTGCCAGGGTCTGGAGGAGGAAGGAGGTGGTGAGGACAAAGTGTCAGGGCAGGGAGTGCCTGGCAGAGCCCTTGTGCGTAATTCTACATCCCTGTGCTTGTGGGGATACAGATCCTCCTCAGATCGCTGCATTGCTGCTTTGGCAGCTTACCCGTGTGCCTGCGAGTGCTCCCTGCCTCCTGGACAAAGGCACCTTGTGGCATCGCAGCGGCCGTGCCTCTGATCTGAGGGTCCGACGTCTGGGTCACTCTGCCATGATGGGGGTCTGCCAGAGAAGGAAGGGAAAGAGCTGAGCCCACATGAGGCAGGTGGCCGCAGTCACTGCTCCTTTGCCTGTCCCATTTGCAGGGACTGGTTGGAGCTGAGGGCAAGAGGGACAGGCCAGAGGGTGGGCAGGCCTGGCAGGGCAGTCCCTAGGCGGGCACTGTGCTTGTGCCTGGTGCCTTGTGAGCTGGGAGGAGAAAAGCCAACCTCTTAGAGAGTCGTATCCCCATGGTGAGCATTTCCGTCATGAACGGCTCTTGTTTGAGGCAACGCGGGCATCGGAAGTCAATGCCAGCGTGCAGAGCCAGTCTCTGGATGCAGTGCCGGTGGAAGCGGGCGTCTTGGCACGCGGGACACGCCATGGTTATGTAGGAGATGTTGTCTTCCACCGTGTCCAGGCAGATGGTGCAGGTGTTGTCCTGGCTTGGACGTGGCCGCAGTGCCTGCTGTGGGCGGTGCTCCCAGCAGAAGGACCTGTGAGGAGGATGGAGGAGATGGGTGAGGGAAGGGTGAAGGGCAGAGCCCTTGGGCTGTGCTGGCAGTGTGGGTTCAGGAGGTGTGAGGGAGCCCCAGCCCCTGTGTGGGTTCTGTCCCTGTGTGGGGCACGTTGCTGGCAACCATGGGTTCTCGCCTTATGCATTCACTGGAATGTAAAGGGCTTGGAGAGAAATGCAGGGGTTCCGAGGGTGAGGGTGGGCAGCCCTTACCTGTAGGCCCCGAAGTACTGGGTGACACATTGTCCGTCTGGGGCACAGGGCAGGTGGAAGGTGCGGTCGCAGCCCGTCTGGCAGCAGGTGATGGTGGCCCCCATCTTGCAGCAGATGAAACAGGTCTGGAAAGAGCACAGCAGCCCCATGAATGTCAGGACTGGAGCTTTTTGGTCTGTTTGCATCTCCAGACAGTGAGTGGGATGTGGGCAGAGCCAGCTCAGAGTCCCCAGAGCCACGTGCACACGAGGCCCCTGCAAGTGCCAGGCCTGGGGCTTCTTTGCTGGGGAGCAGGAGGAGGTGGCCAAGCCTCTCCTGGTGCAAAGCTGCCTGCTCCTCCTGCCAGGTCATGCCCACCTTCTTGGCTGCTGCCCTGATGATGCGCCTGGTGTCCCCAACGAGAAAGTGTCCAGTGTCCTCGCGTGGGTAAAGCCCAGTGGCGAGGATCTGCAAGGCAGGGAAGGCCGAGAGCTTGTTAGGTCAGGGAGGCAGGGCCCTTGTGGGCTGAAAGCTGGAGGGAGTCTCAAGAGAATTCACCTGGCAGTAGGTGTGGACACAGAGCTTGAACTTCATTCTCTTGTCCCCACAGAGTTCGTTGTCCTGGGTGTGGTGGCACAGCATGCAGGCTGCAGAGACAGAGCAAGTGCCCCGGGCATGAGCAGGTCTGTGGGGCTGGGCAAGTGTCCATGCAGGATCAGCCCCAGGGCCCTGCAGAGTCTTTGCTCTGCTGGCTGAAAGGCAGAGCAGGTCAGGCGTGGCTGCCCCATCACGTGCCCAGGTCCCCACCCAGTGTGGGAGCTCTTGCCTGGGCCGGGCCTGGCCTGGTTCTTGGCTCCTCACTGACTACCCCAGAAGGCCCTGAGCCAGTGCCAGGGAGCTGTGGGGTGCTTCTGCTCTTACCTTTTTCCTTGGGGACAGTTTCTGGCCGTGCCCTCTTGGATCTAGGAGAGTTTGTTGGCAAGCGGCCGGAGCGTCTCTTGCGCTGCCCTGCTGGCATTTCTCCTCCTGACTGTTGTCTTCCAAGCCTGAGTGAAGAGAGAGATGCGTTTTAGCTGTGTCAGAGGCAGCAGAAGCCTCTGGCTTACCCCGGTGCCTGAGCAGCCTCAGGCAAGCTCGTTCTTCGCAATCTCTCTTCGACTCTGAGGGTGGTGTTGATATGCAGCCAGGTTTTGTGCCTTTGGCCTGGTGATGATGTCACTGGGGCCACTGTGACATGGGCAGCACTGATGTGTGGTGATGGGCGATGGTGGTGCCATGCCCATCCCAAGTGGTGATGTTGCAGTAGTGGCTTCTTTGGAGGGGATGGGATTAACTTCTGCTGGGAGTAAATTTTGTATTTGTGACCAAATGAATGTGGGTGAGCCAGGGCTGTGGGAGGCATGGTTGAGCAGGGGTGGTGCGGCCTGTCGTGCTGCTGAGCCCCAGCTCTCCAGGGAGCAGGCTGGTGGCAACATCTGCTGGCAGGGGACACAGGTGGGACAGCAGATCCCCGGATGGCAGGGAGAGGCCAGAGCTGACACCAAGTCTGCTGGGTGCGGGATGGTTCCCCCGGCAAGGGAACTCCTGCGTGGGTGCGGGCAGGTCACTCCTTGGTGGGTGCCGGAGGAGCGGCTCCTCGCCGTCCACCGTGAGCACAGTCGCGGATGGATATGGATGGCGGGACCAGGGCGAAGGAGGACCCGAGGCACTGGGGCAAATGCAACTGGGTTTATTTGGGGGAAGCCCGAGGGTCCAAGGAGGGAGGGAATCAGGACTACAAGTGCAGTTGAAGCGAGCCGGTGTCAGGGGTGAGCTGGTGGCCCAAAGCGGGATGGCAGGGGGTTTATAAAGGGGAAAGTGTAGGCAGGGTCGAGGTACAAATCAAGCAGTGGGTAGAGGGCTCGGAGGAGAGGACAAGGTTGGGTGATGGTGGGTGCACCTATGAGGATGTGGGGAGAGGGTGGTGTGGTTACAGAGTCCGGTGGGGGAGTGAGGAAGAGGGAATATTCCAGAAGGGAGGGAGTGGACAAGAGGTGATTGATGTGGATACGGTAGAATCCTCCCAGGGCGCCTCTGCCCCATCTTCCCTTTCCCCTCCTCCCACAGGAATGTGCTGTCAACCCTGGGGACGTAGATCCGTGTTCGTTAGAGTGAGAGAAGCTTGAAGGAAGTTTGAAGAAAATTACTGGGAAATACATATGCGTTCTCATAGTGTAAAAAAACTTTATTTTTTGTGTATGTCTATCTGTCTATGTATTTATGTATCAATGTATGGATGTATGTATGTGTGTACCTATCTGTCTATCTATCTATCTATCTATCTATCTATCTATCTAAACTACCTATCTATCTTTCTTTCTTTATCTATTTATATTATTTGATTATGTGTCTTTGATGGGTGAGGGTGATGGGGGTGTGGGCAGGCTGACATTTGGTGCTGCTGTGTATTTGTGGCCGGCTGTAGGGTTTTTTTGCCCGCCGTTGTTGCTGCCAGACGTGTCTCATGCGAATGGGCCCAGGCTGGGAGCGGTTGTCCATCGTGGATCCGTGGAAGATCCATGGAGGCCTGTATGGACGTTGTGGCCGTGGTGCTGGACTGTTGGCAGCCAAAGTGCCCTCAGACAGCCCCAGCGCTGCCTGTGTGGAAGTGCTGGGGCTGCTTTCATCAGCACTCTGGGCTGGCCCAGTGTCAATCCTGCGGCGTTTTGCTGGTGGGCCGTATGACACCACTGAGGCACTGTCTTTCTTCGGATAGCCACGTTTGAAGGCACACCGAGGGCAAGAGGAAGAGCTGGCGGTGTTGGTGGAACACTTGCCCTGGGAGAGCTGTGATGCTACCTGGCTGGAAGTGCTGGGCTTGCAGGTGTCAGCACTGTGGGCTGGCCCAGTGTCAATCCTGCGGCGTTTTGCGGGTGGGCCGTATGATACCGCTGAGGCACTGTCTTTCTTCGGATAGCCACGTTTGAAGGCACACCGAGGGCAAGAGGAAGAGCTGGTGGTCTTGGCCAGGCACTTGCCCTGGGAGAGCTGTGGTGCTGCCTGGTTGGGAGTGCTGGGTGTGCAGGTGTCAGCACTGTGGGCTGGCCCATCCTGGATCCTGCAGGGTTCTGCAGGAGGGCTGTGCATTGCCCCTGACTGTATTTCTTCCTCAGTGTGGCACTGCTTGAAGGCCTGCTGAGGGCTGATGGAGCAGCTGCTCTTGAGGAGCACCGTGTCCTGGGACAGAGTCAGCAGTTCTGTGCTTGAGGTTTTGGGGCCCACAAGGTCTGATTTGCCAGTGGAACCTGCAAAGAGGGGCAGGCAGAAGGAAGGTTGTCAGGACAGTCCGCAGGCTGCAGGCAGGAGAGGCCGCTGTGGTATCCCGCCCTTTCCAGGAGCCAAGCTGTGTGCCGAGGGCCCTGGTGCCAGGCCCATTGTGGTCCCTGTGTGGATTGCATAGTGCTGAAAGCTTTGTTGCCTACCAGTGTCGGTGGCAGCACAGGTGCTGCACTCCCAGGAGCAGGTGCTGTTCCCCAAAGAGGAGCAGAGTCGGTGGATGCCCTCAGCAGCGCAGGAGCTGCAGAGGCGCAGTTGCCAGGGTCTGGAGGAGCAAGGAGGTGGTGAGGACAAAGTGTCAGGGCAGGGAGTGCCTGGCAGAGCCCTTGTGCGTAATTCTACATCCCTGTGCTTGTGGGGATACAGATCCTCCTCAGATCGCTGCATTGCTGCTTTGGCAGCTTACCCGTGTGCCTGCGAGTGCTCCCTGCCTCCTGGACAAAGGCACGTTGTGGCATCGCAGCGGCCGTGCCTCTGATCTGAGGGTCCGACGTCTGGGTCACTCTGCCATGATGGGGGTCTGCCAGAGAAGGAAGGGAAAGAGCTGAGCCCACATGAGGCAGGTGGCCGCAGTCACTGCTCCTTTGCCTGTCCCATTTGCAGGGACTGGTTGGAGCTGAGGGCAAGAGGGACAGGCCAGAGGGTGGGCAGGCCTGGCAGGGCAGTCCCTAGGCGGGCACTGTGCTTGTGCCTGGTGCCTTGTGAGCTGGGAGGAGAAAAGCCAACCTCTTAGAGAGTCGGATCCCCATGGTGAGCATTTCCGTCATGAACGGCTCTTGTTTGAGGCAACGCGGGCATCGGAAGTCAATGCCAGCGTGCAGAGCCAGTCTCTGGATGCAGTGCCGGTGGAAGCGGGCGTCTTGGCACGCGGGACACGCCATGGTTATGTAGGAGATGTTGTCTTCCACCGTGTCCAGGCAGATGGTGCAGGTGTTGTCCTGGCTTGGACGTGGCCGCAGTGCCTGCTGTGGGCGGTGCTCCCAGCAGAAGGACCTGTGAGGAGGATGGAGGAGATGGGTGAGGGAAGGGTGAAGGGCAGAGCCCTTGGGCTGTGCTGGCAGTGTGGGTTCAGGAGGTGTGAGGGAGCCCCAGCCCCTGTGTGGGTTCTGTCCCTGTGTGGGGCACGTTGCTGGCAACCATGGGTTCTCGCCTTATGCATTCACTGGAATGTAAAGGGCTTGGAGAGAAATGCAGGGGTTCCGAGGGTGAGGGTGGGCAGCCCTTACCTGTAGGCCCCGAAGTACTGGGTGACACATTGTCCGTCTGGGGCACAGGGCAGGTGGAAGGTGCGGTCGCAGGCCGTCTGGCAGCAGGTGATGGTGGCCCCCATCTTGCAGCAGATGAAACAGGTCTGGAAAGAGCACAGCAGCCCCATGAATGTCAGGACTGGAGCTTTTTGGTCTGTTTGCATCTCCAGACAGTGAGTGGGATGTGGGCAGAGCCAGCTCAGAGTCCCCAGAGCCACGTGCGCACGAGGCCCCTGCAAGTGCCAGGCCTGGGGCTTCTTTGCTGGGGAGCAGGAGGAGGTGGCCAAGCCTCTCCTGGTGCAAAGCTGCCTGCTCCTCCTGCCAGGTCATGCCCACCTTCTTGGCTGCTGCCCTGATGATGCGCCTGGTGTCCCCAACGAGAAAGTGTCCAGTGTCCTCGCGTGGGTAAAGCCCAGTGGCGAGGATCTGCAAGGCAGGGAAGGCCGGGAGCTTGTTAGGTCAGGGAGGCAGGGCCCTTGTGGGCTGAAAGCTGGAGGGAGTCTCAAGAGAATTCACCTGGCAGTAGGTGTGGACACAGAGCTTGAACTTCATTCTCTTGTCCCCACAGAGTTCGTTGTCCTGGGTGTGGTGGCACAGCATGCAGGCTGCAGAGACAGAGCAAGTGCCCCGGGCATGAGCAGGTCTGTGGGGCTGGGCAAGTGTCCATGCAGGATCAGCCCCAGGGCCCTGCAGAGTCTTTGCTCTGCTGGCTGAAAGGCAGAGCAGGTCAGGCGTGGCTGCCCCATCACGTGCCCAGGTCCCCACCCAGTGTGGGAGCTCCTGCCTGGGCCGGGCCTGGCCTGGTTCTTGGCTCCTCACTGACTACCCCAGAAGGCCCTGAGCCAGTGCCAGGGAGCTGTGGGGTGCTTCTGCTCTTACCTTTTTCCTTGGGGACAGTTTCTGGCCGTGCCCTCTTGGATCTAGGAGAGTTTGTTGGCAAGCGGCCGGAGCGTCTCTTGCGCTGCCCTGCTGGCATTTCTCCTCCTGACTGCTGTCTTCCAAGCCTGAGTGAAGAGAGAGATGCGTTTTAGCTGTGTCAGAGGCAGCAGAAGCCTCTGGCTTACCCCGGTGCCTGAGCAGCCTCAGGCAAGCTCGTTCTTCGCAATCTCTCTTCGACTCTGAGGGTGGTGTTGATATGCAGCCAGGTTTTGTGCCTTTGGCCTGGGTGATGATGTCACTGGGGCCACTGTGACATGGGCAGCACTGATGTGTGGTGATGGGCGATGGTGGTGCCATGCCCATCCCAAGTGGTGATGTTGCAGTAGTGGCTTCTTTGGAGGGGATGGGATTAACTTCTGCTGGGAGTAAATTTTGTATTTGTGACCAAATGAATGTGGGTGAGCCAGGGCTGTGGGAGGCATGGTTGAGCAGGGGTGGTGCGGCCTGTCGTGCTGCTGAGCCCCAGCTCTCCAGGGAGCAGGCTGGTGGCAACATCTGCTGGCAGGGGACACAGGTGGGACAGCAGATCCCCGGATGGCAGGGAGAGGCCAGAGCTGACACCAAGTCTGCTGGGTGCGGGATGGTTCCCCCGGCAAGGGAACTCCTGTGTGGGTGCGGGCAGGTCACTCCTTGGTGGGTGCCGGAGGAGCGGCTCCTCGCCGTCCACCGTGAGCACAGTCGCGGATGGATATGGATGGCGCGACCAGGGCGAAGGAGGACCCGAGGCACTGGGGCAAATGCAACTGGGTTTATTTGGGGGAAACCCGAGGGTCCAAGGAGGGAGGGAATCAGGACTACAAGTGCAGTTGAAGCGAGCCGGTGTCAGGGGTGAGCTGGTGGGCCGAAGCGGGATGGCAGGGGGTTTATAAAGGGGAAAGTGTAGGCAGGGTCGAGGTACAAATCAAGCAGTGGGTAGAGGGCTTGGAGGAGAGGACAAGGTTGGGTGATGGTGGGTGCACCTATGAGGATGTGGGGAGAGGGTGGTGTGCTTACAGAGTCCGGTGGGGGAGTGAGGAAGAGGGAATATTCCAGAAGGGAGGGAGTGGACAAGAGGTGATTGATGTTGATACGGTAGAATCCTCCCAGGGCGCCTCTGCCCCATCTTCCCTTTCCCCTCCTCCCACAGGAATGTGCTGTCAACCCTGGGGATGTAGATCCGTGTTCGTTAGAGTGAGAGAAGCTTGAAGGAAGTTTGAAGAAAATTACTGGGAAATACATATGCGTTCTCATAGTGTAAAAAAACTTTATTTTTTGTGTATGTCTATCTGTCTATGTATTTATGTATCAATGTATGGATGTATGTGTGTACCTATCTGTCTATCTATCTATCTATCTATCTATCTATCTATCTATCTAAACTACCTATCTATCTTTCTTTCTTTATCTATTTATATTATTTGATTATGTGTCTTTGATGGGTGAGGGTGATGGGGGTGTGGGCAGGCTGACATTTGGTGCTGCTGTGTATTTGTGGCCGGCTGTAGGGTTTTTTTGCCCGCCGTTGTTGCTGCCAGACGTGTCTCATGCGAATGGGCCCAGGCTGGGAGCGGTTGTCCATCGTGGATCCGTGGAAGATCCATGGAGGCCTGTATGGACGTTGTGGCCGTGGTGCTGGACTGTTGGCAGCCAAAGTGCCCTCAGACAGCCCCAGCGCTGCCTGTGTGGAAGTGCTGGGGCTGCTTTCATCAGCACTCTGGGCTGGCCCAGTGTCAATCCTGCGGCGTTTTGCTGGTGGGCCGTATGACACCACTGAGGCACTGTCTTTCTTTGGATAGCCACGTTTGAAGGCACACCGAGGGCAAGAGGAAGAGCTGGCGGTGTTGGCGGAACACTTGCCCTGGGAGAGCTGTGATGCTACCTGGCTGGAAGTGCTGGGCTTGCAGGTGTCAGCACTGTGGGCTGGCCCAGTGTCAATCCTGCGGCGTTTTGCGGGTGGGCCGTATGATACCGCTGAGGCACTGTCTTTCTTCGGATAGCCACGTTTGAAGGCACACCGAGGGCAAGAGGAAGAGCTGGTGGTCTTGGCCAGGCACTTGCCCTGGGAGAGCTGTGGTGCTGCCTGGTTGGGAGTGCTGGGTTTGCAGGTGTCAGCACTGTGGGCTGGCCCATCCTGGATCCTGCAGGGTTCTGCAGGAGGGCTGTGCATTGCCCCTGACTTTATTTCTTCCTCAGTGTGGCACTGCTTGAAGGCCTGCTGAGGGCTGATGGAGCAGCTGCTCTTGAGGAGCACCGTGTCCTGGGACAGAGTCAGCAGTTCTGTGCTTGAGGTTTTGGGGCCCACAAGGTCTGATTTGCCAGTGGAACCTGCAAAGAGGGGCAGGCAGAAGGAAGGTTGTCAGGACAGTCCCCAGGCTGCAGGCAGGAGAGGCCGCTGTGGTATCCCGCCCTTTCCAGGAGCCAAGCTGTGTGCCGAGGGCCCTGGTGCCAGGCCCATTGTGGTCCCTGTGTGGATTGCATAGTGCTGAAAGCTTTGTTGCCTACCAGTGTCGGTGGCAGCACAGGTGCTGCACTCCCAGGAGCAGGTGCTGTTCCCCAAAGAGGAGCAGAGTCGGTGGATGCCCTCAGCAGCGCAGGAGCTGCAGAGCCGCAGTTGCCAGGGTCTGGAGGAGGAAGGAGGTGGTGAGGACAAAGTGTCAGGGCAGGGAGTGCCTGGCAGAGCCCTTGTGCGTAATTCTACATCCCTGTGCTTGTGGGGATACAGATCCTCCTCAGATCGCTGCATTGCTGCTTTGGCAGCTTACCCGTGTGCCTGCGAGTGCTCCCTGCCTCCTGGACAAAGGCACCTTGTGGCATCGCAGCGGCCGTGCCTCTGATCTGAGGGTCCGACGTCTGGGTCACTCTGCCATGATGGGGGTCTGCCAGAGAAGGAAGGGAAAGAGCTGAGCCCACATGAGGCAGGTGGCCGCAGTCACTGCTCCTTTGCCTGTCCCATTTGCAGGGACTGGTTGGAGCTGAGGGCAAGAGGGACAGGCCAGAGGGTGGGCAGGCCTGGCAGGGCAGTCCCTAGGCGGGCACTGTGCTTGTGCCTGGTGCCTTGTGAGCTGGGAGGAGAAAAGCCAACCTCTTAGAGAGTCGTATCCCCATGGTGAGCATTTCCGTCATGAACGGCTCTTGTTTGAGGCAACGCGGGCATCGGAAGTCAATGCCAGCGTGCAGAGCCAGTCTCTGGATGCAGTGCCGGTGGAAGCGGGCGTCTTGGCACGCGGGACACGCCATGGTTATGTAGGAGATGTTGTCTTCCACCGTGTCCAGGCAGATGGTGCAGGTGTTGTCCTGGCTTGGACGTGGCCGCAGTGCCTGCTGTGGGCGGTGCTCCCAGCAGAAGGACCTGTGAGGAGGATGGAGGAGATGGGTGAGGGAAGGGTGAAGGGCAGAGCCCTTGGGCTGTGCTGGCAGTGTGGGTTCAGGAGGTGTGAGGGAGCCCCAGCCCCTGTGTGGGTTCTGTCCCTGTGTGGGGCACGTTGCTGGCAACCATGGGTTCTCGCCTTATGCATTCACTGGAATGTAAAGGGCTTGGAGAGAAATGCAGGGGTTCCGAGGGTGAGGGTGGGCAGCCCTTACCTGTAGGCCCCGAAGTACTGGGTGACACATTGTCCGTCTGGGGCACAGGGCAGGTGGAAGGTGCGGTCGCAGCCCGTCTGGCAGCAGGTGATGGTGGCCCCCATCTTGCAGCAGATGAAACAGGTCTGGAAAGAGCACAGCAGCCCCATGAATGTCAGGACTGGAGCTTTTTGGTCTGTTTGCATCTCCAGACAGTGAGTGGGATGTGGGCAGAGCCAGCTCAGAGTCCCCAGAGCCACGTGCACACGAGGCCCCTGCAAGTGCCAGGCCTGGGGCTTCTTTGCTGGGGAGCAGGAGGAGGTGGCCAAGCCTCTCCTGGTGCAAAGCTGCCTGCTCCTCCTGCCAGGTCATGCCCACCTTCTTGGCTGCTGCCCTGATGATGCGCCTGGTGTCCCCAACGAGAAAGTGTCCAGTGTCCTCGCGTGGGTAAAGCCCAGTGGCGAGGATCTGCAAGGCAGGGAAGGCCGAGAGCTTGTTAGGTCAGGGAGGCAGGGCCCTTGTGGGCTGAAAGCTGGAGGGAGTCTCAAGAGAATTCACCTGGCAGTAGGTGTGGACACAGAGCTTGAACTTCATTCTCTTGTCCCCACAGAGTTCGTTGTCCTGGGTGTGGTGGCACAGCATGCAGGCTGCAGAGACAGAGCAAGTGCCCCGGGCATGAGCAGGTCTGTGGGGCTGGGCAAGTGTCCATGCAGGATCAGCCCCAGGGCCCTGCAGAGTCTTTGCTCTGCTGGCTGAAAGGCAGAGCAGGTCAGGCGTGGCTGCCCCATCACGTGCCCAGGTCCCCACCCAGTGTGGGAGCTCTTGCCTGGGCCGGGCCTGGCCTGGTTCTTGGCTCCTCACTGACTACCCCAGAAGGCCCTGAGCCAGTGCCAGGGAGCTGTGGGGTGCTTCTGCTCTTACCTTTTTCCTTGGGGACAGTTTCTGGCCGTGCCCTCTTGGATCTAGGAGAGTTTGTTGGCAAGCGGCCGGAGCGTCTCTTGCGCTGCCCTGCTGGCATTTCTCCTCCTGACTGTTGTCTTCCAAGCCTGAGTGAAGAGAGAGATGCGTTTTAGCTGTGTCAGAGGCAGCAGAAGCCTCTGGCTTACCCCGGTGCCTGAGCAGCCTCAGGCAAGCTCGTTCTTCGCAATCTCTCTTCGACTCTGAGGGTGGTGTTGATATGCAGCCAGGTTTTGTGCCTTTGGCCTGGTGATGATGTCACTGGGGCCACTGTGACATGGGCAGCACTGATGTGTGGTGATGGGCGATGGTGGTGCCATGCCCATCCCAAGTGGTGATGTTGCAGTAGTGGCTTCTTTGGAGGGGATGGGATTAACTTCTGCTGGGAGTAAATTTTGTATTTGTGACCAAATGAATGTGGGTGAGCCAGGGCTGTGGGAGGCATGGTTGAGCAGGGGTGGTGCGGCCTGTCGTGCTGCTGAGCCCCAGCTCTCCAGGGAGCAGGCTGGTGGCAACATCTGCTGGCAGGGGACACAGGTGGGACAGCAGATCCCCGGATGGCAGGGAGAGGCCAGAGCTGACACCAAGTCTGCTGGGTGCGGGATGGTTCCCCCGGCAAGGGAACTCCTGCGTGGGTGCGGGCAGGTCACTCCTTGGTGGGTGCCGGAGGAGCGGCTCCTCGCCGTCCACCGTGAGCACAGTCGCGGATGGATATGGATGGCGGGACCAGGGCGAAGGAGGACCCGAGGCACTGGGGCAAATGCAACTGGGTTTATTTGGGGGAAGCCCGAGGGTCCAAGGAGGGAGGGAATCAGGACTACAAGTGCAGTTGAAGCGAGCCGGTGTCAGGGGTGAGCTGGTGGCCCAAAGCGGGATGGCAGGGGGTTTATAAAGGGGAAAGTGTAGGCAGGGTCGAGGTACAAATCAAGCAGTGGGTAGAGGGCTCGGAGGAGAGGACAAGGTTGGGTGATGGTGGGTGCACCTATGAGGATGTGGGGAGAGGGTGGTGTGGTTACAGAGTCCGGTGGGGGAGTGAGGAAGAGGGAATATTCCAGAAGGGAGGGAGTGGACAAGAGGTGATTGATGTTGATACGGTAGAATCCTCCCAGGGCGCCTCTGCCCCATCTTCCCTTTCCCCTCCTCCCACAGGAATGTGCTGTCAACCCTGGGGACGTAGATCCGTGTTCGTTAGAGTGAGAGAAGCTTGAAGGAAGTTTGAAGAAAATTACTGGGAAATACATATGCGTTCTCATAGTGTAAAAAAACTTTATTTTTTGTGTATGTCTATCTGTCTATGTATTTATGTATCAATGTATGGATGTATGTATGTGTGTACCTATCTGTCTATCTATCTATCTATCTATCTATCTATCTATCTAAACTACCTATCTATCTTTCTTTCTTTATCTATTTATATTATTTGATTATGTGTCTTTGATGGGTGAGGGTGATGGGGGTGTGGGCAGGCTGACATTTGGTGCTGCTGTGTATTTGTGGCCGGCTGTAGGGTTTTTTTGCCCGCCGTTGTTGCTGCCAGACGTGTCTCATGCGAATGGGCCCAGGCTGGGAGCGGTTGTCCATCGTGGATCCGTGGAAGATCCATGGAGGCCTGTATGGACGTTGTGGCCGTGGTGCTGGACTGTTGGCAGCCAAAGTGCCCTCAGACAGCCCCAGCGCTGCCTGTGTGGAAGTGCTGGGGCTGCTTTCATCAGCACTCTGGGCTGGCCCAGTGTCAATCCTGCGGCGTTTTGCTGGTGGGCCGTATGACACCACTGAGGCACTGTCTTTCTTCGGATAGCCACGTTTGAAGGCACACCGAGGGCAAGAGGAAGAGCTGGCGGTGTTGGTGGAACACTTGCCCTGGGAGAGCTGTGATGCTACCTGGCTGGAAGTGCTGGGCTTGCAGGTGTCAGCACTGTGGGCTGGCCCAGTGTCAATCCTGCGGCGTTTTGCGGGTGGGCCGTATGATACCGCTGAGGCACTGTCTTTCTTCGGATAGCCACGTTTGAAGGCACACCGAGGGCAAGAGGAAGAGCTGGTGGTCTTGGCCAGGCACTTGCCCTGGGAGAGCTGTGGTGCTGCCTGGTTGGGAGTGCTGGGTGTGCAGGTGTCAGCACTGTGGGCTGGCCCATCCTGGATCCTGCAGGGTTCTGCAGGAGGGCTGTGCATTGCCCCTGACTGTATTTCTTCCTCAGTGTGGCACTGCTTGAAGGCCTGCTGAGGGCTGATGGAGCAGCTGCTCTTGAGGAGCACCGTGTCCTGGGACAGAGTCAGCAGTTCTGTGCTTGAGGTTTTGGGGCCCACAAGGTCTGATTTGCCAGTGGAACCTGCAAAGAGGGGCAGGCAGAAGGAAGGTTGTCAGGACAGTCCCCAGGCTGCAGGCAGGAGAGGCCGCTGTGGTATCCCGCCCTTTCCAGGAGCCAAGCTGTGTGCCGAGGGCCCTGGTGCCAGGCCCATTGTGGTCCCTGTGTGGATTGCATAGTGCTGAAAGCTTTGTTGCCTACCAGTGTCGGTGGCAGCACAGGTGCTGCACTCCCAGGAGCAGGTGCTGTTCCCCAAAGAGGAGCAGAGTCGGTGGATGCCCTCAGCAGCGCAGGAGCTGCAGAGGCGCAGTTGCCAGGGTCTGGAGGAGCAAGGAGGTGGTGAGGACAAAGTGTCAGGGCAGGGAGTGCCTGGCAGAGCCCTTGTGCGTAATTCTACATCCCTGTGCTTGTGGGGATACAGATCCTCCTCAGATCGCTGCATTGCTGCTTTGGCAGCTTACCCGTGTGCCTGCGAGTGCTCCCTGCCTCCTGGACAAAGGCACCTTGTGGCATCGCAGCGGCCGTGCCTCTGATCTGAGGGTCCGACCTCTGGGTCACTCTGCCATGATGGGGGTCTGCCAGAGAAGGAAGGGAAAGAGCTGAGCCCACATGAGGCAGGTGGCCGCAGTCACTGCTCCTTTGCCTGTCCCATTTGCAGGGACTGGTTGGAGCTGAGGGCAAGAGGGACAGGCCAGAGGGTGGGCAGGCCTGGCAGGGCAGTCCCTAGGCGGGCACTGTGCTTGTGCCTGGTGCCTTGTGAGCTGGGAGGAGAAAAGCCAACCTCTTAGAGAGTCGGATCCCCATGGTGAGCATTTCCGTCATGAACGGCTCTTGTTTGAGGCAACGCGGGCATCGGAAGTCAATGCCAGCGTGCAGAGCCAGTCTCTGGATGCAGTGCCGGTGGAAGCGGGCGTCTTGGCACGCGGGACACGCCATGGTTATGTAGGAGATGTTGTCTTCCACCGTGTCCAGGCAGATGGTGCAGGTGTTGTCCTGGCTTGGACGTGGCCGCAGTGCCTGCTGTGGGCGGTGCTCCCAGCAGAAGGACCTGTGAGGAGGATGGAGGAGATGGGTGAGGGAAGGGTGAAGGGCAGAGCCCTTGGGCTGTGCTAGCAGTGTGGGTTCAGGAGGTGTGAGGGAGCCCCAGCCCCTGTGTGGGTTCTGTCCCTGTGTGGGGCACGTTGCTGGCAACCATGGGTTCTCGCCTTATGCATTCACTGGAATGTAAAGGGCTTGGAGAGAAATGCAGGGGTTCCGAGGGTGAGGGTGGGCAGCCCTTACCTGTAGGCCCCGAAGTACTGGGTGACACATTGTCCGTCTGGGGCACAGGGCAGGTGGAAGGTGCGGTCGCAGCCCGTCTGGCAGCAGGTGATGGTGGCCCCCATCTTGCAGCAGATGAAACAGGTCTGGAAAGAGCACAGCAGCCCCATGAATGTCAGGACTGGAGCTTTTTGGTCTGTTTGCATCTCCAGACAGTGAGTGGGATGTGGGCAGAGCCAGCTCAGAGTCCCCAGAGCCACGTGCGCACGAGGCCCCTGCAAGTGCCAGGCCTGGGGCTTCTTTGCTGGGAGCAGGAGGAGGTGGCCAAGCCTCTCCTGGTGCAAAGCTGCCTGCTCCTCCTGCCAGGTCATGCCCACCTTCTTGGCTGCTGCCCTGATGATGCGCCTGGTGTCCCCAACGAGAAAGTGTCCAGTGTCCTCGCGTGGGTAAAGCCCAGTGGCGAGGATCTGCAAGGCAGGGAAGGCGGGAGCTTGTTAGGTCAGGGAGGCAGGGCCCTTGTGGGCTGAAAGCTGGAGGGAGTCTCAAGAGAATTCACCTGGCAGTAGGTGTGGACACAGAGCTTGAACTTCATTCTCTTGTCCCCACAGAGTTCGTTGTCCTGGGTGTGGTGGCACAGCATGCAGGCTGCAGAGACAGAGCAAGTGCCCCGGGCATGAGCAGGTCTGTGGGGCTGGGCAAGTGTCCATGCAGGATCAGCCCCAGGGCCCTGCAGAGTCTTTGCTCTGCTGGCTGAAAGGCAGAGCAGGTCAGGCGTGGCTGCCCCATCACGTGCCCAGGTCCCCACCCAGTGTGGGAGCTCTTGCCTGGGCCGGGCCTGGTTCTTGGCTCCTCACTGACTACCCCAGAAGGCCCTGAGCCAGTGCCAGGGAGCTGTGGGGTGCTTCTGCTCTTACCTTTTTCCTTGGGGACAGTTTCTGGCCGTGCCCTCTTGGATCTAGGAGAGTTTGTTGGCAAGCGGCCGGAGCGTCTCTTGCGCTGCCCTGCTGGCATTTCTCCTCCTGACTGTTGTCTTCCAAGCCTGAGTGAAGAGAGAGATGCGTTTTAGCTGTGTCAGAGGCAGCAGAAGCCTCTGGCTTACCCCGGTGCCTGAGCAGCCTCAGGCAAGCTCGTTCTTCGCAATCTCTCTTCGACTCTGAGGGTGGTGTTGATATGCAGCCAGGTTTTTTGCCTTTGGCCTGGTGATGATGTCACTGGGGCCACTGTGACATGGGCAGCACTGATGTGTGGTGATGGGCGATGGTGGTGCCATGCCCATCCCAAGTGGTGATGTTGCAGTAGTGGCTTCTTTGGAGGGGATGGGATTAACTTCTGCTGGGAGTAAATTTTGTATTTGTGACCAAATGAATGTGGGTGAGCCAGGGCTGTGGGAGGCATGGTTGAGCAGGGGTGGTGCGGCCTGTCGTGCTGCTGAGCCCCAGCTCTCCAGGGAGCAGGCTGGTGGCAACATCTGCTGGCAGGGGACACAGGTGGGACAGCAGATCCCCGGATGGCTGGGAGAGGCCAGAGCTGACACCAAGTCTGCTGGGTGCGGGATGGTTCCCCCGGCAAGGGAACTCCTGCGTGGGTGCGGGCAGGTCACTCCTTGGTGGGTGCCGGAGGAGCGGCTCCTCGCCGTCCACCGTGAGCACAGTCGCAGATGGATATGGATGGCGGGACCAGGGCGAAGGAGGACCCGAGGCACTGGGGCAAATGCAACTGGGTTTATTTGGGGGAAGCCCGAGGGTCCAAGGAGGGAGGGAATCAGGACTACAAGTGCAGTTGAAGCGAGCCGGTGTCAGGGGTGAGCTGGTGGCCCGAAGCGGGATGGCAGGGGGTTTATAAAGGGGAAAGTGTAGGCAGGGTCGAGGTACAAATCAAGCAGTGGGTAGAGGGCTCGGAGGAGAGGACAAGGTTGGGTGATGGTGGGTGCACCTATGAGGATGTGGGGAGAGGGTGGTGTGGTTACAGAGTCCGGTGGAGGAGTGAGGAAGAGGGAATATTCCAGAAGGGAGGGAGTGGACAAGAGGTGATTGATGTTGATACGGTAGAATCCTCCCAGGGCGCCTCTGCCCCATCTTCCCTTTCCCCTCCTCCCACAGGAATGTGCTGTCAACCCTGGGGACGTAGATCCGTGTTCGTTAGAGTGAGAGAAGCTTGAAGGAAGTTTGAAGAAAATTACTGGGAAATACATATGCGTTCTCATAGTGTAAAAAAACTTTATTTTTTGTGTATGTCTATCTGTCTATGTATTTATGTATCAATGTATGGATGTATGTATGTGTGTACCTATCTGTCTATCTATCTATCTATCTATCTATCTATCTATCTATCTAAACTACCTATCTATCTTTCTTTCTTTATCTATTTATATTATTTGATTATGTGTCTTTGATGGGTGAGGGTGATGGGGGTGTGGGCAGGCTGACATTTGGTGCTGCTGTGTATTTGTGGCCGGCTGTAGGGTTTTTTTGCCCGCCGTTGTTGCTGCCAGACGTGTCTCATGCGAATGGGCCCAGGCTGGGAGCGGTTGTCCATCGTGGATCCGTGGAAGATCCATGGAGGCCTGTATGGACGTTGTGGCCGTGGTGCTGGACTGTTGGCAGCCAAAGTGCCCTCAGACAGCCCCAGCGCTGCCTGTGTGGAAGTGCTGGGGCTGCTTTCATCAGCACTCTGGGCTGGCCCAGTGTCAATCCTGCGGCGTTTTGCTGGTGGGCCGTATGACACCACTGAGGCACTGTCTTTCTTCGGATAGCCACGTTTGAAGGCACACCGAGGGCAAGAGGAAGAGCTGGCGGTGTTGGTGGAACACTTGCCCTGGGAGAGCTGTGATGCTACCTGGCTGGAAGTGCTGGGCTTGCAGGTGTCAGCACTCTGGGCTGGCCCAGTGTCAATCCTGCGGCGTTTTGCGGGTGGGCCGTATGATACCGCTGAGGCACTGTCTTTCTTCGGATAGCCACGTTTGAAGGCACACCGAGGGCAAGAGGAAGAGCTGGTGGTCTTGGCCAGGCACTTGCCCTGGGAGAGCTGTGGTGCTGCCTGGTTGGGAGTGCTGGGTGTGCAGGTGTCAGCACTGTGGGCTGGCCCATCCTGGATCCTGCAGGGTTCTGCAGGAGGGCTGTGCATTGCCCCTGACTTTATTTCTTCCTCAGTGTGGCACTGCTTGAAGGCCTGCTGAGGGCTGATGGAGCAGCTGCTCTTGAGGAGCACCGTGTCCTGGGACAGAGTCAGCAGTTCTGTGCTTGAGGTTTTGGGGCCCACAAGGTCTGATTTGCCAGTGGAACCTGCAAAGAGGGGCAGGCAGAAGGAAGGTTGTCAGGACAGTCCCCAGGCTGCAGGCAGGAGAGGCCGCTGTGGTATCCCGCCCTTTCCAGGAGCCAAGCTGTGTGCCGAGGGCCCTGGTGCCAGGCCCATTGTGGTCCCTGTGTGGATTGCATAGTGCTGAAAGCTTTGTTGCCTACCAGTGTCGGTGGCAGCACAGGTGCTGCACTCCCAGGAGCAGGTGCTGTTCCCCAAAGAGGAGCAGAGTCGGTGGATGCCCTCAGCAGCGCAGGAGCTGCAGAGCCGCAGTTGCCAGGGTCTGGAGGAGCAAGGAGGTGGTGAGGACAAAGTGTCAGGGCAGGGAGTGCCTGGCAGAGCCCTTGTGCGTAATTCTACATCCCTGTGCTTGTGGGGATACAGATCCTCCTCAGATCGCTGCATTGCTGCTTTGGCAGCTTACCCGTGTGCCTGCGAGTGCTCCCTGCCTCCCGGACAAAGGCACATTGTGGCATCGCAGCGGCCGTGCCTCTGATCTGAGGGTCCGACGTCTGGGTCACTCTGCCATGATGGGGGTCTGCCAGAGAAGGAAGGGAAAGAGCTGAGCCCACATGAGGCAGGTGGCCGCAGTCACTGCTCCTTTGCCTGTCCCATTTGCAGGGACTGGTTGGAGCTGAGGGCAAGAGGGACAGGCCAGAGGGTGGGCAGGCCTGGCAGGGCAGTCCCTAGGCGGGCACTGTGCTTGTGCCTGGTGCCTTGTGAGCTGGGAGGAGAAAAGCCAACCTCTTAGAGAGTCGGATCCCCATGGTGAGCATTTCTGTCATGAACGGCTCTTGTTTGAGGCAACGCGGGCATCGGAAGTCAATGCCAGCATGCAGAGCCAGTCTCTGGATGCAGTGCCGGTGGAAGCGGGCGTCTTGGCACGCGGGACACGCCATGGTTATGTAGGAGATGTTGTCTTCCACCGTGTCCAGGCAGATGGTGCAGGTGTTGTCCTGGCTTGGACGTGGCCGCAGTGCCTGCTGTGGGCGGTGCTCCCAGCAGAAGGACCTGTGAGGAGGATGGAGGAGATGGGTGAGGGAAGGGTGAAGGGCAGAGCCCTTGGGCTGTGCTGGCAGTGTGGGTTCAGGAGGTGTGAGGGAGCCCCAGCCCCTGTGTGGGTTCTGTCCCTGTGTGGGGCACGTTGCTGGCAACCATGGGTTCTCGCCTTATGCATTCACTGGAATGTAAAGGGCTTGGAGAGAAATGCAGGGGTTCCGAGGGTGAGGGTGGGCAGCCCTTACCTGTAGGCCCCGAAGTACTGGGTGACACATTGTCCGTCTGGGGCACAGGGCAGGTGGAAGGTGCGGTCGCAGGCCGTCTGGCAGCAGGTGATGGTGGCCCCCATCTTGCAGCAGATGAAACAGCTCTGGAAAGAGCACAGCAGCCCCATGAATGTCAGGACTGGAGCTTTTTGGTCTGTTTGCATCTCCAGACAGTGAGTGGGATGTGGGCAGAGCCAGCTCAGAGTCCCCAGAGCCACGTGCACACGAGGCCCCTGCAAGTGCCAGGCCTGGGGCTTCTTTGCTGGGAGCAGGAGGAGGTGGCCAAGCCTCTCCTGGTGCAAAGCTGCCTGCTCCTCCTGCCAGGTCATGCCCACCTTCTTGGCTGCTGCCCTGATGATGCGCCTGGTGTCCCCAACGAGAAAGTGTCCAGTGTCCTCGCGTGGGTAAAGTCCAGTGGCGAGGATCTGCAAGGCAGGGAAGGCCGGGAGCTTGTTAGGTCAGGGAGGCAGGGCCCTTGTGGGCTGAAAGCTGGAGGGAGTCTCAAGAGAATTCACCTGGCAGTAGGTGTGGACACAGAGCTTGAACTTCATTCTCTTGTCCCCACAGAGTTCGTTGTCCTGGGTGTGGTGGCACAGCATGCAGGCTGCAGAGACAGAGCAAGTGCCCCGGGCATGAGCAGGTCTGTGGGGCTGGGCAAGTGTCCATGCAGGATCAGCCCCAGGGCCCTGCAGAGTCTTTGCTCTGCTGGCTGAAAGGCAGAGCAGGTCAGGCGTGGCTGCCCCATCACGTGCCCAGGTCCCCACCCAGTGTGGGAGCTCTTGCCTGGGCCGGGCCTGGCCTGGTTCTTGGCTCCTCACTGACTACCCCAGAAGGCCCTGAGCCAGTGCCAGGGAGCTGTGGGGTGCTTCTGCTCTTACCTTTTTCCTTGGGGACAGTTTCTGGCCGTGCCCTCTTGGATCTAGGAGAGTTTGTTGGCAAGCGGCCGGAGCGTCTCTTGCGCTGCCCTGCTGGCATTTCTCCTCCTGACTGTTGTCTTCCAAGCCTGAGTGAAGAGAGAGATGCGTTTTAGCTGTGTCAGAGGCAGCAGAAGCCTCTGGCTTACCCCGGTGCCTGAGCAGCCTCAGGCAAGCTCGTTCTTCGCAATCTCTCTTCGACTCTGAGGGTGGTGTTGATATGCAGCCAGGTTTTGTGCCTTTGGCCTGGGTGATGATGTCACTGGGGCCACTGTGACATGGGCAGCACTGATGTGTGGTGATGGGCGATGGTGGTGCCATGCCCATCCCAAGTGGTGATGTTGCAGTAGTGGCTTCTTTGGAGGGGATGGGATTAACTTCTGCTGGGAGTAAATTTTGTATTTGTGACCAAATGAATGTGGGTGAGCCAGGGCTGTGGGAGGCATGGTTGAGCAGGGGTGGTGCGGCCTGTCGTGCTGCTGAGCCCCAGCTCTCCAGGGAGCAGGCTGGTGGCAACATCTGCTGGCAGGGGACACAGGTGGGACAGCAGATCCCCGGATGGCAGGGAGAGGCCAGAGCTGACACCAAGTCTGCTGGGTGCGGGATGGTTCCCCCGGCAAGGGAACTCCTGTGTGGGTGCGGGCAGGTCACTCCTTGGTGGGTGCCGGAGGAGCGGCTCCTCGCCGTCCACCGTGAGCACAGTCGCGGATGGATATGGATGGCGCGACCAGGGCGAAGGAGGACCCGAGGCACTGGGGCAAATGCAACTGGGTTTATTTGGGGGAAACCCGAGGGTCCAAGGAGGGAGGGAATCAGGACTACAAGTGCAGTTGAAGCGAGCCGGTGTCAGGGGTGAGCTGGTGGGCCGAAGCGGGATGGCAGGGGGTTTATAAAGGGGAAAGTGTAGGCAGGGTCGAGGTACAAATCAAGCAGTGGGTAGAGGGCTCGGAGGAGAGGACAAGGTTGGGTGATGGTGGGTGCACCTATGAGGATGTGGGGAGAGGGTGGTGTGGTTACAGAGTCCGGTGGGGGAGTGAGGAAGAGGGAATATTCCAGAAGGGAGGGAGTGGACAAGAGGTGATTGATGTTGATACGGTAGAATCCTCCCAGGGCGCCTCTGCCCCATCTTCCCTTTCCCCTCCTCCCACAGGAATGTGCTGTCAACCCTGGGGACGTAGATCCGTGTTCGTTAGAGTGAGAGAAGCTTGAAGGAAGTTTGAAGAAAATTACTGGGAAATACATATGCGTTCTCATAGTGTAAAAAAACTTTATTTTTTGTGTATGTCTATCTGTCTATGTATTTATGTATCAATGTATGGATGTATGTATGTGTGTACCTATCTGTCTATCTATCTATCTATCTATCTATCTATCTATCTATCTAAACTACCTATCTATCTTTCTTTCTTTATCTATTTATATTATTTGATTATGTGTCTTTGATGGGTGAGGGTGATGGGGGTGTGGGCAGGCTGACATTTGGTGCTGCTGTGTATTTGTGGCCGGCTGTAGGGTTTTTTTGCCCGCCGTTGTTGCTGCCAGACGTGTCTCATGCGAATGGGCCCAGGCTGGGAGCGGTTGTCCATCGTGGATCCGTGGAAGATCCATGGAGGCCTGTATGGACGTTGTGGCCGTGGTGCTGGACTGTTGGCAGCCAAAGTGCCCTCAGACAGCCCCAGCGCTGCCTGTGTGGAAGTGCTGGGGCTGCTTTCATCAGCACTCTGGGCTGGCCCAGTGTCAATCCTGCGGCGTTTTGCTGGTGGGCCGTATGACACCACTGAGGCACTGTCTTTCTTCGGATAGCCACGTTTGAAGGCACACCGAGGGCAAGAGGAAGAGCTGGCGGTGTTGGTGGAACACTTGCCCTGGGAGAGCTGTGATGCTACCTGGCTGGAAGTGCTGGGCTTGCAGGTGTCAGCACTCTGGGCTGGCCCAGTGTCAATCCTGCGGCGTTTTGCGGGTGGGCCGTATGATACCGCTGAGGCACTGTCTTTCTTCGGATAGCCACGTTTGAAGGCACACCGAGGGCAAGAGGAAGAGCTGGTGGTCTTGGCCAGGCACTTGCCCTGGGAGAGCTGTGGTGCTGCCTGGTTGGGAGTGCTGGGTGTGCAGGTGTCAGCACTGTGGGCTGGCCCATCCTGGATCCTGCAGGGTTCTGCAGGAGGGCTGTGCATTGCCCCTGACTTTATTTCTTCCTCAGTGTGGCACTGCTTGAAGGCCTGCTGAGGGCTGATGGAGCAGCTGCTCTTGAGGAGCACCGTGTCCTGGGACAGAGTCAGCAGTTCTGTGCTTGAGGTTTTGGGGCCCACAAGGTCTGATTTGCCAGTGGAACCTGCAAAGAGGGGCAGGCAGAAGGAAGGTTGTCAGGACAGTCCCCAGGCTGCAGGCAGGAGAGGCCGCTGTGGTATCCCGCCCTTTCCAGGAGCCAAGCTGTGTGCCGAGGGCCCTGGTGCCAGGCCCATTGTGGTCCCTGTGTGGATTGCATAGTGCTGAAAGCTTTGTTGCCTACCAGTGTCGGTGGCAGCACAGGTGCTGCACTCCCAGGAGCAGGTGCTGTTCCCCAAAGAGGAGCAGAGTCGGTGGATGCCCTCAGCAGCGCAGGAGCTGCAGAGCCGCAGTTGCCAGGGTCTGGAGGAGCAAGGAGGTGGTGAGGACAAAGTGTCAGGGCAGGGAGTGCCTGGCAGAGCCCTTGTGCGTAATTCTACATCCCTGTGCTTGTGGGGATACAGATCCTCCTCAGATCGCTGCATTGCTGCTTTGGCAGCTTACCCGTGTGCCTGCGAGTGCTCCCTGCCTCCCGGACAAAGGCACATTGTGGCATCGCAGCGGCCGTGCCTCTGATCTGAGGGTCCGACGTCTGGGTCACTCTGCCATGATGGGGGTCTGCCAGAGAAGGAAGGGAAAGAGCTGAGCCCACATGAGGCAGGTGGCCGCAGTCACTGCTCCTTTGCCTGTCCCATTTGCAGGGACTGGTTGGAGCTGAGGGCAAGAGGGACAGGCCAGAGGGTGGGCAGGCCTGGCAGGGCAGTCCCTAGGCGGGCACTGTGCTTGTGCCTGGTGCCTTGTGAGCTGGGAGGAGAAAAGCCAACCTCTTAGAGAGTCGGATCCCCATGGTGAGCATTTCTGTCATGAACGGCTCTTGTTTGAGGCAACGCGGGCATCGGAAGTCAATGCCAGCATGCAGAGCCAGTCTCTGGATGCAGTGCCGGTGGAAGCGGGCGTCTTGGCACGCGGGACACGCCATGGTTATGTAGGAGATGTTGTCTTCCACCGTGTCCAGGCAGATGGTGCAGGTGTTGTCCTGGCTTGGACGTGGCCGCAGTGCCTGCTGTGGGCGGTGCTCCCAGCAGAAGGACCTGTGAGGAGGATGGAGGAGATGGGTGAGGGAAGGGTGAAGGGCAGAGCCCTTGGGCTGTGCTGGCAGTGTGGGTTCAGGAGGTGTGAGGGAGCCCCAGCCCCTGTGTGGGTTCTGTCCCTGTGTGGGGCACGTTGCTGGCAACCATGGGTTCTCGCCTTATGCATTCACTGGAATGTAAAGGGCTTGGAGAGAAATGCAGGGGTTCCGAGGGTGAGGGTGGGCAGCCCTTACCTGTAGGCCCCGAAGTACTGGGTGACACATTGTCCGTCTGGGGCACAGGGCAGGTGGAAGGTGCGGTCGCAGGCCGTCTGGCAGCAGGTGATGGTGGCCCCCATCTTGCAGCAGATGAAACAGCTCTGGAAAGAGCACAGCAGCCCCATGAATGTCAGGACTGGAGCTTTTTGGTCTGTTTGCATCTCCAGACAGTGAGTGGGATGTGGGCAGAGCCAGCTCAGAGTCCCCAGAGCCACGTGCACACGAGGCCCCTGCAAGTGCCAGGCCTGGGGCTTCTTTGCTGGGAGCAGGAGGAGGTGGCCAAGCCTCTCCTGGTGCAAAGCTGCCTGCTCCTCCTGCCAGGTCATGCCCACCTTCTTGGCTGCTGCCCTGATGATGCGCCTGGTGTCCCCAACGAGAAAGTGTCCAGTGTCCTCGCGTGGGTAAAGTCCAGTGGCGAGGATCTGCAAGGCAGGGAAGGCCGGGAGCTTGTTAGGTCAGGGAGGCAGGGCCCTTGTGGGCTGAAAGCTGGAGGGAGTCTCAAGAGAATTCACCTGGCAGTAGGTGTGGACACAGAGCTTGAACTTCATTCTCTTGTCCCCACAGAGTTCGTTGTCCTGGGTGTGGTGGCACAGCATGCAGGCTGCAGAGACAGAGCAAGTGCCCCGGGCATGAGCAGGTCTGTGGGGCTGGGCAAGTGTCCATGCAGGATCAGCCCCAGGGCCCTGCAGAGTCTTTGCTCTGCTGGCTGAAAGGCAGAGCAGGTCAGGCGTGGCTGCCCCATCACGTGCCCAGGTCCCCACCCAGTGTGGGAGCTCTTGCCTGGGCCGGGCCTGGCCTGGTTCTTGGCTCCTCACTGACTACCCCAGAAGGCCCTGAGCCAGTGCCAGGGAGCTGTGGGGTGCTTCTGCTCTTACCTTTTTCCTTGGGGACAGTTTCTGGCCGTGCCCTCTTGGATCTAGGAGAGTTTGTTGGCAAGCGGCCGGAGCGTCTCTTGCGCTGCCCTGCTGGCATTTCTCCTCCTGACTGTTGTCTTCCAAGCCTGAGTGAAGAGAGAGATGCGTTTTAGCTGTGTCAGAGGCAGCAGAAGCCTCTGGCTTACCCCGGTGCCTGAGCAGCCTCAGGCAAGCTCGTTCTTCGCAATCTCTCTTCGACTCTGAGGGTGGTGTTGATATGCAGCCAGGTTTTGTGCCTTTGGCCTGGGTGATGATGTCACTGGGGCCACTGTGACATGGGCAGCACTGATGTGTGGTGATGGGCGATGGTGGTGCCATGCCCATCCCAAGTGGTGATGTTGCAGTAGTGGCTTCTTTGGAGGGGATGGGATTAACTTCTGCTGGGAGTAAATTTTGTATTTGTGACCAAATGAATGTGGGTGAGCCAGGGCTGTGGGAGGCATGGTTGAGCAGGGGTGGTGCGGCCTGTCGTGCTGCTGAGCCCCAGCTCTCCAGGGAGCAGGCTGGTGGCAACATCTGCTGGCAGGGGACACAGGTGGGACAGCAGATCCCCGGATGGCAGGGAGAGGCCAGAGCTGACACCAAGTCTGCTGGGTGCGGGATGGTTCCCCCGGCAAGGGAACTCCTGTGTGGGTGCGGGCAGGTCACTCCTTGGTGGGTGCCGGAGGAGCGGCTCCTCGCCGTCCACCGTGAGCACAGTCGCGGATGGATATGGATGGCGCGACCAGGGCGAAGGAGGACCCGAGGCACTGGGGCAAATGCAACTGGGTTTATTTGGGGGAAACCCGAGGGTCCAAGGAGGGAGGGAATCAGGACTACAAGTGCAGTTGAAGCGAGCCGGTGTCAGGGGTGAGCTGGTGGGCCGAAGCGGGATGGCAGGGGGTTTATAAAGGGGAAAGTGTAGGCAGGGTCGAGGTACAAATCAAGCAGTGGGTAGAGGGCTCGGAGGAGAGGACAAGGTTGGGTGATGGTGGGTGCACCTATGAGGATGTGGGGAGAGGGTGGTGTGGTTACAGAGTCCGGTGGGGGAGTGAGGAAGAGGGAATATTCCAGAAGGGAGGGAGTGGACAAGAGGTGATTGATGTTGATACGGTAGAATCCTCCCAGGGCGCCTCTGCCCCATCTTCCCTTTCCCCTCCTCCCACAGGAATGTGCTGTCAACCCTGGGGACGTAGATCCGTGTTCGTTAGAGTGAGAGAAGCTTGAAGGAAGTTTGAAGAAAATTACTGGGAAATACATATGCGTTCTCATAGTGTAAAAAAACTTTATTTTTTGTGTATGTCTATCTGTCTATGTATTTATGTATCAATGTATGGATGTATGTATGTGTGTACCTATCTGTCTATCTATCTATCTATCTATCTATCTATCTATCTATCTAAACTACCTATCTATCTTTCTTTCTTTATCTATTTATATTATTTGATTATGTGTCTTTGATGGGTGAGGGTGATGGGGGTGTGGGCAGGCTGACATTTGGTGCTGCTGTGTATTTGTGGCCGGCTGTAGGGTTTTTTTGCCCGCCGTTGTTGCTGCCAGACGTGTCTCATGCGAATGGGCCCAGGCTGGGAGCGGTTGTCCATCGTGGATCCGTGGAAGATCCATGGAGGCCTGTATGGACGTTGTGGCCGTGGTGCTGGACTGTTGGCAGCCAAAGTGCCCTCAGACAGCCCCAGCGCTGCCTGTGTGGAAGTGCTGGGGCTGCTTTCATCAGCACTCTGGGCTGGCCCAGTGTCAATCCTGCGGCGTTTTGCTGGTGGGCCGTATGACACCACTGAGGCACTGTCTTTCTTCGGATAGCCACGTTTGAAGGCACACCGAGGGCAAGAGGAAGAGCTGGCGGTGTTGGTGGAACACTTGCCCTGGGAGAGCTGTGATGCTACCTGGCTGGAAGTGCTGGGCTTGCAGGTGTCAGCACTCTGGGCTGGCCCAGTGTCAATCCTGCGGCGTTTTGCGGGTGGGCCGTATGATACCGCTGAGGCACTGTCTTTCTTCGGATAGCCACGTTTGAAGGCACACCGAGGGCAAGAGGAAGAGCTGGTGGTCTTGGCCAGGCACTTGCCCTGGGAGAGCTGTGGTGCTGCCTGGTTGGGAGTGCTGGGTGTGCAGGTGTCAGCACTGTGGGCTGGCCCATCCTGGATCCTGCAGGGTTCTGCAGGAGGGCTGTGCATTGCCCCTGACTGTATTTCTTCCTCAGTGTGGCACTGCTTGAAGGCCTGCTGAGGGCTGATGGAGCAGCTGCTCTTGAGGAGCACCGTGTCCTGGGACAGAGTCAGCAGTTCTGTGCTTGAGGTTTTGGGGCCCACAAGGTCTGATTTGCCAGTGGAACCTGCAAAGAGGGGCAGGCAGAAGGAAGGTTGTCAGGACAGTCCCCAGGCGGCAGGCAGGAGAGGCCGCTGTGGTATCCCGCCCTTTCCAGGAGCCAAGCTGTGTGCCGAGGGCCCTGGTGCCAGGCCCATTGTGGTCCCTGTGTGGATTGCATAGTGCTGAAAGCTTTGTTGCCTACCAGTGTCGGTGGCAGCACAGGTGCTGCACTCCCAGGAGCAGGTGCTGTTCCCCAAAGAGGAGCAGAGTCGGTGGATGCCCTCAGCAGCGCAGGAGCTGCAGAGGCGCAGTTGCCAGGGTCTGGAGGAGCAAGGAGGTGGTGAGGACAAAGTGTCAGGGCAGGGAGTGCCTGGCAGAGCCCTTGTGCGTAATTCTACATCCCTGTGCTTGTGGGGATACAGATCCTCCTCAGATCGCTGCATTGCTGCTTTGGCAGCTTACCCGTGTGCCTGCGAGTGCTCCCTGCCTCCTGGACAAAGGCACCTTGTGGCATCGCAGCGGCCGTGCCTCTGATCTGAGGGTCCGACGTCTGGGTCACTCTGCCATGATGGGGGTCTGCCAGAGAAGGGAGGGAAAGAGCTGAGCCCACATGAGGCAGGTGGCCGCAGTCACTGCTCCTTTGCCTGTCCCATTTGCAGGGACTGGTTGGAGCTGAGGGCAAGAGGGACAGGCCAGAGGGTGGGCAGGCCTGGCAGGGCAGTCCCTAGGCGGGCACTGTGCTTGTGCCTGGTGCCTTGTGAGCTGGGAGGAGAAAAGCCAACCTCTTAGAGAGTCGGATCCCCATGGTGAGCATTTCCGTCATGAACGGCTCTTGTTTGAGGCAACGCGGGCATCGGAAGTCAATGCCAGCGTGCAGAGCCAGTCTCTGGATGCAGTGCCGGTGGAAGCGGGCGTCTTGGCACGCGGGACACGCCATGGTTATGTAGGAGATGTTGTCTTCCACCGTGTCCAGGCAGATGGTGCAGGTGTTGTCCTGGCTTGGACGTGGCCGCAGTGCCTGCTGTGGGCGGTGCTCCCAGCAGAAGGACCTGTGAGGAGGATGGAGGAGATGGGTGAGGGAAGGGTGAAGGGCAGAGCCCTTGGGCTGTGCTGGCAGTGTGGGTTCAGGAGGTGTGAGGGAGCCCCAGCCCCTGTGTGGGTTCTGTCCCTGTGTGGGGCACGTTGCTGGCAACCATGGGTTCTCGCCTTATGCATTCACTGGAATGTAAAGGGCTTGGAGAGAAATGCAGGGGTTCCGAGGGTGAGGGTGGGCAGCCCTTACCTGTAGGCCCCGAAGTACTGGGTGACACATTGTCCGTCTGGGGCACAGGGCAGGTGGAAGGTGCGGTCGCAGGCCGTCTGGCAGCAGGTGATGGTGGCCCCCATCTTGCAGCAGATGAAACAGCTCTGGAAAGAGCACAGCAGCCCCATGAATGTCAGGACTGGAGCTTTTTGGTCTGTTTGCATCTCCAGACAGTGAGTGGGATGTGGGCAGAGCCAGCTCAGAGTCCCCAGAGCCACGTGCACACGAGGCCCCTGCAAGTGCCAGGCCTGGGGCTTCTTTGCTGGGAGCAGGAGGAGGTGGCCAAGCCTCTCCTGGTGCAAAGCTGCCTGCTCCTCCTGCCAGGTCATGCCCACCTTCTTGGCTGCTGCCCTGATGATGCGCCTGGTGTCCCCAACGAGAAAGTGTCCAGTGTCCTCGCGTGGGTAAAGTCCAGTGGCGAGGATCTGCAAGGCAGGGAAGGCCGGGAGCTTGTTAGGTCAGGGAGGCAGGGCCCTTGTGGGCTGAAAGCTGGAGGGAGTCTCAAGAGAATTCACCTGGCAGTAGGTGTGGACACAGAGCTTGAACTTCATTCTCTTGTCCCCACAGAGTTCGTTGTCCTGGGTGTGGTGGCACAGCATGCAGGCTGCAGAGACAGAGCAAGTGCCCCGGGCATGAGCAGGTCTGTGGGGCTGGGCAAGTGTCCATGCAGGATCAGCCCCAGGGCCCTGCAGAGTCTTTGCTCTGCTGGCTGAAAGGCAGAGCAGGTCAGGCGTGGCTGCCCCATCACGTGCCCAGGTCCCCACCCAGTGTGGGAGCTCTTGCCTGGGCCGGGCCTGGTTCTTGGCTCCTCACTGACTACCCCAGAAGGCCCTGAGCCAGTGCCAGGGAGCTGTGGGGTGCTTCTGCTCTTACCTTTTTCCTTGGGGACAGTTTCTGGCCGTGCCCTCTTGGATCTAGGAGAGTTTGTTGGCAAGCGGCCGGAGCGTCTCTTGCGCTGCCCTGCTGGCATTTCTCCTCCTGACTGTTGTCTTCCAAGCCTGAGTGAAGAGAGAGATGCGTTTTAGCTGTGTCAGAGGCAGCAGAAGCCTCTGGCTTACCCCGGTGCCTGAGCAGCCTCAGGCAAGCTCGTTCTTCGCAATCTCTCTTCGACTCTGAGGGTGGTGTTGATATGCAGCCAGGTTTTGTGCCTTTGGCCTGGGTGATGATGTCACTGGGGCCACTGTGACATGGGCAGCACTGATGTGTGGTGATGGGCGATGGTGGTGCCATGCCCATCCCAAGTGGTGATGTTGCAGTAGTGGCTTCTTTGGAGGGGATGGGATTAACTTCTGCTGGGAGTAAATTTTGTATTTGTGACCAAATGAATGTGGGTGAGCCAGGGCTGTGGGAGGCATGGTTGAGCAGGGGTGGTGCGGCCTGTCGTGCTGCTGAGCCCCAGCTCTCCAGGGAGCAGGCTGGTGGCAACATCTGCTGGCAGGGGACACAGGTGGGACAGCTGATCCCCGGATGGCTGGGAGAGGCCAGAGCTGACACCAAGTCTGCTGGGTGCGGGATGGTTCCCCCGGCAAGGGAACTCCTGTGTGGGTGCGGGCAGGTCACTCCTTGGTGGGTGCCGGAGGAGCGGCTCCTCGCCGTCCACCGTGAGCACAGTCGCGGATGGATATGGATGGCGCGACCAGGGCGAAGGAGGACCCGAGGCACTGGGGCAAATGCAACTGGGTTTATTTGGGGGAAACCCGAGGGTCCAAGGAGGGAGGGAATCAGGACTACAAGTGCAGTTGAAGCGAGCCGGTGTCAGGGGTGAGCTGGTGGCCCGAAGCGGGATGGCAGGGGGTTTATAAAGGGGAAAGTGTAGGCAGGGTCGAGGTACAAATCAAGCAGTGGGTAGAGGGCTCGGAGGAGAGGACAAGGTTGGGTGATGGTGGGTGCACCTATGAGGATGTGGGGAGAGGGTGGTGTGGTTACAGAGTCCGGTGGGGGAGTGAGGAAGAGGGAATATTCCAGAAGGGAGGGAGTGGACAAGAGGTGATTGATGTTGATACGGTAGAATCCTCCCAGGGCGCCTCTGCCCCATCTTCCCTTTCCCCTCCTCCCACAGGAATGTGCTGTCAACCCTGGGGACGTAGATCCGTGTTCGTTAGAGTGAGAGAAGCTTGAAGGAAGTTTGAAGAAAATTACTGGGAAATACATATGCGTTCTCATAGTGTAAAAAAACTTTATTTTTTGTGTATGTCTATCTGTCTATGTATTTATGTATCAATGTATGGATGTATGTATGTGTGTACCTATCTGTCTATCTATCTATCTATCTATCTATCTATCTATCTATCTAAACTACCTATCTATCTTTCTTTCTTTATCTATTTATATTATTTGATTATGTGTCTTTGATGGGTGAGGGTGATGGGGGTGTGGGCAGGCTGACATTTGGTGCTGCTGTGTATTTGTGGCCGGCTGTAGGGTTTTTTTGCCCGCCGTTGTTGCTGCCAGACGTGTCTCATGCGAATGGGCCCAGGCTGGGAGCGGTTGTCCATCGTGGATCCGTGGAAGATCCATGGAGGCCTGTATGGACGTTGTGGCCGTGGTGCTGGACTGTTGGCAGCCAAAGTGCCCTCAGACAGCCCCAGCGCTGCCTGTGTGGAAGTGCTGGGGCTGCTTTCATCAGCACTCTGGGCTGGCCCAGTGTCAATCCTGCGGCGTTTTGCTGGTGGGCCGTATGACACCACTGAGGCACTGTCTTTCTTCGGATAGCCACGTTTGAAGGCACACCGAGGGCAAGAGGAAGAGCTGGCGGTGTTGGTGGAACACTTGCCCTGGGAGAGCTGTGATGCTACCTGGCTGGAAGTGCTGGGCTTGCAGGTGTCAGCACTGTGGGCTGGCCCAGTGTCAATCCTGCGGCGTTTTGCGGGTGGGCCGTATGATACCGCTGAGGCACTGTCTTTCTTCGGATAGCCACGTTTGAAGGCACACCGAGGGCAAGAGGAAGAGCTGGTGGTCTTGGCCAGGCACTTGCCCTGGGAGAGCTGTGGTGCTGCCTGGTTGGGAGTGCTGGGTGTGCAGGTGTCAGCACTGTGGGCTGGCCCATCCTGGATCCTGCAGGGTTCTGCAGGAGGGCTGTGCATTGCCCCTGACTGTATTTCTTCCTCAGTGTGGCACTGCTTGAAGGCCTGCTGAGGGCTGATGGAGCAGCTGCTCTTGAGGAGCACCGTGTCCTGGGACAGAGTCAGCAGTTCTGTGCTTGAGGTTTTGGGGCCCACAAGGTCTGATTTGCCAGTGGAACCTGCAAAGAGGGGCAGGCAGAAGGAAGGTTGTCAGGACAGTCCCCAGGCGGCAGGCAGGAGAGGCCGCTGTGGTATCCCGCCCTTTCCAGGAGCCAAGCTGTGTGCCGAGGGCCCTGGTGCCAGGCCCATTGTGGTCCCTGTGTGGATTGCATAGTGCTGAAAGCTTTGTTGCCTACCAGTGTCGGTGGCAGCACAGGTGCTGCACTCCCAGGAGCAGGTGCTGTTCCCCAAAGAGGAGCAGAGTCGGTGGATGCCCTCAGCAGCGCAGGAGCTGCAGAGGCGCAGTTGCCAGGGTCTGGAGGAGCAAGGAGGTGGTGAGGACAAAGTGTCAGGGCAGGGAGTGCCTGGCAGAGCCCTTGTGCGTAATTCTACATCCCTGTGCTTGTGGGGATACAGATCCTCCTCAGATCGCTGCATTGCTGCTTTGGCAGCTTACCCGTGTGCCTGCGAGTGCTCCCTGCCTCCTGGACAAAGGCACCTTGTGGCATCGCAGCGGCCGTGCCTCTGATCTGAGGGTCCGACGTCTGGGTCACTCTGCCATGATGGGGGTCTGCCAGAGAAGGGAGGGAAAGAGCTGAGCCCACATGAGGCAGGTGGCCGCAGTCACTGCTCCTTTGCCTGTCCCATTTGCAGGGACTGGTTGGAGCTGAGGGCAAGAGGGACAGGCCAGAGGGTGGGCAGGCCTGGCAGGGCAGTCCCTAGGCGGGCACTGTGCTTGTGCCTGGTGCCTTGTGAGCTGGGAGGAGAAAAGCCAACCTCTTAGAGAGTCGGATCCCCATGGTGAGCATTTCTGTCATGAACGGCTCTTGTTTGAGGCAACGCGGGCATCGGAAGTCAATGCCAGCGTGCAGAGCCAGTCTCTGGATGCAGTGCCGGTGGAAGCGGGCGTCTTGGCACGCGGGACACGCCATGGTTATGTAGGAGATGTTGTCTTCCACCGTGTCCAGGCAGATGGTGCAGGTGTTGTCCTGGCTTGGACGTGGCCGCAGTGCCTGCTGTGGGCAGTGCTCCCAGCAGAAGGACCTGTGAGGAAGATGGAGGAGATGGGTGAGGGAAGGGTGAAGGGCAGAGCCCTTGGGCTGTGCTGGCAGTGTGGGTTCAGGAGGTGTGAGGGAGCCCCAGCCCCTGTGTGGGTTCTGTCCCTGTGTGGGGCACGTTGCTGGCAACCATGGGTTCTCGCCTTATGCATTCACTGGAATGTAAAGGGCTTGGAGAGAAATGCAGGGGTTCCGAGGGTGAGGGTGGGCAGCCCTTACCTGTAGGCCCCGAAGTACTGGGTGACACATTGTCCGTCTGGGGCACAGGACAGGTGGAAGGTGCGGTCGCAGCCCGTCTGGCAGCAGGTGATGGTGGCCCCCATCTTGCAGCAGATGAAACAGCTCTGGAAAGAGCACAGCAGCCCCATGAATGTCAGGACTGGAGCTTTTTGGTCTGTTTGCATCTCCAGACAGTGAGTGGGATGTGGGCAGAGCCAGCTCAGAGTCCCCAGAGCCACGTGCGCACGAGGCCCCTGCAAGTGCCAGGCCTGGGGCTTCTTTGCTGGGAGCAGGAGGAGGTGGCCAAGCCTCTCCTGGTGCAAAGCTGCCTGCTCCTCCTGCCAGGTCATGCCCACCTTCTTGGCTGCTGCCCTGATGATGCGCCTGGTGTCCCCAACGAGAAAGTGTCCAGTGTCCTCGCGTGGGTAAAGCCCAGTGGCGAGGATCTGCAAGGCAGGGAAGGCCGGGAGCTTGTTAGGTCAGGGAGGCAGGGCCCTTGTGGGCTGAAAGCTGGAGGGAGTCTCAAGAGAATTCACCTGGCAGTAGGTGTGGACACAGAGCTTGAACTTCATTCTCTTGTCCCCACAGAGTTCGTTGTCCTGGGTGTGGTGGCACAGCATGCAGGCTGCAGAGACAGAGCAAGTGCCCCGGGCATGAGCAGGTCTGTGGGGCTGGGCAAGTGTCCATGCAGGATCAGCCCCAGGGCCCTGCAGAGTCTTTGCTCTGCTGGCTGAAAGGCAGAGCAGGTCAGGCGTGGCTGCCCCATCACGTGCCCAGGTCCCCACCCAGTGTGGGAGCTCTTGCCTGGGCCGGGCCTGGTTCTTGGCTCCTCACTGACTACCCCAGAAGGCCCTGAGCCAGTGCCAGGGAGCTGTGGGGTGCTTCTGCTCTTACCTTTTTCCTTGGGGACAGTTTCTGGCCGTGCCCTCTTGGATCTAGGAGAGTTTGTTGGCAAGCGGCCGGAGCGTCTCTTGCGCTGCCCTGCTGGCATTTCTCCTCCTGACTGTTGTCTTCCAAGCCTGAGTGAAGAGAGAGATGTGTTTTAGCTGTGTCCGAGGCAGCAGAAGCCTCTGGCTTACCCCGGTGCCTGAGCAGCCTCAGGCAAGCTCGTTCTTCGCAATCTCTCTTCGACTCTGAGGGTGGTGTTGATATGCAGCCAGGTTTTGTGCCTTTGGCCTGGGTGATGATGTCACTGGGGCCACTGTGACATGGGCAGCACTGATGTGTGGTGATGGGCGATGGTGGTGCCATGCCCATCCCAAGTGGTGATGTTGCAGTAGTGGCTTCTTTGGAGGGGATGGGATTAACTTCTGCTGGGAGTAAATTTTGTATTTGTGACCAAATGAATGTGGGTGAGCCAGGGCTGTGGGAGGCATGGTTGAGCAGGGGTGGTGCGGCCTGTCGTGCTGCTGAGCCCCAGCTCTCCAGGGAGCAGGCTGGTGGCAACATCTGCTGGCAGGGGACACAGGTGGGACAGCAGATCCCCGGATGGCAGGGAGAGGCCAGAGCTGACACCAAGTCTGCTGGGTGCGGGATGGTTCCCCCGGCAAGGGAACTCCTGTGTGGGTGCGGGCAGGTCACTCCTTGGTGGGTGCCGGAGGAGCGGCTCCTCGCCGTCCACCGTGAGCACAGTCGCGGATGGATATGGATGGCGGGACCAGGGCGAAGGAGGACCCGAGGCACTGGGGCAAATGCAACTGGGTTTATTTGGGGGAAGCCCGAGGGTCCAAGGAGGGAGGGAATCAGGACTACAAGTGCAGTTGAAGCGAGCCGGTGTCAGGGGTGAGCTGGTGGCCCGAAGCGGGATGGCAGGGGGTTTATAAAGGGGAAAGTGTAGGCAGGGTCGAGGTACAAATCAAGCAGTGGGTAGAGGGCTCGGAGGAGAGGACAAGGTTGGGTGATGGTGGGTGCACCTATGAGGATGTGGGGAGAGGGTGGTGTGGTTACAGAGTCCGGTGGGGGAGTGAGGAAGAGGGAATATTCCAGAAGGGAGGGAGTGGACAAGAGGTGATTGATGTTGATACGGTAGAATCCTCCCAGGGCGCCTCTGCCCCATCTTCCCTTTCCCCTCCTCCCACAGGAATGTGCTGTCAACCCTGGGGACGTAGATCCGTGTTGGTTAGAGTGAGAGAAGCTTGAAGGAAGTTTGAAGAAAATTACTGGGAAATACATATGCGTTCTCATAGTGTAAAAAAACTTTATTTTTTGTGTATGTCTATCTGTCTATGTATTTATGTATCAATGTATGGATGTATGTATGTGTGTACCTATCTGTCTATCTATCTATCTATCTATCTATCTATCTATCTATTTAAACTATCTACCTATATTTCTTTCTTTATCTATTTATATAATTTGATTATGTGTCTTTGATGGGTGAGGGTGATGGGGGTGTGGGCAGGCTGACATTTGGTGCTGCTGTGTATTTGTGGCCGGCTGTAGGGTTTTTTTGCCCGCCGTTGTTGCTGCCAGACGTGTCTCATGCGAATGGGCCCAGGCTGGGAGCGGTTGTCCATCGTGGATCCGTGGAAGATCCATGGAGGCCTGTATGGACGTTGTGGCCGTGGTGCTGGACTGTTGGCAGCCAAAGTGCCCTCAGACAGCCCCAGCGCTGCCTGTGTGGAAGTGCTGGGGCTGCTTTCATCAGCACTCTGGGCTGGCCCAGTGTCAATCCTGCGGCGTTTTGCTGGTGGGCCGTATGACACCACTGAGGCACTGTCTTTCTTTGGATAGCCACGTTTGAAGGCACACCGAGGGCAAGAGGAAGAGCTGGCGGTGTTGGCGGAACACTTGCCCTGGGAGAGCTGTGATGCTACCTGGCTGGAAGTGCTGGGTTTGCAGGTGTCAGCACTCTGGGCTGGCCCAGTGTCAATCCTGCGGCGTTTTGCGGGTGGGCCGTATGATACCGCTGAGGCACTGTCTTTCTTCGGATAGCCACGTTTGAAGGCACACCGAGGGCAAGAGGAAGAGCTGGTGGTCTTGGCCAGGCACTTGCCCTGGGAGAGCTGTGGTGCTGCCTGGTTGGGAGTGCTGGGTTTGCAGGTGTCAGCACTGTGGGCTGGCCCATCCTGGATCCTGCAGGGTTCTGCAGGAGGGCTGTGCATTGCCCCTGACTTTATTTCTTCCTCAGTGTGGCACTGCTTTAAGGCCTGCTGAGGGCTGATGGAGCAGCTGCTCTTGAGGAGCACCGTGTCCTGGGACAGAGTCAGCAGTTCTGTGCTTGAGGTTTTGGGGCCCACAAGGTCTGATTTGCCAGTGGAACCTGCAAAGAGGGGCAGGCAGAAGGAAGGTTGTCAGGACAGTCCCCAGGCTGCAGGCAGGAGAGGCCGCTGTGGTATCCCGCCCTTTCCAGGAGCCAAGCTGTGTGCCGAGGGCCCTGGTGCCAGGCCCATTGTGGTCCCTGTGTGGATTGCATAGTGCTGAAAGCTTTGTTGCCTACCAGTGTCGGTGGCAGCACAGGTGCTGCACTCCCAGGAGCAGGTGCTGTTCCCCAAAGAGGAGCAGAGTCGGTGGATGCCCTCAGCAGCGCAGGAGCTGCAGAGGCGCAGTTGCCAGGGTCTGGAGGAGCAAGGAGGTGGTGAGGACAAAGTGTCAGGGCAGGGAGTGCCTGGCAGAGCCCTTGTGCGTAATTCTACATCCCTGTGCTTGTGGGGATACAGATCCTCCTCAGATCGCTGCATTGCTGCTTTGGCAGCTTACCCGTGTGCCTGCGAGTGCTCCCTGCCTCCTGGACAAAGGCACCTTGTGGCATCGCAGCGGCCGTGCCTCTGATCTGAGGGTCCGACGTCTGGGTCACTCTGCCATGATGGGGGTCTGCCAGAGAAGGAAGGGAAAGAGCTGAGCCCACATGAGGCAGGTGGCCGCAGTCACTGCTCCTTTGCCTGTCCCATTTGCAGGGACTGGTTGGAGCTGAGGGCAAGAGGGACAGGCCAGAGGGTGGGCAGGCCTGGCAGGGCAGTCCCTAGGCGGGCACTGTGCTTGTGCCTGGTGCCTTGTGAGCTGGGAGGAGAAAAGCCAACCTCTTAGAGAGTCGGATCCCCATGGTGAGCATTTCCGTCATGAACGGCTCTTGTTTGAGGCAACGCGGGCATCGGAAGTCAATGCCAGCGTGCAGAGCCAGTCTCTGGATGCAGTGCCGGTGGAAGCGGGCGTCTTGGCACGCGGGACACGCCATGGTTATGTAGGAGATGTTGTCTTCCACCGTGTCCAGGCAGATGGTGCAGGTGTTGTCCTGGCTTGGACGTGGCCGCAGTGCCTGCTGTGGGCGGTGCTCCCAGCAGAAGGACCTGTGAGGAGGATGGAGGAGATGGGTGAGGGAAGGGTGAAGTGCAGAGCCCTTGGGCTGTGCTGGCAGTGTGGGTTCAGGAGGTGTGAGGGAGCCCCAGCCCCTGTGTGGGTTCTGTCCCTGTGTGGGGCACGTTGCTGGCAACCATGGGTTCTCGCCTTATGCATTCACTGGAATGTAAAGGGCTTGGAGAGAAATGCAGGGGTTCCGAGGGCGAGGGTGGGCAGCCCTTACCTGTAGGCCCCGAAGTACTGGGTGACACATTGTCCGTCTGGGGCACAGGGCAGGTGGAAGGTGCGGTCGCAGCCCGTCTGGCAGCAGGTGATGGTGGCCCCCATCTTGCAGCAGATGAAACAGGTCTGGAAAGAGCACAGCAGCCCCATGAATGTCAGGACTGGAGCTTTTTGGTCTGTTTGCATCTCCAGACCCTGAGTGGGATGTGGGCAGAGCCAGCTCAGAGTCCCCAGAGCCACGTGCGCACGAGGCCCCTGCAAGTGCCAGGCCTGGGGCTTCTTTGCTGGGGAGCAGGAGGAGGTGGCCAAGCCTCTCCTGGTGCAAAGCTGCCTGCTCCTCCTGCCAGGTCATGCCCACCTTCTTGGCTGCTGCCCTGATGATGCGCCTGGTGTCCCCAACGAGAAAGTGTCCAGTGTCCTCGCGTGGGTAAAGCCCAGTGGCGAGGATCTGCAAGGCAGGGAAGGCCGGGAGCTTGTTAGGTCAGGGAGGCAGGGCCCTTGTGGGCTGAAAGCTGGAGGGAGTCTCAAGAGAATTCACCTGGCAGTAGGTGTGGACACAGAGCTTGAACTTCATTCTCTTGTCCCCACAGAGTTCGTTGTCCTGGGTGTGGTGGCACAGCATGCAGGCTGCAGAGACAGAGCAAGTGCCCCGGGCATGAGCAGGTCTGTGGGGCTGGGCAAGTGTCTATGCAGGATCAGCCCCAGGGCCCTGCAGAGTCTTTGCTCTGCTGGCTGAAAGGCAGAGCAGGTCAGGCGTGGCTGCCCCATCACGTGCCCAGGTCCCCACCCAGTGTGGGAGCTCCTGCCTGGGCCGGGCCTGGCCTGGTTCTTGGCTCCTCACTGACTACCCCAGAAGGCCCTGAGCCAGTGCCAGGGAGCTGTGGGGTGCTTCTGCTCTTACCTTTTTCCTTGGGGACAGTTTCTGGCCGTGCCCTCTTGGATCTAGGAGAGTTTGTTGGCAAGCGGCCGGAGCGTCTCTTGCGCTGCCCTGCTGGCATTTCTCCTCCTGACTGTTGTCTTCCAAGCCTGAGTGAAGAGAGAGATGCGTTTTAGCTGTGTCCGAGGCAGCAGAAGCCTCTGGCTTACCCCGGTGCCTGAGCAGCCTCAGGCAAGCTCGTTCTTCGCAATCTCTCTTCGACTCTGAGGGTGGTGTTGATATGCAGCCAGGTTTTGTGCCTTTGGCCTGGGTGATGATGTCACTGGGGCCACTGTGACATGGGCAGCACTGATGTGTGGTGATGGGCGATGGTGGTGCCATGCCCATCCCAAGTGGTGATGTTGCAGTAGTGGCTTCTTTGGAGGGGATGGGATTAACTTCTGCTGGGAGTAAATTTTGTATTTGTGACCAAATGAATGTGGGTGAGCCAGGGCTGTGGGAGGCATGGTTGAGCAGGGGTGGTGCGGCCTGTCGTGCTGCTGAGCCCCAGCTCTCCAGGGAGCAGGCTGGTGGCAACATCTGCTGGCAGGGGACACAGGTGGGACAGCAGATCCCCGGATGGCAGGGAGAGGCCAGAGCTGACACCAAGTCTGCTGGGTGCGGGATGGTTCCCCCGGCAAGGGAACTCCTGTGTGGGTGCGGGCAGGTCACTCCTTGGTGGGTGCCGGAGGAGCGGCTCCTCGCCGTCCACCGTGAGCACAGTCGCGGATGGATATGGATGGCGCGACCAGGGCGAAGGAGGACCCGAGGCACTGGGGCAAATGCAACTGGGTTTATTTGGGGGAAGCCCGAGGGTCCAAGGAGGGAGGGAATCAGGACTACAAGTGCAGTTGAAGCGAGCTGGTGTCAGGGGTGAGCTGGTGGCCCGAAGCGGGATGGCAGGGGGTTTATAAAGGGGAAAGTGTAGGCAGGGTCGAGGTACAAATCAAGCAGTGGGTAGAGGGCTCGGAGGAGAGGACAAGGTTGGGTGATGGTGGGTGCACCTATGAGGATGTGGGGAGAGGGTGGTGTGGTTACAGAGTCCGGTGGGGGAGTGAGGAAGAGGGAATATTCCAGAAGGGAGGGAGTGGACAAGGGGTGATTGATGTTAATACGGTAGAACCCTCCCAGGGCGCCTCTGCCCCATCTTCCCTTTCCCCTCCTCCCACAGGAATGTGCTGTCAACCCTGGGGACGTAGATCCGTGTTGGTTAGAGTGAGAGAAGCTTGAAGGAAGTTTGAAGAAAATTACTGGGAAATACATATGCGTTCTCATAGTGTAAAAAAACTTTATTTTTTGTGTATGTCTATCTGTCTATGTATTTATGTATCAATGTATGGATGTATGTATGTGTGTACCTATCTGTCTATCTATCTATCTATCTATCTATCTATCTATCTATCTAAACTATCTATCTATCTTTCTTTCTTTATCTATTTATATAATTTGATTATGTGTCTTTGATGGGTGAGGGTGATGGGGGTGTGGGCAGGCTGACATTTGGTGCTGCTGTGTATTTGTGGCCGGCTGTAGGGTTTTTTTGCCCGCCGTTGTTGCTGCCAGACGTGTCTCATGCGAATGGGCCCAGGCTGGGAGCGGTTGTCCATCGTGGATCCGTGGAAGATCCATGGAGGCCTGTATGGACGTTGTGGCCGTGGTGCTGGACTGTTGGCAGCCAAAGTGCCCTCAGACAGCCCCAGCGCTGCCTGTGTGGAAGTGCTGGGGCTGCTTTCATCAGCACTCTGGGCTGGCCCAGTGTCAATCCTGCGGCGTTTTGCTGGTGGGCCGTATGACACCACTGAGGCACTGTCTTTCTTTGGATAGCCACGTTTGAAGGCACACCGAGGGCAAGAGGAAGAGCTGGCGGTGTTGGCGGAACACTTGCCCTGGGAGAGCTGTGATGCTACCTGGCTGGAAGTGCTGGGTTTGCAGGTGTCAGCACTCTGGGCTGGCCCAGTGTCAATCCTGCGGCGTTTTGCGGGTGGGCCGTATGATACCGCTGAGGCACTGTCTTTCTTCGGATAGCCACGTTTGAAGGCACACCGAGGGCAAGAGGAAGAGCTGGTGGTCTTGGCCAGGCACTTGCCCTGGGAGAGCTGTGGTGCTGCCTGGTTGGGAGTGCTGGGTTTGCAGGTGTCAGCACTGTGGGCTGGCCCATCCTGGATCCTGCAGGGTTCTGCAGGAGGGCTGTGCATTGCCCCTGACTTTATTTCTTCCTCAGTGTGGCACTGCTTTAAGGCCTGCTGAGGGCTGATGGAGCAGCTGCTCTTGAGGAGCACCGTGTCCTGGGACAGAGTCAGCAGTTCTGTGCTTGAGGTTTTGGGGCCCACAAGGTCTGATTTGCCAGTGGAACCTGCAAAGAGGGGCAGGCAGAAGGAAGGTTGTCAGGACAGTCCGCAGGCTGCAGGCAGGAGAGGCCGCTGTGGTATCCCGCCCTTTCCAGGAGCCAAGCTGTGTGCCGAGGGCCCTGGTGCCAGGCCCATTGTGGTCCCTGTGTGGATTGCATAGTGCTGAAAGCTTTGTTGCCTACCAGTGTCGGTGGCAGCACAGGTGCTGCACTCCCAGGAGCAGGTGCTGTTCCCCAAAGAGGAGCAGAGTCGGTGGATGCCCTCAGCAGCGCAGGAGCTGCAGAGGCGCAGTTGCCAGGGTCTGGAGGAGCAAGGAGGTGGTGAGGACAAAGTGTCAGGGCAGGGAGTGCCTGGCAGAGCCCTTGTGCGTAATTCTACATCCCTGTGCTTGTGGGGATACAGATCCTCCTCAGATCGCTGCATTGCTGCTTTGGCAGCTTACCCGTGTGCCTGCGAGTGCTCCCTGCCTCCTGGACAAAGGCACCTTGTGGCATCGCAGCGGCCGTGCCTCTGATCTGAGGGTCCGACGTCTGGGTCACTCTGCCATGATGGGGGTCTGCCAGAGAAGGAAGGGAAAGAGCTGAGCCCACATGAGGCAGGTGGCCGCAGTCACTGCTCCTTTGCCTGTCCCATTTGCAGGGACTGGTTGGAGCTGAGGGCAAGAGGGACAGGCCAGAGGGTGGGCAGGCCTGGCAGGGCAGTCCCTAGGCGGGCACTGTGCTTGTGCCTGGTGCCTTGTGAGCTGGGAGGAGAAAAGCCAACCTCTTAGAGAGTCGGATCCCCATGGTGAGCATTTCCGTCATGAACGGCTCTTGTTTGAGGCAACGCGGGCATCGGAAGTCAATGCCAGCGTGCAGAGCCAGTCTCTGGATGCAGTGCCGGTGGAAGCGGGCGTCTTGGCACGCGGGACACGCCATGGTTATGTAGGAGATGTTGTCTTCCACCGTGTCCAGGCAGATGGTGCAGGTGTTGTCCTGGCTTGGACGTGGCCGCAGTGCCTGCTGTGGGCGGTGCTCCCAGCAGAAGGACCTGTGAGGAGGATGGAGGAGATGGGTGAGGGAAGGGTGAAGTGCAGAGCCCTTGGGCTGTGCTGGCAGTGTGGGTTCAGGAGGTGTGAGGGAGCCCCAGCCCCTGTGTGGGTTCTGTCCCTGTGTGGGGCACGTTGCTGGCAACCATGGGTTCTCGCCTTATGCATTCACTGGAATGTAAAGGGCTTGGAGAGAAATGCAGGGGTTCCGAGGGCGAGGGTGGGCAGCCCTTACCTGTAGGCCCCGAAGTACTGGGTGACACATTGTCCGTCTGGGGCACAGGGCAGGTGGAAGGTGCGGTCGCAGGCCGTCTGGCAGCAGGTGATGGTGGCCCCCATCTTGCAGCAGATGAAACAGGTCTGGAAAGAGCACAGCAGCCCCATGAATGTCAGGACTGGAGCTTTTTGGTCTGTTTGCATCTCCAGACCCTGAGTGGGATGTGGGCAGAGCCAGCTCAGAGTCCCCAGAGCCACGTGCGCACGAGGCCCCTGCAAGTGCCAGGCCTGGGGCTTCTTTGCTGGGGAGCAGGAGGAGGTGGCCAAGCCTCTCCTGGTGCAAAGCTGCCTGCTCCTCCTGCCAGGTCATGCCCACCTTCTTGGCTGCTGCCCTGATGATGCGCCTGGTGTCCCCAACGAGAAAGTGTCCAGTGTCCTCGCGTGGGTAAAGCCCAGTGGCGAGGATCTGCAAGGCAGGGAAGGCCGGGAGCTTGTTAGGTCAGGGAGGCAGGGCCCTTGTGGGCTGAAAGCTGGAGGGAGTCTCAAGAGAATTCACCTGGCAGTAGGTGTGGACACAGAGCTTGAACTTCATTCTCTTGTCCCCACAGAGTTCGTTGTCCTGGGTGTGGTGGCACAGCATGCAGGCTGCAGAGACAGAGCAAGTGCCCCGGGCATGAGCAGGTCTGTGGGGCTGGGCAAGTGTCTATGCAGGATCAGCCCCAGGGCCCTGCAGAGTCTTTGCTCTGCTGGCTGAAAGGCAGAGCAGGTCAGGCGTGGCTGCCCCATCACGTGCCCAGGTCCCCACCCAGTGTGGGAGCTCCTGCCTGGGCCGGGCCTGGCCTGGTTCTTGGCTCCTCACTGACTACCCCAGAAGGCCCTGAGCCAGTGCCAGGGAGCTGTGGGGTGCTTCTGCTCTTACCTTTTTCCTTGGGGACAGTTTCTGGCCGTGCCCTCTTGGATCTAGGAGAGTTTGTTGGCAAGCGGCCGGAGCGTCTCTTGCGCTGCCCTGCTGGCATTTCTCCTCCTGACTGTTGTCTTCCAAGCCTGAGTGAAGAGAGAGATGCGTTTTAGCTGTGTCCGAGGCAGCAGAAGCCTCTGGCTTACCCCGGTGCCTGAGCAGCCTCAGGCAAGCTCGTTCTTCGCAATCTCTCTTCGACTCTGAGGGTGGTGTTGATATGCAGCCAGGTTTTGTGCCTTTGGCCTGGGTGATGATGTCACTGGGGCCACTGTGACATGGGCAGCACTGATGTGTGGTGATGGGCGATGGTGGTGCCATGCCCATCCCAAGTGGTGATGTTGCAGTAGTGGCTTCTTTGGAGGGGATGGGATTAACTTCTGCTGGGAGTAAATTTTGTATTTGTGACCAAATGAATGTGGGTGAGCCAGGGCTGTGGGAGGCATGGTTGAGCAGGGGTGGTGCGGCCTGTCGTGCTGCTGAGCCCCAGCTCTCCAGGGAGCAGGCTGGTGGCAACATCTGCTGGCAGGGGACACAGGTGGGACAGCAGATCCCCGGATGGCAGGGAGAGGCCAGAGCTGACACCAAGTCTGCTGGGTGCGGGATGGTTCCCCCGGCAAGGGAACTCCTGTGTGGGTGCGGGCAGGTCACTCCTTGGTGGGTGCCGGAGGAGCGGCTCCTCGCCGTCCACCGTGAGCACAGTCGCGGATGGATATGGATGGCGCGACCAGGGCGAAGGAGGACCCGAGGCACTGGGGCAAATGCAACTGGGTTTATTTGGGGGAAGCCCGAGGGTCCAAGGAGGGAGGGAATCAGGACTACAAGTGCAGTTGAAGCGAGCTGGTGTCAGGGGTGAGCTGGTGGCCCGAAGCGGGATGGCAGGGGGTTTATAAAGGGGAAAGTGTAGGCAGGGTCGAGGTACAAATCAAGCAGTGGGTAGAGGGCTCGGAGGAGAGGACAAGGTTGGGTGATGGTGGGTGCACCTATGAGGATGTGGGGAGAGGGTGGTGTGGTTACAGAGTCCGGTGGGGGAGTGAGGAAGAGGGAATATTCCAGAAGGGAGGGAGTGGACAAGGGGTGATTGATGTTAATACGGTAGAACCCTCCCAGGGCGCCTCTGCCCCATCTTCCCTTTCCCCTCCTCCCACAGGAATGTGCTGTCAACCCTGGGGACGTAGATCCGTGTTGGTTAGAGTGAGAGAAGCTTGAAGGAAGTTTGAAGAAAATTACTGGGAAATACATATGCGTTCTCATAGTGTAAAAAAACTTTATTTTTTGTGTATGTCTATCTGTCTATGTATTTATGTATCAATGTATGGATGTATGTATGTGTGTACCTATCTGTCTATCTATCTATCTATCTATCTATCTATCTATCTATCTATCTAAACTATCTATCTATCTTTCTTTCTTTATCTATTTATATAATTTGATTATGTGTCTTTGATGGGTGAGGGTGATGGGGGTGTGGGCAGGCTGACATTTGGTGCTGCTGTGTAATTGTGGCCGGCTGTAGGGTTTTTTTGCCCGCCGTTGTTGCTGCCAGACGTGTCTCATGCGAATGGGCCCAGGCTGGGAGCGGTTGTCCATCGTGGATCCGTGGAAGATCCATGGAGGCCTGTATGGACGTTGTGGCCGTGGTGCTGGACTGTTGGCAGCCAAAGTGCCCTCAGACAGCCCCAGCGCTGCCTGTGTGGAAGTGCTGGGGCTGCTTTCATCAGCACTCTGGGCTGGCCCAGTGTCAATCCTGCGGCGTTTTGCTGGTGGGCCGTATGACACCACTGAGGCACTGTCTTTCTTCGGATAGCCACGTTTGAAGGCACACCGAGGGCAAGAGGAAGAGCTGGCGGTGTTGGCGGAACACTTGCCCTGGGAGAGCTGTGATGCTACCTGGCTGGAAGTGCTGGGTGTGCAGGTGTCAGCACTCTGGGCTGGCCCAGTGTCAATCCTGCGGCGTTTTGCGGGTGGGCCGTATGATACCGCTGAGGCACTGTCTTTCTTCGGATAGCCACGTTTGAAGGCACACCGAGGGCAAGAGGAAGAGCTGGTGGTCTTGGCCAGGCACTTGCCCTGGGAGAGCTGTGGTGCTGCCTGGTTGGGAGTGCTGGGTTTGCAGGTGTCAGCACTGTGGGCTGGCCCATCCTGGATCCTGCAGGGTTCTGCAGGAGGGCTGTGCATTGCCCCTGACTTTATTTCTTCCTCAGTGTGGCACTGCTTTAAGGCCTGCTGAGGGCTGATGGAGCAGCTGCTCTTGAGGAGCACCGTGTCCTGGGACAGAGTCAGCAGTTCTGTGCTTGAGGTTTTGGGGCCCACAAGGTCTGATTTGCCAGTGGAACCTGCAAAGAGGGGCAGGCAGAAGGAAGGTTGTCAGGACAGTCCCCAGGCTGCAGGCAGGAGAGGCCGCTGTGGTATCCCGCCCTTTCCAGGAGCCAAGCTGTGTGCCGAGGGCCCTGGTGCCAGGCCCATTGTGGTCCCTGTGTGGATTGCATAGTGCTGAAAGCTTTGTTGCCTACCAGTGTCGGTGGCAGCACAGGTGCTGCACTCCCAGGAGCAGGTGCTGTTCCCCAAAGAGGAGCAGAGTCGGTGGATGCCCTCAGCAGCGCAGGAGCTGCAGAGCCACAGTTGCCAGGGTCTGAAGGAGCAAGGTGGTGGTGAGGACAAAGTGTCAGGGCAGGGAGTGCCTGGCAGAGCCCTTGTGCGTAATTCTACATCCCTGCGCTTGTGGGGATACAGATCGTCCTCAGATCGCTGCATTGCTGCTTTGGCAGCTTACCCGTGTGCCTGCGAGTGCTCCCTGCCTCCTGGACAAAGGCACCTTGTGGCATCGCAGCGGCAGTGCCTCTGATCTGAGGGTCCGACGTCTGGGTCACTCTGCCATGATGGGGGTCTGCCAGAGAAGGAAGGGAAAGAGCTGAGCCCACATGAGGCAGGTGGCCGCAGTCACTGCTCCTTTGCCTGTCCCATTTGCAGGGACTGGTTGGAGCTGAGGGCAAGAGGGACAGGCCAGAGGGTGGGCAGGCCTGGCAGGGCAGTCCCTAGGCGGGCACTGTGCTTGTGCCTGGTGCCTTGTGAGCTGGGAGGAGAAAAGCCAACCTCTTAGAGAGTCGGATCCCCATGGTGAGCATTTCCGTCATGAACGGCTCTTGTTTGAGGCAACGCGGGCATCGGAAGTCAATGCCAGCGTGCAGAGCCAGTCTCTGGATGCAGTGCCGGTGGAAGCGGGCGTCTTGGCAGGCGGGACACGCCATGGTTATGTAGGAGATGTTGTCTTCCACCGTGTCCAGGCAGATGGTGCAGGTGTTGTCCTGGCTTGGACGTGGCCGCAGTGCCTGCTGTGGGCGGTGCTCCCAGCAGAAGGACCTGTGAGGAGGATGGAGGAGATGGGTGAGGGAAGGGTGAAGGGCAGAGCCCTTGGGCTGTGCTGGCAGTGTGGGTTCAGGAGGTGTGAGGGAGCCCCAGCCCCTGTGTGTGTTGTGTCCCTGTGTGGGGCACGTTGCTGGCAACCATGGGTTCTCGCCTTATGCATTCACTGGAATGTAAAGGGCTTGGAGAGAAATGCAGGGGTTCCGAGGGCGAGGGTGGGCAGCCCTTACCTGTAGGCCCCGAAGTACTGGGTGACACATTGTCCGTCTGGGGCACAGGGCAGGTGGAAGGTGCGGTCGCAGCCCGTCTGGCAGCAGGTGATGGTGGCCCCCATCTTGCAGCAGATGAAACAGGTCTGGAAAGAGCACAGCAGCCCCATGAATGTCAGGACTGGAGCTTTTTGGTCTGTTTGCATCTCCAGACCCTGAGTGGGATGTGGGCAGAGCCAGCTCAGAGTCCCCAGAGCCACGTGCACACGAGGCCCCTGCAAGTGCCAGGCCTGGGGCTTCTTTGCTGGGGAGCAGGAGGAGGTGGCCAAGCCTCTCCTGGTGCAAAGCTGCCTGCTCCTCCTGCCAGGTCATGCCCACCTTCTTGGCTGCTGCCCTGATGATGCGCCTGGTGTCCCCAACGAGAAAGTGTCCAGTGTCCTCGCGTGGGTAAAGCCCAGTGGCGAGGATCTGCAAGGCAGGGAAGGCCGGGAGCTTGTTAGGTCAGGGAGGCAGGGCCCTTGTGGGCTGAAAGCTGGAGGGAGTCTCAAGAGAATTCACCTGGCAGTAGGTGTGGACACAGAGCTTGAACTTCATTCTCTTGTCCCCACAGAGTTCGTTGTCCTGGGTGTGGTGGCACAGCATGCAGGCTGCAGAGA